GTGAAAGATTTAAGAGATTAATGGCACTTTTCTAATCCACAAATTAAACCTTTTACACCAGTTGCACCAATTTAATTATTACTTTTTAAATATTGAAGAAAAAATATTTTGTCATTTATTAATTTAGAAGGAAAAAATGAAGAAAAAATATGAATTAACATGAAATGAATTAATTAATTGATAAAATTAGCAAAAGTAGAAAATAAAAAATGAGTTAAATTAGCAATGAAATAAAAAAAAACACAAACAGAATAAAAAATAATAAAATTATAATAAAAAGCTGATAAATTAATTAAAAGAGTTAGTTAAATTATTTTAAATTTATTTTTAAATTAAAAAATATCACAATCAAAAACAAATAAACTGTTTTTACCTTAGATTTAGTTTCAAATTTGAAAGATTAGTGCACCTTCCTAAACTAGAACCTAATTCTGATGCATCAATTGCCCCAATTTAATTGTTACTTTTTAAATATTGAATAAAAAATATATATCAATTAGTAAGTTAATGGAAAAAATGAAGAAATAATATCAAAAAATAAAAAATAAATTAATTAATAACAAAATCAAAAGTTGAAAATAAAATAAGAGTTCAATTAACAAAGAAAAAAAAACTACAAACAGAATAAAAAAAAGAAAATAAATTAAATAAAAAGCTAATAAATAAATTAAAAGAGTTAGTTATATTATTTTAAATTCATTTTTATATTAAAAAATATCACAATCTAAAACAAATAAATTTTTTTACGATAGGCTAAGGTTCAAATTCGAGAGATTAGTACAACTTCCTAAACCAGAACCTAAGCCTAATGCACCAATTGCACCAATTTGATTTTAGCTTTTTAAATTATGAAGAAAAAATATCAAATAATTAGAAATATCAAAAGTCAAAAATTAAAAATTAATTAAATTAACAAACAAATAAAGAAGTAGAAAAAAGGCACAAGTAGAATAAAAAAAAGAAAAATATATCAAATAAAAAGCTAATAAATAAATTAAAATAGTTTTTATTTTATTTTTTATATTAATCAAAATATAGCAATCCAAAAAAAATAAACTGTTTTTACCTAAGATTAATTTCCAAATCTGAGAGATTAGTGCACTTTTCTAAACCTGAACCTAAGCTTGAAGCATCTTTATCACCAATCTTTTTGTAACTATTTAAATATCGTAGAAAATAACATGTAGTTAATTAGTTAGTTAGAAGAAAAAATTAAAAAAATATAAATAATAAGAAATGAATACATTAATTATAAAAGCAAAAGTAGAAAATGAAAAAATAAGTTAAATAAATAAATAAAGAAAAAAAATAATCACTAACAGAAAAAAATCCTATTTATTTATAATTTTTTAATATTGAACAAAAGATATATTGTTTATTGGTAAGTTAGAAGGAAAGATTGATTCAAAATATCAAATATAAAATAATAAATAAATAATAATGAAAAACAAATAAATGAGTTAAAATTAAGTTAAAATAATTTTAAAAAATATTTGTATAAATAAAAATGAAAGAATAAAGATAAGAGTTTTTATTAGAAAAATAATATTGTATCAAATTAAATGTAAAAAAACATTAATAATAGTATTAATAAATTAAATATACCTCAGCTAAATATGGAGAACCTAATGGATTTAAAGTGAAGAGTTTAAAAACTTTTTTATGAATAAATGTAAATTAAAACAATATTAATAAAAAAATAAATTTTTACTTCTTCTATATTCTTTAAATAATTTTTCTATTATATCACTTATTTTTTTTTCTTCAAAAATATTGAAAAAGAATTTATGGAAAATGAATTAAGTATAAGTATTTTCATAAATTTATTTATTTATTTATTTTTATATCAAATTAATTTAGATAAAAACAAAAAATAAATTATCAAAGTGGTATCACAAAAAAGTAAGTGTAACATTCATTATTGAATTTAATATTTCTATTTAAATCATAAACTTAAAAATATAGCAAGAATCAAAGATTGGTAGCCATATGCTGATATTTTTCAAGTAATTTAAATATTTAATGCTTAATAAAAGAATTTTAATTTATTAGATTTTTCTGTTTTAGTTTCATAATTAAGGGGGAATTATTATAAATTATTATAATTTTTAAAATATCTCTTATTATTCTCAAATGCTATTAATTTTTTTTAAAGAATATGTTATTTAGGTATATAGGTTGAATGCGCCTAATAAACGCTTTTATACCTATTTAAACTAATTTTTAATAAATGGATTTCAAATTCCTTAATAAAATATAATAGATAGATAATATTTATGATGGAAATATAACTGGTATATAAAAGCTTCGTATTAATATAATTTAATAGGAAATAATATGATATTAGCAATTATAAAAAGCTTTGTTTTTATTGAAATCTGAGAGCTGGTTTTAGAGGAATTAATTTATTTCAGTAAATTTAATTTTTAAATGTTTGTTTTTATTTTTTATAAAGCTAATTAATTATTAAGTACAAAAATATGATTGATATTCATAAATATTAAAACAATAATAAAATCTATCTATATTTTAGGTAAAATTCTCCTATTTCAAAATATAAAATAATAAAACAAAAAATATTTTATTATTCAAATATTTAATATTTATTCATCCTTTTTTCACCACATACTTATCATCTTTAGAACAACTAATCTTTTTGATTTAAGGCATTTATTTTTTACTTTTAATGATAATTATGTTTGATTGATTTATTTTTCACTTTTTTTATAAATAAAGTAAAAAAAAATTGAATTAATTAAATTTTTTAAATTAAAAATAACACATTAAATTAAATTAATAAAGAAAAAAAACATAATGAGAATAAAACAGATAAAGAAAAATAAATTAAATAAAAAGCTATCAAATAAATTATAAGAGTTATATTGCTTTAAAATTATTTTTTTTTTTTAAATATCATAATCCAAAACAAATAAACTATTTTTACCTAAGACGAAAAGTCAAATTTGAGAGATTAATGCAATTTGCTAAAACAGAACCTAAGCCTGATGCGGCAATTTCATTAATTTAATTATCACTTTTTAAATATTGAAGGAAAAATATTTACTAATTTGTTAGTTAGAAGGAAAAAATGAAATCATAAATAATGAATTAATTTACTTATAATAAAAGCAAAATTTAAAATAAAAAAATAAATTTAATAAAATTAACAAAGATAGAAAGAAGAAAAAAAACACAAGCACAATTTAAAAAAAATGAAATAAAAAGCTAAAAAATAAATTAAATGAGTTATATTATTTTAAATTTATTTTTTATTGTAAAAAATATAATAATTCCAAACAAATAAACTGATTTTACCTAAGGTCAAGTGTTAAATTTGAGAGTTTAATGCAATTTGCTAAAGCAGAACCTAATCCTGAAGCACCATTTGCACCAATTTTATTATCACTTTTTAAATATCCAAGAAAAAAAAATTTAATCAGTTAGTTAAAAGGAAAAAATTAAGATAAAATATGAAATTATAAGAAATGAATTAACTAACTAATAATAAAGCAAAAGTTGAATAATAAAATAAATTTATTAAAATAGAAAGAAGAAAATAAGCATAGCACAATAAAAAAGAAAAAGAAATATAAACTAAATAAAAAGCTATCAAATAAATTAAAAGAGTTAATTTATTTTTATAATTAAAAATATAACATCAAAAACAAATAAACTAATTATACCTTAGGCGAAGTGTCAAAGTTGAGAGATTACTGAAATTTTTTAAGGCAGAACCTAAACCTGAAGCACCTGCTGCACCAATTTTATTGGCACTGTTTAAATATTCAAGAAAAAAAAAATATATATATATAATTAATTTATAAGTTTGAAGGAAAAATTGAAGAAATAATAAGAAAAAAGAAGACATAAATTAATTAATAATAAAAGTAAAAGTTTGAAAGTAAAAAAACAATTTAAATTAAAAAAAAAAGAAACTAAACAAAATAAAATAAAAAGCTATCAAATAAGTTAAAAGAGCGAGCTTTATTGTTTTAAATTAATTTTTATAATTAAATAGATCACAATCCAAAAATAAATAAACTGTTTTTACCTAAGATCAAGTGCCAAATTTGAGAGATTAGTGCAATTTGCTAAAGCATTACCTAAACCTTATGTACCGTTTGCACCAATTTTATTGGTACTTTTTAAATATTGATGAAAAAGTATTAAATCAATTAGTAAGTTAGTTTTTAGGAAAAAATGAAGAAATTATATGAAATAATAAAAAATTCATGAATATATTATAAATGAAATTTGAAAATAATAAAATGAGTTAAAATAACAAAGAAAGAAAGAAAAAAAAACACAACAAAATTAAAAAGTAAGAAAAATAAATCAAATAAAAAGATATCAAATAAATTAAATGAGCAAATTCATTTTTGTTATTAAATTTATCATATTCAAAGTAAATAAACTATTTTTACCTAAGGAGAAGTGTTAAATTTGAGAGATTAGTGCATTTTGCTAAAGCAGAACTTAAACTTGAAGCACCGATTGCACCAATTTTATTGCCCCTTTTTAAATATTATATTATTAATTATTTAATTAAACCAAAAAATGAAGAAAAATGTAAAATTATAAAAGAAAAAAAAAACATAAGTACAATAAAAAGAAAATAAATCAAATAAAAATAATTTTATCGAGTTTTATTATTTTAAATTCATTTTTATAATTAAAAATATCGCAATCCAAAACAAATAAATAAATAAACAAACTTTTTTTACCTAAGTTCAAGTGTTAAATTTGAGAAATTAGTGGACTTTGATAAAGCAGAACCTAAGCCCGATGCTCCTTCATCTTAAATTAAATTGTAACTTATTAGTTAGTAAGAAGAAAAAAATGAAGAAAAAATATGAAATAGTAAGAAGTGGATTAAGTAACTAATAATAAAAGCAAAATTATAAAATAATAAAAAGAGTTAAATTAACAAAATCATAAAAAAAACACAAGCAAATTAAAAAGAAAATTAAATCAAATATATTAAAATATCACAATCCAAAATAAATATACTGTTTTTACCTAATATCTAGTTTTAAATTTGAGAGATTAGTGCAATTTACTAAAGCAGTAGCTAATCCTGATGCACCAATTGCTCCAATTCTATTAGCACTTTTTAAATATTCAAGAAATGTATAATTCGTTAGTTAGTTTGTTAGTTAAAAATATGAAATAATATGAATTTATTAATAATAAAAAAAAAGTTGAAAATAATAAAATGAATTGAATTATAAAAGAAAGAAACAAATAATAAATAAACACAAGCACATTAAAAAAATAAAGAAAAATAAATCAAATAAAAAGCTTTCAAATAATATAACAGAGTTTTATTGTTTTAAATTAATGTTGATAGTTAAAAATATCACAATCAAAAACAAATAAACTGTTTTTACTAAAGTCCAAGGTTCAAATTTGTAAGATTAGTGCACTTTACTAAAGCAGAACCTAAGTCTGATGCACCAATTGCTTCAATTTAATTATCACTTTTTAAAAATTCAAGAAAAAAAAATTAATTAATTTGTTAATTAAAAGGAAAAAAAGAAGAAAAGGTTTGAAATAAATAAATTAATTAATGAATTAAAAATAAAAGCAAAAATTGAAAATAAAAAATGAGTTTGTTTTTTGAATAAAAAAATAAAAATAAAACAAGTACAATAAAAAGAAAGCGAAAATAAATTAAATAAAAAGCTATCAAACAAATTAAAAGAGAAAGTTCAATTTTATAACTAAAAATATCACAATCAAAAATAAATAAACTGTTTTTACCTAAGCACAAGTGTTAAATTTGAGAGATTAGTACAATTTGCTAAAGCAGTACATAAGCCTGATGATCCATTTGCACCAATTTTATTGAAGCTATTTAAATATTGAAGAATAGAAATAGTAAGAAATATATGAATTAATTATTAAAGTAAAGTTGAAAATAATAAAATGAATTTAATTAAAAAGAAAGAAGAAAAAAAGCACAAGCACTATAAAAAAGAAAAAGAAAAATAGACCAAATAAAAAGCTATCATTTAAATTATATGAGCAAATAAATTTTTATAATTAAAAATATTGTAATCCAAAACAAATAAATTGTATTTACCCAAGGTCAAGCATCAAATTTGAGAGATTAGTGCACTTTGCTAAAGCAGAACCTAAACTTAAAGCACCAATTGCACCAATATAATTTTAACTTTATAAATATTGAAGAAAATATATTTAACTAATTAGTTAGTTCGAAGGAAAAAATGAAGAAAAATATGAAATAAATAAATTATTTAATGATAAAAGCAAAATTTGAAAATGAAAAAATGAGTTAAATTAACAAAGAAAAAAAGAAAAAAACTCAAGCAGAAATAAAATTAAAAGAAAAATAAATCAATTAAAAAGCTAATTATAAATTAAAAGAATTTTTTTGTTTTAAATTAACTTCTTTGTTAAAAAAAAATATCACAATTCAAAACAAACAAATAAACTGTTTTTACCAAAGTAAAAGTTTCAAATTCGAAAGATTAGAAGAATTTGATAAAGCATTACATAAGCCTGAAACACCAGTTGCTCCAATTTAATTGGAACTTTTTAATATTGAAGGAGAGTGATAAATAAAAAATTAATTAGTTAGTTATTTAGAAGGAAAAAATAAATGAAGAAAATATATGATATAATATAAGAAATGAATTAACTTAATTAATTAATAATAAAATAAAAATTAAAAATAAAAAAAATGAGCTTAATTAACAACGAAAGAAGAAAAAAAGCACAAAGAAAATGAAAAATAAGCCAATATATCAAATAAATTAAAAAAATTTTTTTATTTTTTTAAATTAATTTTTATAATTAAAAATATCACAATCAAAAACAAATAAATTGTTTTTACCTCAGGTCAAGTGTTAAATCTGAGAGATTAGTACAATTTACTAAAGCTGAACTTAAGTCTGAAGCACCTTTTTCACCAATTTTTTTAGTACTTTTTAAATATTGAAGAAAAACGTAGATAGAATTAATGATGGCCCATAGCAAAAGTTGAAAATAAAAAAATGAGTTAAATTAAAAAAGAAAGAATTAATAAATAAATAAATAAATAAATAAATAAGAATCAAAATAAAAAATAAAAAGTTAAAAAATGAATTAAAAGTGTTTAATTTATTTATTTAAATTAATTTTTATAATTAAAAATATCACAATCAAAAACAAATAAACTGTTTTTATAAAGTAAATTTATAGTAATAAATAAATAATGAATAAGTAAAAATGGAAAATAAAAATTAAGTTAAAATAGCTAAAATATTTTTATATCAAAATAATTAAAAATTGATGATAATTTCTATAATATTAGAAAAATTATATTTTAAATAAATTGACAGTTAAATTTATAAAAATATTAATAATAATATTTCTAAGTTAAATAAATATACATCATATTAATATGGAGAACCTAATGAGACTAAAGTGGAGAGTTTAAAAACTTTTTTCATTAATAAAAATAAGTATAAAGAGTATTCATAAAAAATAAATGTTTACTTCTTCTAATGTGTTGTAATATTTAATCTATTATATCATTTATTTTTTCTCTCTAAAATATTGAATTGCAATTTATGGAAATTTAATTACTTATGAATGGATGATAAAAACAACAAATAAATTATAATAATTTTCAAATATAAATTTTAAATTTTTCTTTTAGTAAAAGATATCACAAAAAAGTTAATGTGTTTATCACTCATTATTTAATATTAATATTTCTATCTAAAAGATGTACTTAAAAATATAGTAAGAATTATAGATAGGTAGGTAGTCATCATATGTTGAAAAATTCTAGTAAATACTGTTCTTAATCTAGAAATTATAAATATTCAATAAAATATTAAGTATTATTTTCTACTACCTTCCTATCTTATTTATTTATTTATTTATTTATTTATTTATTTTAACTAAATATATTTTGGATGGATTATAAAACAATATAAAATGTTTAAATTAAATAAATAAATATTTTTATTATTATCAATTTTTACATTCATAGATAGATAGAAAGTATTTAAGATTCAAAAAATTAATAAAATTAAATGTTTAAATAAAATATATATATTTTAAATATTAAGAAGTTATTCAATGTATGAATGAATAATCATTTTAATTATCAATCAATCAATTCAATAAAAGTTTTGATTTTCTAATTATATCTAAAATCAAAACTGTTAGGGAAATCTTCGAATATAGTTTATAAATATTTGATATTTTATTATAATTTTTGCTAAATCTCTTAATTTTCTTTTTTTTCTGAGGCAACAATTACAATTATTCAACAAGTAATTCATAAAAACTAATATAAAGAAAGAATCCTTATGCTGATGAAATAATAATATCAATCTGAGCTCCTGTAGAAACTCTAAAGAACCTCCTTTGCATGCGCTACTTATACCATTGATTCAGCTACGCGTAATTTCAAAGCTTTGAGTAAATGGTACCCTGTTTGTAGGTAGTATATTTTTTGGTTAATTATTCCTTACCAGAAAGTAAACATAGTAGATAGGTAGGTAGTATGGTTAAGGAGATAGAAATTTTTGTTTCATACTTCTTTATTATTATTTTTAGTTTTAGATAAAATTTATTTTCAAATTTGCTTTGTAAATTTAAAATTCTATCTTTTCTAGCCATAAAAATGAATTTCGAGTATAATGAATTCATATAAGAAATATTAAATTAATGGTGAATATATTTATTAATTTGTTCTTTGATGATTAATTAATCACTTTAAATTACACAGAAATTTATCTTACAGATTGAAAAAGCTTAATTAAGTTAAAAAAAAGTAAATTTGATTAAATAATAAATAGCCATTAAATATCAATTAGCAATTCAAAACACAGGAAAATAACTAGGGTAATCAATCATTCTTTATAAAACAAGAATTAATGAGCTCTATAAAAAAGCATCTATTTCAAACACTGGTATACAATTCTTCGCTATATACTGCAGAACCTTAATTTAGGTAGATAACCTCATCATTCTGAAAAATCAAATATTGGACAAAAATTCACTTTTTTCTAAATTTTGGTGTTAATTAATCTTATTGATCATTAATGTGGATTTAAAGTATATTTGTTATTACTTGAAGGTTTATAATTTATGTGATATATTATTATCAAGAAAATAATGTCATTTTTATTAAATAATATTCAAAATCAATTTTATTTATTCAGAAAATAGTAAATAAATAAATAAATAAATAAATAAACAAGAAAATAAATAAATAGATAAATAAGAAAATTCTATTTATTGGCATTCAAAACAAAAAATAAATTAATGTTTTTAGCACAAATTTAATAATATAATAAAAATAACAAGAAAATTTATTTAAATTTCATACAAATTTAAGAAAGTATTCATTTATTTGATAATTTGAAATATATAATTAGATCTATTATCAATTCAATAAAAATTTTAATTATTTTAATTTGGGTATACCTAGAATTGATAATTTTAAGGATATCTTTACATATTAGGAATTTATTGTCCCGGATTATACACAGTCGAGTTTCCTAAATTTTAACTCATTTAATGATTTTGTTATTGAGCATTTTTTAAATTTTATATTTCCTATTAACACTTTTCTCTTGCTTATTTACATCTATAAGCACGATATCTTCTCCATGCATAATTAATCAGTACTAATATTAAAAATAAACCAATAGCTGAACAAGCATAGATAGCAGCTTAAGCTCCAGTAGAAAGCTTTCCAGAATTTCCCGAGGTAGAACTGGCTACATCACTGACTTTGCTGCTCGTACTTCCATAATTTGGATTAAATGTGGCGGTTTTCACAGTAGATTATAGATTTCTCTATCTGTTATTTCCTACGAGAGTATAAGCAACGAAAACTACTGTAGATAACAAAAAGAGTATAAATATTTTTAAATTTTGTTTCATGGTTTTTTTTGGTAACTTTTCTCTTTTAAATAAAATAAGAAAAAGTAAATATTATCTAATATTTTTCTCAGAGGTGTTTAAAATAAAATTTTTCTAATATTTAAAATGAGTTTCGAATAATTTTTATTTTGCTGCTGTAATGTAAAATATTCATGCTAAAATTAGCGAGTTATTAATTTGTTTAAATGTCGAAATTAAATTAAGAGACAAATTAATTTAGTTTACAGATCATATTAAGTTAATGTAATAAAAATATGAATGCATTTAAAATTCAAAATTGCTCTAATAAAGTTTAAATATTACATTCAATTAAAAAGAATTTGTTAGTCATTTTTTAATATACTGTAAATGCTCATTAATTAAGGCATTCCCTAAGTATCTTTTTTGCCTGAAAATAAGTGCCATCCTTTCTTCAAATATTTTAAATTTTGTTTAAAAAGTATGTATAAAATTTTTATTTTTTAGAGTTGATAAATTTAAAATTACTGAAATCAATAACATTCAATAAAATAATTGTTTATTTAAGAACTAAAATATATTTTTAGCAAACTAATAAACAAGTGAGAATTCTTATATTCTAGACATGAATAATAAATATTCAATTAGATAAAAACAAAAATTGTAAATATTTTTAATTAATTAAATTTGTGATATTTACAAAAAAATGATGAGATTTTATTTAATTAGATCTGTTTTTCTAAATCAATTATTTTAGTGCTTCATTACTGCTTTTTTTTATTGTAAAATATTGGATAAATATTCTGAAATTATTTTTTATTAAAAGCTATTTAAATACCAAAAATTAAAAAATTATCAGTAAAAATAAAGTCTATTATAATAATAAAAAATGTTTAAAGTTGGAAAAAAATTAGATAGATTATAAACATTTTAGTGAAAAGTAAACAATAAGAATAATCAATCAATCAATCAATCAATTATTTTGTCAGTAATTTAATAATCAAAAAATTAATTATTTAATCTATTTATTTATGAGCTATTAAAAAGAACTCGAATTATATTCATGTAAAAGTGATTAGCAAAGTTAACAAAAACAAAAAGCTGGTAAATTTTAAAACTTAAAACTTACCATAGCATAATATAATTACTTTAATATTAATAAATAATGAATAAGATTTGTTTTCCTAATCAGATTAAAAACAGTAATTGAATTCTTAGCCAAGAGTAGAAGCGAATGGTGTGAAATAAAAAAATATATAAGATTCTGAAGTATGGGTTGATGAAATTGAAGAAACTGATTGTAGAAATCAACAAAAACAAGATTAAATTTTTAACATAGAAGACAATGTTGTAATTTAAACTGAATAAAAATCCTCACCAACAAATAATCAAACTGAATTAGCAAAAAATAATTTTCTTTCATACAAAACTTCTCGAACGACTCACTTGGAGGATAATTATTTTGAAGAAGATCAAGAAGAAAAGGAAGAAGCCAACTTAATCAAATATTCAGTAGATATTAAAAATTTAAAAAGCTATAATATGATCTTTAGGAAGAGACAATTTTTTGAGTTTTTCATTTATCATTTCTTATATTTTATTATTCTTGGTCCTTTTACTGCCATAATAACTCGTTTAGGTGGAAAGTACTTAAGTAGAAATCTTTAATTCATAGGTAGATCAAGATCTGTTTATCTCTAACTTGTGAATTATTTGATGAGTATTGTTACTATTTTGTTCTACTTCACTTTCACTCATTCAACAATAAACTAAGCGGTTTACTTTTCAACTTTATTAGTGGTGGTAGTGTTTAGGTGTTTTCAGATTTCTACCAAATATGCAACATTTGACCCTTTAAAAATTAAAATTTATAAATAGATTAAAATAAAAATTGAAGATTTAAAGTATGATCTCTTTTTATAAGATTGGAGTTAGTAAACAGAAAAAGTAGATTGATTATATTTTTAATAAACAAATTTTGTTTTCAAAAATATTTTAATTTTAACATAATAGATTATATATGAGCAGGTTTATTACACTTAAAGGTTCTTTGACACTGATCCTAACCTATTTTTTATATAATTAATGGTAGAACCTTCAAAAAAAACAAGTGATTAAATTGAAAATAGTAGATTAAAAATGGAAGAATAATTTAATTTTAGGAAAACACATAAAAAGCCTGATCCAATAGGGATATAAACAAACTAATAATGCTACGATGGTTACACTATTATCCATTTTCTGATTAGCTTGTATTAAAAATCATATTCTTCAAAAAGAGTAGCTCTTAAAAATTTAATTTTACTACTATCTGTGATAAGAGGATTACTTCCTTTAATATGTGCTTTGATTATATCATTTTCTTCTTCTGTTTTGGGAATGTATTGGAATGAAATTGCAATAAATATTATCCTTTCATTATAAGTCTAGACACTATATTCTGCTATTTTTCTTCAAATGAGCTTTGGCTTATCAGATCTCCATAGAAAAGTAATTTAATATTTAGAAAACATTTTAGAGGTTTTTTTTTTGAGTTATTTATTACTAATGTTTAAATTTCTAATCGCTTATTTATTATTTATAAAATAAAAGCTAACTATCCTACAAGAATTATCTTATATGCTTATTCCTAGAAAGATAGGAGACACAAACATATCGAAGGTTTTACCGACTATTAATATTTTAAAAAAAGAAAGTTTAAAAGGTTGGTCAATTCTACGAAAATCAATTATGGCATATGGTAAATCCTATTCACTTAGAGTTGAAATTTTAATAGCAGTGATGGCATTATATGCTTTTGCTTGCTTGCTGCTAATAGTTTTATCTTATTTTAAAGTGATGAATATTAATATAGTTATTATTGTTGAAATAGGATTTGATTCAATCCTCATGATTATTATTGTTTGCTTTGTGCTTTTTTGGGGAGCTAATCTGAATCAAACTTTTACAGATTAAATTACAAATCTTTATAATAATAAAATCTACGTTCAAGATCTTTTACTAGTTTAAGATTCTTACATCAACAAAGGAAAGATTTCAAATAATTTTTTGTACAACAAAGGTTTGTAAATAGCCAAATAAAATTTAGAGGAAAATTAGAGTATTAAGGAATATTTATAAGATCTTTTAGAGTACTATTAATAAATTATAGATGAAGTGTAATTTGATTAGTAAAATTATCCTTTTAAATTCTTAGGAATAACAGTAACACCAATAGTCCTTCAAAGTTTGCTTGTAGCATTAGCTAGTATAATTTCATCAGTGCTATTCAATTATGCTAATTAGTATCTAAACTCTAAAAATTCATGATTATGTCTTTAATATGTTTTATTAATATTATTTAAAATATAAAAAATTTAAATAAAATAAAATTATCCAATTAAGTTAGTTTTATTGTATTTAATATTTGTTAAGCAAAAATTATTAACTGTCAAAAAAATAAACTCAATCTTACTGAAATCCTAAATGAAAATCAACCCTAAATCATTAATTTTCCCCAATAAATTGAGGTTTGATTGCAGTAGCAGTGATCAAAATCTAGGGTTAATACTGTTAAGAGTAATTCTAAAATATATCAAATATTTTTAATGTGATCCCAGTCTACAAAAAGTAGGAAAAAGAGTAATATATATGCAAATTAATAATAATTTTTTTATCAATAAAAAGATAATAAAATATTCAATATATTTAACAATATTATTTGAAATCAATAAAATTATTAAGCAAAGCATACTGTCAAAATTTTTACTTTTAAAAAAAATTATTTATAAATAAAATCCTTTATATTTTTTAAATCAGAAAGTTTATCTCAAAAATAATAAAATAAATATTTTATAAAATTAATGTAAATGATTAAAAATAAATTTAATATTTATTTTTTTCAATCTTAGAATTATTGTAAAGGTAGGTTCATATATTAAGGCTTGTTTTTAAAAAAATTTTAATATGGTTTAAATACTTAAAAACTAGTTATTTTGAGTATAAAAAAGGTGGGTTTGATTATAATTACCCCTATCTATTATATGATATTTATTGAGGAAATAAATTTTTGAAATAAAAAAGTTTGCAGCTTGTGCCTTTTATTCATCATCATAGCCATAATTAAAATGCTTTTGTAAAAAATAAAAAACCAAAGTTCAGTTTTTACTTGTATTTTATATAAAAACAAATTATTTTTATTACTTTTTGTAAATTTCAATGATACAATAAATAATCTAATACGTTTCATTAATAATACTTTATTTTTTCAATAAACTCTAAATATATTTTTATTACATTAAATTCTATATACTTAATATTAGGATTATTAAAAGTGCATTATTTATCCTTAATTATAAATAGTATAATTTTCAGCATTTCAGCTTATTTAATATTTGTTGCTAATCATTTGGTCTATTTTTATAGCTGTTGATACATAAGTATAAATTAAATTCTTGTAAAATTATAAATTTAAAATCTATCAGTAAAGATAGATAATAAAATTGGATATTTTAGGTATTTAATTAAAAAGTAAATAATAAGAATAATCAATCAATGAATTATTTTGTCAGTATTTTAATAATCAAAAAATCAATTATTTAATCTATTTATTTATGAGCTCTTAAAAAGAACTCGAATTATATTCATGTAAAAGTGATTAGCAAAGTTAACAAAAACAAAAAGTTGGTAAATTCTAAAGATTAAAACTTATAATAATATAATACAGTTATTTTAATATAAAGAATAAGATTTGCTTTCCTAATCAGATTATAAACAGTAATTGAATACTTAGCCAAGAGTATAAGCGAGTGGATTAAAATAAAAGGATATTTAAGATTCTGAAATATATGGTGGTGAAATTGATGAAACTTATTGTAGGAATCAATAAAAATAATATTAAATTTTAAGCAAAGAAGAAAATGTAAAAATTTAAATAGAATAAAAACCATCACCAATGAATAATCAAACTGAAATAGCAAAAAATAATTTTCTTTCATACAAAACTTCTCGAACAATGCACTTGGAAGATAATTATTTTGAAGAAGATCAAGAAGAAAAGGAAGAAGCTAAATTAATCAAATATTCAATAGATATAAAAAATTTAAAAAGCTATAATATGATCTTTAGGAAGAGACAATTTTTTGAATTTTTCATTTATCATTTCTTATATTTTATTATTCTTGGTCCTTTTACTGCCATTTTAACTAGTTTAAGGGGAAAGTACTTAAGTAGAAATCTTTAATTCATAGGTAGATCAAGATCTGTTTATCTCTAACTTGTGAATTATTTGATGAGTATTGTTACTATTTTGTTCTACTTCACTTTCACTAATTCAACAATAAACTAAGCGGTTTACTTTTCAACTTTATTAGTGGTGGTAGTGTTTAGGTGTTTTCAGATTTCTACCAAATATGCAACATTTGACCCTTTAAAAATTAAAATTTATAAATAGACTCAAATAAAAATTGAAGATTTAATGTATGATCTTTTTTTATAAGATTGGAGTTAGTAAACAGAAAAAGTAGATAGATTATATTTTTAATAAACAAATTATTTTTGTATTAAAAAGTATTTTAATTTTAAAATAATAGATTATATATGAGCAGGTTTATTACACTTAAAGGTTCTTTGACACTGATCCTAACCTATTTTTTATATAATTAATGGTAGAACCTTCAAAAAAAACAAGTGATTAAATTGAAAATAGTAGATTAAAAATGGAAGAATAATTTAATTTTAGGAAAACACATAAAAAGCCTGATCCAATAGGGATATAAACAAACTAATAATGCTACGATGGTTACACTATTATCCATTTTCTGATTAGCTTGTATTAAAAATCATATTCTTCAAAAAGAGTAGCTCTTAAAAATTTAATTTTACTACTATCTGTGATAAGAGGATTACTTCCTTTAATATGTGCTTTGATTATATCATTTTCTTCTTCTGTTTTGGGAATGTATTGGAATGAAATTGCAATAAATATTATCCTTTCATTATAAGTCTAGACACTATATTCTGCTATTTTTCTTCAAATGAGCTTTGGCTTATCAGATCTCCATAGAAAAGTAATTTAATATTTAGAAAACATTTTAAAGCTTTTGTTTTTGAATTATTTATTATAAATATTTAAATTTCTTTCTTAAAAAGCTTATTTATTTTTTTTTAAATAAAAGCTAACTATCCTACAAGAATTATCTTATATGCTTATTCCTAGAAAGATAGGAGACACAAACATATCGAAGGTTTTACCGACTATTAATATTTTAAAAAAAGAAAGTTTAAAAGGTTGGTCAATTCTACGAAAATCAATTATGGCATATGGTAAATCCTATTCACTTAGAGTTGAAATTTTAATAGCAGTGATGGCATTATATGCTTTTGCTTGCTTGCTGCTAATAGTTTTATCTTATTTTAAAGTGATGAATATTAATATAGTTATTATTGTTGAAATAGGATTTGATTCAATCCTCATGATTATTATTGTTTGCTTTGTGCTTTTTTGGGGAGCTAATCTGAATCAAACTTTTACAGATTAAATTACAAATCTTTATAATAATAAAATCTACGTTCAAGATCTTTTACTAGTTTAAGATTCTTACATCAACAAAGGAAAGATTTCAAATAATTTTTTGTACAACAAAGGTTTGTAAATAGCCAAATAAAATTTAGAGGAAAATTAGAGTATTAAGGAATATTTATAAGATCTTTTAGAGTACTATTAATAAATTATAGATGAAGTGTAATTTGATTAGTAAAATTATCCTTTTAAATTCTTAGGAATAACAGTAACACCAATAGTCCTTCAAAGTTTGCTTGTAGCATTAGCTAGTATAATTTCATCAGTGCTATTCAATTATGCTAATTAGTATCTAAACTCTAAAAATTCATGATAATGTCTTTAAAGTGTGAATTTAATTTTTGAAAATTTAATAAATAAAAATTAATACATTTAAAAAGCTCATTCTATAATAAAATGATATCAATCAATATATTTATTTAATTTTATATCTTATTTTTACTCATTCAATAAATAAAAATCTCATATTTGAATAAATGTAAGAAAAATAATAATAACTTAATTTTTTTATTGCTATTTAAATTAGATGAAATGATTAGAATATTTTAAGAATAAAAATAACAATAAGTAATATAAAAATAAAATAAAAAGATTATTATTTTATTTCATAGCGTTTTATATTTAGCATTATATCTGATTGACACTTCTCCTTTCAATTATTTTTATTTATTAATTAAATAAAAAGCAGTAAACACTAAAAATGTAAAAACTACAGAGTTAAAGGAAGAGAATATAACAATAAGGGATTTCAAATTCAGGTGTTAAACTGTTTTAATTCCATTAATTCTTAGTGAATTATTTTCTTTTGAAAATAATATTTTGGCATTGGCATATTTTAATAATTAAGAAGCAAAATTGTAATAACCATAATTCATTACATTTATTTAACATTAACCATATATTTTTCCATCAGGTGTTTATTATGTTTAATAGTAAGTATACATACTTGGGGTAATATCAAATATATACTCTTGTGAAACCAATTTAAAGGTAGGTAAATTTTCTGTAATCTAACATTTGCAATTTTCACATTTTGAAAAATCATATTGAAATATACTTTAAAAATACATTTAATAAATCTCTTAAGGGACGTACAAGTAATTTGTAGATATATCAACAGGATCAAAGTTGACTATTCTATGTTTTAATTTATCAGTAATATCTTAATTATTTGCATACACTCCATATATTTTGAGATTAAATAAGTTACTACCTACCAAAGAATCTTCAGGAGAGTTAAAAATTGGATTATTATTTCTGTCTAAGTCGTAGACTATATCAATTTTTTATTTTTGCTGTTAGGTTTTTTACAACAAATAATCACTGCTTTAAATTATGTCTTGCTCCTTCATATAATCAAAATAATTTTTATCCTTTCTATTAAAGAGTACTCTCCCATTTAAAAATGAGAATGGTAATCTTGAAGGATCATTTACAACACAAGGAAATGAGTATTTAAATTATTTATCTCCTATTTTTATAACATCTTAAACAATGTTTCCAACAAAATATCCACCATAAACAGTATTAGATTAATAGCTTTCTCCAATTTAAGCTGTAGAACTTGAGTGCATATTATACAACGTGAGCCCATAAGGTTATACTTAGTTTTCATAAAACTCTGGATCGTTTGCCTATATGCTAGAGTCTATAATAAACTGTCCAAGATCTGAAGAGTCTGACAAATCAAACTAGGCTAATATTTACTAGCTAACAGGTGGAGTTCCAAGTAATAATGTAATTTTATTTGAATTACTTTAAGTGTTTTCATCACCAAGTATTTCCATTTGTAATATGCCTTCGCAAACGATTGAGCTAATAAACAAAAAGGGGTATATCAAATTCATGTTTTTACTCACTTTGATTTAGATTTTTTTTATTTATTTCTTATAATTAAGTTATCATTTATTATTAATTTAGCAGAATATATGCGTTTTAATCCCTAATCTACGCTTGCCTATTGATAAATAGGCGTTCCTAATCTTCTTTTTAATTATTTATTATAATCAACAGATAAAGTCTTTCAAACAAAATATAAATTTATTTTTGGCTGCTTTAATTTTCTACTTTATATTTTTATAACACTTATTCTATAAACTAATTAAATAAATGCTTAAAAAAATCATTTTTTAATATAAATTAAATGCAAAATTTAGCTTTTTTTAATAAAAAAAATGATCTAAAACTTACAATAAGTAATAAATTACTGTAAAATAGAAAAAAAATATATCTAAAAAGTATTACTTTTGTTTTTATATTCTGGTTGAGGATAATAAAATTTTTTATATATTAAAAATTTTCTTGTAAATTAGAAATAATAAGTCAGAAAGAAAAATTTGAAATTTAAAATTTAAAATTTAATATAGATTATTTATTTGCTAATTAATTTATTTATATAATAATTTATATTTCTTTCTTAAAATATTCTTTTATTCTTATATTTTTTTGATAAAATAGATTTTTAAATGATAAGAAATATTTGAAAATTACAATTTGTATTTTATTTTTGTTAATTTAGCTATAAATGTTAGACTTAGTGGATAAAATTACTTCTATTATGAAATTTTAGGTTAAAGTTAGTTTAATCATTCTTAAATACTTTATTGAAGATTTAAATAAAAGTATTATTTTGTGGTCATCCAAAGAATTTTACAAATATTTACTACATTAATTAATATATTTTATATTTATTTATGTTTAATTAAGAAATTTTACAAATATATCAAGTAACTAAATATACAATCAAAGAAAAAATATTTTTCAAGAAAAATTTTAATTTCAACAACAACAAAAAAATCATCAAATAAATTTAACTTTCCTGGTTTATATAAATTTCAAGTGAATTTCTAAATTATTTGAAAATTATCATATTTTTAAGATACCTACTAATTTTTATAAGCAGAGTATCTTAAAAGTAAATTGCTTTTAATAAATTACTTAATATTTTATTTCATTTCTTGTTTAATTACAAACTTTCTAGATTAAAAAATACAGTAAATTACACAAATTTAGTTAATTGCTTGTTTTAAAAGAATCCTTTATTAAATAAATAAAGGACTAAAGATTTTAATGCTAACTTAATATTAATTCTTATTAAGCTTAGAATTTTGATAAATAAAATAAAATTCTATATTTTAAATTTAATAAAAAACATCTTCATTAAAACAAGTTATTTAAAGATAAAAATTATTTAATCAAAATAATGTCTATAAATATAAGATTTTACTTGAGTTGATGTTATTGTTTTTATAAATTTAAATATTATTTTTATTATTATTCATAAAAACTTATTTATCAATTCAAAAACCAAAAATCATATCAAAAAAAAAAATTTATATTTAAAAAAAAAGCATAAATTCAATTAAATTTGTTTTTTACACTTCTAAGTTATTTAAAATAGAAAATTATAAATTTTTCAATTAAAATATATAATTTTGTTTGTGTATCTAAGTGACTTTAGAAATAAAACGAATACTAATGATTTCTAGTATTTTTTGGTTTATTTAAATAATAAAATATAAAACATTTTAGATAAAAAGCAAAAGAATTAAATTAAATTACTTCAAAATTTAGATTAATTTTGGAAAATTTTGAAACAATCTTGAAATTTAATTTCAAATATGGGGAAAAAAAAATCAAAAGTAATAAATGCTAAGTAATCAAGTAGTTACAATTATAAAAATAATCAGAGATTTAAACTAATACAAATTTTTTGAATGTTTTTATTTATTCTATGAATATTAATACATATTCTAATTCTTAAATTCTTACCATAGTAGTATCCTCAAAAAAATCTATAAATATTGGAATAATTTTTTTGCATTTGTAATATGTTTGATATTTTTTAATTAATTATATATTATATTTCCAAATGATAATCTAAAATATTAGAATATTTTTAAAATAGAAATTTATTGAAAGATTGGAAAATCTTTATTCTAATTAATTAAAAAAGGATCTTCGAATAATTTTATTCCATATTCTTTTATATCTCTGATAATAATTCAAATTTTTTATAATTCAAAACCATTAAAAATCATTTCAATGCTTAATTAAATTTTTTCACATAATTTTAAGCTTTTTTTACTTTTCTTGTAAAAATTTTGTGAAATAAAAAATTATTTATTTTAACTTGTTTTACTTGTTAACAACACAAAAAAACTTAGAATAGAAAGATAATTAAATTTTTAGTTTACTTTTACTTTTATATTGTTTGTCGGTTTTAATCAGTTTTTAAAATCTATTACTGATTTTACATTACACAACATTTGCAAATTTATCAAAAATTTAAATTGATTGTAATAGTTATATTCATAAATTATCTGATAAATTTAGATCTTGTCAAAAAAATTTGTTCAAATTATAAATTTAATGTAGTTTGTTTTTAGCATTTATTTTGTTAAATTAGGAAAATAATTATTTAAAAAGGAGATTTTATAAATGAAAGTAGCTACAATAAAATGTTAATCTTGAAATGTTAAGTTAATCATAAATTGTGTACGGACTACATGCAAATGATGTCATTCAAAATCCATATTTGATTAGATACATTAAATTTACGCAATATGAACACTTAATAGAACTAAATAAGTAAAATTGTATTGAAAATAAATAACTATGAAAATAATTAAAATTTTTTATTGAAAAGTTGTGGCTGAAAGAGCCAAATAACTATTGTTCTATGAAAAAGTTTGAACAGAAATTTTCCAAAAATTGAATTAATTACAATGCATAATTACATAAATTCAGTCACAATAAATTTGATGGAATGAAATGAATTATTCTATGAAATTAAATTATGAATAAATTTTCTACCTTTCAATATTTACCACGTTACAAGAATCGATCAAGATAGATAGATATAAAGATTGACTGATTTATTGATTAATACATAGAACGAATCTTACGATATTTAAAATATTTAGTTGCTGCAAGTGCTTTCTTTACAGATATTTCTTTTATTTTTTTGATTCTTTATTTATTTAAAATATAATTTATCCTTTTCTCTTTTATTAAGATTTTTTGATAAATATCCCTTGCTTTAAAGAAAGATATTAAAATAAGTAGCAGTAATTGAAGTACATTTTTAGCGTATTGATGATATTCCTTTATTATTTTTGTTTACATAGAACTTAAAAATTAATTGTTTATCTGGAGAGTTGATATTATTTCTAAATTGAGTAAGATTGTTTAGATGAAAATACGAGAATTTAAATTAGAAATAAAAATTGAACTGATAATATTAGATGAAGAATTAGTGTTTAAACAATGTGATGCATTACTTATAGGTTGATGTGCAAATGTGACGCTATCTAAATTGAAATTAAAAATAGAGCTATTAATAATCAATCAATATATCTTGTTATTCTTTTTGTTGGTACGCAATAAAATAATAATTAAAATTTAAAAGGACTATAAGGGGGACTAAATTATAATATAAGAATAAACTAGATGACTCATAATTTATATTTATTATTCATTTTCTTATGAGACTGCTCATCAGATCAGATGAAATTTTCTCTATTCTATTTTTATCATACAATTTGCTATTTACTCTTTTCACTCTCTGTAAGATTTATCGCTTTAACGTTTAAGAATGCCATCCTACTAACGTGTTAGAAATTTCTAGCTAAAAGTATCACAATATATCCTCAGCTGATATTAATTTAAAGTACATGTGACTTTATGTAAAACGCGAAGAAAGTCATCAAAAAAGAATGACGTAAAATATGCTAAATTATAATTTGCTCTATTACTCCTGACAAAAGCATATAATTATTGTAAAAATTATATCAAATATGACTAAATATAGTAAATTACTTGGGAGTTGACAGTTTTTGTATGTAATAAATTGAATTTGGATATGTTAAGATTAACAAATGTAAAAAAATCATCATCTACGTAATTATCACTCAAATAAAAAATATTGTAAAACAAATTAATAGTCCTATCACAATTATAAACAAAATTTATTTAAAAACAATTAATTTGGCAAATAAATAAATAACAAACAGTCAAAAAAATCCATTTCATATCAAAGCAAAAACATTAAAATTCAAATGGGAAATCAAGCTCCTCAACTCGTCTACTCAGTAGAATGTTCAGAAAAGAAGGAAGGTGAGACTTCTATTAGAAGATCTCCCGTCTCTGCCTTAGGATTGAAGAAGCAACCTGAAAAGGATATTTTGACCATGCAAGATGCTTGGATTAAAGTAGTAAAAACATGTGGTGATCAGCAATTCCTCTTCACTAGAAATAAATAAACTAATATTTATGAAGGTAAGACTTACAATGAAGTCAATGCTTTAGCTCGTGCCCTTGGTTCTGCTATCGTTCATGAAAAACTTTACTACGAGTCTAACGAAGACAGCAGATTCCCTGGCTTGAAGATGGTTGGTATCTTTGCTAAAAACTGTGAAGAATGGACTATTTTCGATGTTTCAAACATGCTGTAATTATTTTTTAAAATATTATGTTTTGAATAAGGATTTTAAATCTTATAATTCAAGAAATATCTTCATTTTTTAAAGTTTTTAGCAGTAAAAAGCCTTAAAATTGAAAAAATTAGGCTGCATAAAACACATTTAAAAAAGCACTATTTTGAGAAGATAAAAATAGAAAATATTTTAAAAAGAAATAAGATGTTTTTAAAATTTTAAATAAAAACAATAAGTTTGCAGATTAAGTTTCTTATTAACTTTATTAATATTTCTAATTAAATAGTTATGGACACGTTGCTATCCCACTTTACGACACTTTAGGTCCTTAGAATATTACTTATTGCTTGAAGCACTCTGGAATTATTACTTGTATTGCTTCTGGAGCTTCTGTTTCTCAATTCGTTAAGACTACTGATATTGGAAGCTTAAAAAACATTATTGTTATTGACGATGTTAAGCCTGAAGACAAGCTAGCTATGGAATAAAGAGGTGTCAAGTTCTATTCTTGGGATGCCATTATTAATATTGGTAAGCTCAACCCTAAGGACATTGTTTAAGTTTAGGAAACTGACTGTCTTACCTTCTCCTACACCTCTGGTACTACTGGTGATCCCAAGGCTGCTATGATGTCTCATTAAAACTTTAACTCTGTTTTGGCTGCTCTCAAGTACCACCCTAATGTCAAATTTTATCCTGATGATGTTCACTTAAGGTAAATAATTTATTTAAAAATATAAGGATTTAGGAAGCAACAAAAATTATAGAAAGAAGAGATTATTTCAATTTTAATATTTAATTTTAAAAGTTTAAGTAAAGAATAGCCAATAGCCAAAAAAAAAAAAAGAGTAATATCATAAACAAATAAATTATCAAATAAACTGATTCAAATTGATCATAAAAATTTAATAAGCAAAAAAAGTTAAAAATAAATCAAATTAAAAGCAATAAATGTTCAAAATCCATATAAAATAATAAATAAAATTTAAAATAAAATCATAATTAAATAAATAAATAATTAAATTTAATTTAAAAAATTTGGTATTATTAACAAATTTAATGATTTTTCATTTAAAAATAAAGTTATTTGCCTATGCCTCACGTCTTTGAAAGAGTTTTCGTATATGCTGTCCTTTCTCAAGGTGCTAAGATTTAGTAAGAAATTATTCTTATAATTAAAAAATTCAATTAATCAATCATTAATTCATTCATTTTCAATTTAAAATTAATTAAATATTCTAATTAATAATAGCTTCTATTCTGGTGATGTCTAAAAGCTAAAGGATGATTTGGCTGTTGTTAAGCCCACTTTCTTCATATCAGTTCCTAGACTCTACAATAGATTCTATGATTTGATTAATTAATAATTTGAAAAGTAGACTGGAGTTTAGAAGTTCCTCTTAAACATGGCTTTGAGCACCAAGTTTGAAGGAATCAAGACTGGTAAATGCACTCATGCTCTTTACGACAAGTTGATTTTTTCAAAGACTAAATAACTTTTTGGTGGACGTTGCCGTTTCTTGGTTACTTCTTCTGCTCCTATTTCTAAGGATGTCATCGATTTTATGAAAGTCATCTCTTGTGTTCCTATGATTGAAGGTTATGGTCAAACTGAATCTACTGGTGCTACCTTCACTACTTTCTTTGAAGATCCTGAATCTGGTCATTGTGGTGGTCCAACTGCTGCTGCTGAATATAAGCTTGTTGATGTACCCGATATGAATTACTTCTCTACTGATAAGGTAAATAAAATAATTTAATTGAAATCTTTAATAATTTTCAAATCTTATAAATCAGAATGAAAAAGGAGAACCCCAACCAAGAGGTGAAATTTGCTTTAGAGGAACTGGTAACTTTATGGGTTACTTCAAAGACTTAGCTAAGACTAACGAAGCCATTGATAAGGATGGCTGGTTACACACTGGTGATGTTGGTATGATCTTACCTCATACATAAGCTTTAAAAATTATTGATAGAAAGAAAAACATTTTTAAGCTTCAATAAGGTGAATATGTTGCTCCTGAAAAGGTAGAAAACTCTTACTTAAAAGTTAGAGGTATTCAAGAAATCTTCGTTTATGGAGACTCTCTTCAATCTTATTGTATTGCAATTGCTGTTTTAGAAAAGGCCTTCATTGAAGATTTAGGTAAATAAAAGAATATTTCTGGTACATACGAAGAGCTATGTTAAAATCCTGAAATAGTTTCAGCTGTCTTAGCCTCTCTTGAAAAGTAGGGACGTGCTGACAAGCTTGCAGGATTTGAATTGGCCAAAAAGTTGTACATCCACCCAGAATCAATGGCCAATCTCAACTGTATGACCACAACAATGAAAATACAACGTCATAATGCCAAAAACGTTTTCAAACAATAAATCGATAAAATGTACTCTACTCCTTTAGCTAATGCATGATATTTCTCGTATTATATATCAATATACATATTATTCATACTTATGCTTATTCATATAAAAATTTAATTTAACTTCATCTTTAAATCTCTTAAAATTTACTTTATTAAATATTAAAATTTTAAAACATATTCAATTTATTTCATTTAATATTTTCAAAATAAGATTTACCCATAAATGCTTATTTTACTCAAATTGAAGTAAATAATTTATCTGTTAACTTGATATTTTACCATTAATAAAAGTGTTGTTTGTTTGAGTTGGACTATTTGAAAAATTAAAATAATTTTTTATTTTGAGTAAATGTGATGCAAATTAATAAAGAATATAAAATAGATAAATAATTAGCAAGCTACTTAATATTATAAATCAATCAGTGATTAAGTTTGAATAAGTAAAATTGATTGATAGGAAGTTAAGGCATCTATTAATTAATTAATTATCAAATATAAAACAGATTTGATTTTAAATAATTAATAATTATTTATAGTGATTTTGGATTGATAAATAATCCATATATAGATTCGTATAATAAATATTAAAATCATATAATACCATTAAACTTTATAAAGGAAAATATAATCAAATAATTAACTTTATAAAGAAATTATCAATAAGTATCTTTTAATTTTCAATTTGTTTTAGGTAGAATTGCTCAATAAATAAAGAAAGAAAGAAATAAATAAATACATTTCCAAAGTAATAAACAGTCAAGCATAATAATAAATTAGCCATAATGAGAAGAGCCTTCGATGGAACAGAAATAGTAAATTTATTTTACCTTAAAAAAGATTTTTTATGCTTTTTAAAAGATATTTATGTAATATTATTATAATTATATTAAGTAATAAAAACCTCCTATGCAGTTTTAGCAGTTTGCAAAGTAGTAGGGATAGCCTCCTTTGCATCCAATAAGACCTGCAAGTGCAAAGCCTCCTATTTACAATAATCTAATGCACAATAATGCCGATTAGTAGGAAGATTAGACTCCTTACTAGCACATTTAAAGTGTACAAAATTATAGCGATAACAATATTAACTCAAATAGAGTTATGATATAAAGCAAATAGGAGTAATCTAGGTTATACAGCGGTGGAATGTAAATTGAAGTTTTCCATAAAGCTTTCCTTTATGCAAATTGTATTCAAATAGATTTTTATTTCTAATTAATTAGGCAGAGGAACAACTCTGGACATAGAAGTTATGAAAATAACATGTAACAACTCAATAGAACAGCGTAGCAACTAAATAAAATCAAGTAGATAGAAATAAATGATGCATTATATAATATTCATTAATTGTTAAAATTAGTTCATAGTTAAATACGTCTAACTCTGGTCTTGATACTTATGGTGGAGATGTTGCAAAACATATGCCTAGAATCATACATTAAGAAAAAGAGCAGCTCTATGCAGAAACTTTACAACTAAAAAATCAAATAAATGAATTAAAAGAAAGCAACAAGACTTTAAAAACCCAACTATATTAAGTTGAGGTAATTTGCCATAAAATAAATATTTATTTTTGCAAAAGATTTTATTTTAATAAAACTACAGATTCAAAATTAGCAAATAAACAAACAAATATATTATCAAAATCAAATTTAAAAATTAAGCTTATGAATATAGAATTAACTAATTAACTAACTAACTAACAAAATAAATAAATAAACAAACAAATACTGATATTTATTTAATTTATTTTTAAAAAATAGAGAGATTCTGTAAAATATAAAAAAATTGTAGATTAGTATGAAGCTAATGGTATTGTCAAAGGATTCTATCCAAAAACAGAGGTAATTTTTATTTATAAAGATAATATTTTTGCTCAAGAATCAATCATACACGGTTGATTGTTTTTATTAATAGTCTGTTTTAGATATCCTAAAATAATTAAATCTTTTTACATAAAATAGGGAGGGCACATCACTGAGAATTTGAAAAAAACAATAAAAGATTTGAAAATGTAGTTAGCAGTGAAAGATGAAGAGAACAATAAAATTAAGAAGCAAATTAAATATACGAGATTACAGGAGCTAGATAGAGAAAGAAAGTGCTATGCTGAAGAGTGTACTCGCTTGAAGAATTTGCTGTAATAAGCTTTAAATGAAAAAATGGAAGTATTAATGTAAATATTACGTTTATATCAAATAGAATTGATGTAATTAATACAAATTTTAAAAACAAAGCAAAGAAACTGATTATCAAAAATTAGAAGAAAGACTATATGCCTAGAATAATGAGATTGAGCAATTAAGATATGACAACACAGAAATGGCTTAATAGCTTAAAAATTATGATAATCAAAATAATTACCTCTAAGTAAAAATATTTAGTTAATTTTAATTTAAATTAAACAATTATTTTTATTATATTTAATTAATTAATTAATTTATAATAAATAGAGAGGGTATAACGATTTAGAAAGAAAATCAAATTTGTAAATCACAACTTTAAGAAAGCATCTAAAAGAAAGAGATCGTGAGATCAATGAATTAAAAAATGAGCTTAGTAAGTTTAGGTTGTAGAATATTAATAACCAAAGTTCTAAAAAAGACTTTTCTAATTAGCTTCCAATCAATTCAAATCGTATGGCAAGACCTCAATCTGCTAAAAAGTAAACAAAATTTGTAAAACCAAAGTTTATTTAAATACTATTTTTTAATGTTTTATTTAGCAACAATCTGAGTACAGAAATGGGATTCCTAAAGAAACAATTAGAAATGAAAGATGATAAAATACGCTAACTTGAAGAAGATGTTATCCAACTACGTCATGAATTAAATACCCAAGGAAATTAGGGCACAGATGAATACGATGATGATAAGAATTAAAATAGTACCTATAGGGAAAATCAAAGTTAAAATAATTAAAATATTGATTCTATATAGTATTAGAAAGAGAAAAATTAAAATTAGCAGTATGAAAATAACAAAAACAATAACAATTAAAATGAAATAAAAATAGAGCAACATTAGTAATAAGTATTTCCTCCTTCAACAAAATCTAAGCAGTCTTCAAATTAGATAGAAAGACCTGAGTATTATTTTTTCATTCAACTTAAAACATTTTTAAATTTTATTGTTATAATTAATTAATTTCATAGAGATAAAAAATCTATTGATGGTGTTCTAAGAATTAATTCTGACTCTAATAATCAATATGTTACTAGAATAAAAAGAGAAGATATTGTTCACATTGGTAATTTAATATTTAATATTTAATTATTTATTTATTTATTTTAATTTTAAATTTTTAAGGTGAGGAAGTTTAATTTAAATTGCGTTCAAACGCTTTAAATCTGAACGAGGCTGCCCAACTCTTCTTTGACAATTTAGATGAATAAACTTCCATTAGAGATTTACAAGCCATGCTTTTAGAGTAATTAATTTATTGATAATTATGATCCTTAATTTTATTATTAATTAAATAATTAATTACAAAATATAAATTAAATAGTAAACCATTTAATCTACAATAAAATGATGCCCTCCTCTTTTCAAGGTATTTGGTTGAAGATAAGGATGGAAAATATAAATTTGACTGGGAATATTCTCGTAAAAATGAATAAATTTTCTAATCCTTCAGTGAAATAGTTGGTTCTTACTAAGTATTTTCTAAGGGCTATGCCTAAAAATTATATGATAGTTTATAAAAGGTAATTTTGTAAATTAAATTATGCTCTCATTTTTATTATTTTAACAATAATAAATAGATTTTTGCCAGCAACAGAGAGAGTATTAAAGCTACTTTATAGACTAAATCAAATGGAAAAAATACAATTTCTAAAGAATAATTCATATAAACTTTTGAGTTTTTGAATATTTAATTACAAAAAGACTAGGTAGCTTTCTTAATTATGGCTATGATCTAAGACTCGGTTGATTTGAATCACTTGTACTTTAAGAATCTCCTAAAATTATTCAAAGTAAAGCATAATGATAATGAATATTAGGATGAATTAGAGTAATATTAAGATGATTACGATTAAGAAGATTAATTAGAATCTAATGATCAATATGAAGATTCAAATGATTACAAAATGCAAGAATAATAGTATGAATAAAATAAAAATACAAATAACCAAGTAAAGATGCAAAGACCTTAATCTTCAAAGAGAAGAAACCCACTTCCTAATAATTAGATAGAGTAAGAAGACGATGAATATTATGACTAGTCTGAATAAGGAATAGAGGAAGATAATGACGAGGATCTAGAAGGACACTACTCAGAAGAAGATGATGGTTATGGTGGTTATCATCAAATAAATAAAAATATAAATTAAAATAATCACTAAATCAACAAAGAAGAAGAGAGTATAATTAAAAAATATGCAGATAGAAAATCTTCTAATGAATATGAAGGAAAAATCAAAGAGAAATAAAACCAATAAAATATAAATAGCAAATTAACTCCTTAGCAATATGATTAACTTTTAAAGTAGAAAGAGTAGGAGGTATTGTAGAGCTGGAAGAATGAAGATGAAGAAGAAGATGACTATGATGATTATGAACAAGAAGAAATATAAAATTAAAAAAATCACAAGAAGCAAGCCCCTATAGATGATGATCTTTAACAATATGTAGAAGATTAATTCGAAAAAAACCATTCAAAAAGTAAAGTTTAAAATTTTCAGTTTAAATAGTTTAAATGAAATAATTTAATTTAATATATTTATTTAAATAGATAAAAAAGAAACTCAAAAGTAAAAATCAGATTCTAAAAAATAAAATAAATAGAATAAACAAGAGGCCCAATATGAAGATCTGTATGAGTAAGAAGATTTTGATGATAAACCTTCCACTAAGAATGGATCAAAAGTATAAAATAAGGTAAAAATAATTTAAATAGTTTTTAATAAATTAAGTTTATATTAAAAATTAATTGTTTAGAAGAATTAAAATGAATATGAAGATGACTTTGATGTTATTTCGGATTAAAATTGAATTTAGCATTTAATTAATATAAAAAAATAATTTTTAATTTAAATTTGTTAAGAAATATGTTTATTATTGTAATTATTTACCCTGCTTGAAATCAAAAGTTATCAAGATTATTAAAAAATTTAAACTAAAATCATAATTTAATAACTTAATTCAAATTAATTTTTTTTAATTCTAAAGAATTGACAATATAATATAAATTTTCAGTAGCTTTGAAAAATGAGTTAAATGCAATTATTTTTAGCCTAATTCCAAGTGAAATTACAAAAATTTGAAAATATAATTTTTTTAACCTTTCTATCAATATTAATTAATTAATTATTACTCAACTAAGCTAAATAGCATATTAATTTATATTAAATTATTTTTGAGAAGCTAACAAATTTATTTTGATAAGTATTTTAAAAATTAAAGAATAATATTCATATAGATAGTAGTTATTAAAAAAGTTATTTAAGTTAATCTTTAATACATTTTAATTCGCTTAAGTAGTAATAAACTGTTAATTTATTGAATATTTCTAATAAGTATAAGTCCTCTTTGATTAGTACCTACTTAGATTTTAAACTAAAAAATAGGTTTTATTTCAATATTTTTTATTTTTAAACGGGTGCTAATCTAAAATACAAATCGGTACATTCCTATTATAGAATATATTTTTTAATAGGGAGGGATGATATTGAATACAAAAATACATTTTTTAATAAAATAAATAATATTATATCCCCTAAAATTTGATAAACCTATAATTCAAATATATATATATCACCTATTCCACCCCTCAAAATAAATTATTATTGTTGATATTTTAAAATAATGAATAATGAATGATAAAAAATTTTTATATTTTTTTATCAAATAATATTTTCATTCTTTTAAATTAATTTTTTTTCTTAATATTGAAATCCTTTGAATGTTGAACTAAATTTTAGTCACTAAGAGTGCACAAAATTAATTTAAGGTTTAGCTGTATATGAATTATATTAAATTAATAAGGAAACAAATTAAAAATAATCATATAAATTTATTGAAATATTTATTGTAATTGTTAGATATTTATTTAAAAGTAATTTCTTTTTCAAAAAAAACTGATTTTAAATTATTTTTTATTATTTTATAAAAATAATTTTTAGATTTGAATAATTAGATTAGAAATCAATAAGACATATATATTTATTGTGATAGTAATTTGTAAAAAAGTTATAATCTGATTTAAATATTTTAAAATAAAATATAAATAAATACATGATTTTATCTTATTTTTTAAAGTGGCTAGATTAAAGATTTTCACGCAAAGATAAAAATAAGAAGTATTTTTGCAAAAGTCAGAATTATTATCCAAGAAAAATTAAATAACTATTTAGTTAATTAATTGAAAAATTAATTAATCTTAGATAAATATTCTTTAGTTTTTTTTCAATTTATGCATTTATTTAAAACAGAATTTATAGGCTTTATTTGATAAATATTTTTACAAAACGAGGAAATATAGTTGAGATTTTTGGGAAAATTTAGAACATAATTAAGATTTTATAAGCGATTTAAATAGTAATACATACAGGCATATATATTAGTCTTTGTATTAATATATAATTTATTGTTTTTACTAAGATTTATAATAGGATTGCATAAATAAACACACCTATCAAGCAACAGTGTGCTTTTGACCCTTGGTCTTAAGGGAAGCAGCCTTTCTGGTGAGGAGGGATTGTCTACTCTTATCAAGCTTCAACTTAGTGAGGACTAATTGGGAAGCAGATAAGGGGATTTGGTAAGGAGCACCTAATTTTAAATACAACAAATTATTACTAAAACATAAATAAGGCTTATTATGAGATGATAACCATATATCCCATTAACAAACAACTAAATAATATAAATTCTTATTATAACTTCTCCTTTCGATTTTAAGCCATTCAAAGACCAATTTAGAGAGCTAGCTCTTAATCATCAATCAATCAATCAATCAATCAATCAAAGTTTACTAATTCAATTAGGTTGATTAATTCATTTATTAATTTATGCTTTTATTTATTAAGTAAGTAGTAGTTAATTACATAATTCATTTATTTATTATTTTGTTTTGTTCGTTCTGTTTTTCCCTGAGATAATTTGAATATTTGAACAAAAACTCATAGTAGATTTTGCAAAGCTATCAAAATAGCAAAGAATCAAATATAGTAACTTTTGTTAAAAGTATCTGAATTTAGATGCAAATTTAAGTGCTTTGATAAATTATTTATTATTCATTTTTGATAAATTAATGCACATACATGCATGCTGGTTGATAGAAATTTTTCATAAATTAATTTAGCCGATTGCATTTTAGATAAATGTGTCTTGTATATTTTTATTCTAGTTTGGTTTTGGTTTTTTTTGTTACTTACTTACACCTCTTTTGCTTTTAATTTGCTAATGAATTTCAACTAATTTGCTTAAGATGTTAATAGAGAATGTAATTTTAGTTTAGTTTAGTTTACTGAAATGAATTATAAACTTGAAGGATTGATGGATGAGAGACTAATTAGCTGAATGACTGACTGACTTATTATATTTAATTTAGCTAAATTGCTGAGTTGCCTTTGATAGTTAATTACTAAATATTTCCTAAATTGAACCGAAAATTCTTAAAATTTAAGGAGAAGTATATTGTTATAACCTAACACATAAGATTTCTACATATTATTTAGTCTTGTTATTCATTTGGTATATAGTTTATTTGGCTAAAAGCTAGTTAAAAGTTGATATTTGGTTAAAAAATTACCGTTGAGTTTGTTCTTGGAGATCTTTTCAACGTGGATAGCCCATTTCTTTCTGTAGACTTGAGTAACCTTACCCTTGTTACCTTTGAATTTACCTTTTTAATTAAAAAATAGTTTAGATAAGATCATCAGAAGCATAGGACTGAAATCTAATGAATAAGAAAGAGAATTTGTTTATTTGATAGATTGATGCTTTATCTAATCAAATCCTACTTTCCATAAAACTATTTCTAAAATAAAACAGAAATTGTGCTATTTGAATTCGGTTTTTACCTCTAACAATAAGAACTTCGTCGTCCTTTCTAACGGGCATGGATCTAACGTTGTACTTAGATCTGAGATCCTTGGAAAGGTGAGCAGACATCAAGGTTTGTCTGAGGTGAGAGGGAGAGGCGAAATGAGCCTTTCTTTATTTTCTTCTAGCAGATGAAACTTCTGTAATAATAAAAAATTTAGTTAATTAAATGCTTTCATTATCTAATTTGCTGAATTATTTCCATCCTTTTTTCTTTGGTTGAATGAGAGAGACAACGAAGAACAAACAGAACATGATCTAATTTTTGATTGTATTAAAAATCGAATGCATTTAAATGCTTGATTGCAAAATTTTTGCGACGCAGCCTTCATTTTACAAAGCGTGTATGTCGCTTGCGAATAAATAAACTCTCTGGCTGATGGGTTGATCATTGGTTCTCGTGTCCGTCCCATTTAAGGATGTCCAGCATTCAGTAGAATTATTATAAAAATATTAAATGTATACCGACGTGGGTTTTCATTTCTATTATTTATAAGTCTTTTGATAATGTTACTATTTGTATTTATTAATTCCTTTTATTTTAATTTAATATCTTTTCTTTTTAGCGTGCACCCAATTTTAATTCCCTCACATCAATTAGACCTCCTCTCTCTTTTTCTTTGAACTCTTAATTTTAACTTCGAAAAAATTTAATTTTTCCTTTTTACCCACTTTATTATTCTTATTATTTTCATACATATCCATTGCTCATACTTCACTCATTTTTGATAGTTCATTCATTCATTCTTTGACAAACACTTCATATATTTGCATGTATATGCTTCTTTATCCATTTTATTATTCTGCCATTTATTATTTTATTCATTCCACTTGACATTTAATTTTATGTCCACCTAATAAAATTATATTAATTCTCTGAATTGATTTTTTTATTAAGTTAAAATAATTTTTCAATAAATAAATTAATTAAATTACAAATAATTTATTCAATAATTTAAAAAATCCAGTGCATTTATTTAAAAACAATTAGATAAGCTAGCAAGCAAAAATACCTTCATTATTAATATTTATTATAAATAAAACTCCTTTAATTACAATAACAAAAAAAAAAATTCTATTTTTTTAATTTTATTTTTAAAAATAAGTCTAAAAAATGATAAAATAATTTATTAAAAAAATTTATTTCTTTCAAAATTTGAAAAAGAAAAATAAATAAATAATAAAAAGGATTTGATTTATTTTCTAACATAAGTTTTTTTTTCTTTGAATTTTTTCATTTATTTATTTTTAATTATTCTTTTTTTATTTGAATGAAAAACATTTTATTAGATAAAAAAAATGATAAATTATTTTAACAATTTTTTTAAAAGTGAAAATGATCAAAAAAAAAAAAATAAATATGAAAATTTATTTATTTATTTATGATAAAATAATTTTAAGCATTCATTTTGGTATGTATAATTTCTAAAGTTTAAAAAAAGATGTTAAGTGAAGAATGCCGTTTTGAAGTTTAATATTAAGAAAGTGGCCCATATTTGAAAATACTTTACTACGCAGAACATAAATAAATGCGATTTAATTCAAATTAACTTGAGCTCTGTTTATTTATTTTTACAGGAAATATTTATTTTTATAGAAGATAATAAAAATCAAGCTTGGAATGCCTTTCCGAACTTGGGTTGGAGCCAATCAGGAAGAATGGGCTTGGACTTCTTGGTCTTATTGGCACCATTGTCAGCGGGGAGGGCAGCAGATTGCTTTAATTCGTTCTTGACGGATTCGAGAAGAGCAGGATCGTACTTAGAAGTGTCTCTCTTATTAGCTAAGTCTTCAAGAGCGTAGAATCTGGTGAAGTCGAACTTTTGGCCAGGCTTGGTAACGGCGAAGGGATATCTTTCGATGAAGGTGTTAACTTCCTTTTCGAATTGAGCTCTACCGTCAGCAGTTTATAAGTTGAATTTACCGAAGGGGTTACCGTTAGCTTCTTACTTTTCCTTTTCAGAGTAGGACTCGTAGAATGCTTCATTGTAGAAGAATCTATCCCAAGCTTCGTTTCTGAAGAGACCGTAGTATTAGAACATATCTAAGGGGGTAATCTTAGAGAGGGAAGTCCATCTACCGATAGGAGTCATATCACTCATATATTCTCTGTAGACGAAGTTTTCCCAGTTGAAAATATTATCAACAGTTTCGGAAAGTTATCTTTCTTCAGCTTCCTTTCTAACCCAGTCAGGGACGTAGAAACCTCTTAAACCTCTTTCGACCTTGTAATATCTAGCTCTTCTCTTCTTCATGAATAAAACGGTGTAGGGATGTAAGCTATTTAAATTGTTATCAATAAATTAATTTGCTCATAATTTTAATTATATTCATGATATTTATTTTTACAACAAAACCTCGTTTTTTCATTATTCCTTCATTTAAAAAAAATTGATAATGGCTTTTCAATAAATAAATCATCATTATCATTATCATCATCTATATTAAATTCACAAAGCATAATCAACTTAAAATCTTATTAAAAAATTTCTGTAAAATAAAAAATAATATGGGTTGGTTTACCAAAACCTATTCTAATCATTTATAAATAAATAAATAATTAAGTAAATGAGTACTAACTAACTAGCTGTCATAAATGATAATTCAGCCGATTTTTATTGAAATGGACAGATAAAATGAATTTTTAGAAAATTCCATTTTGATGACTCACTCATTAAATTTTAAATGAGTTATGATTTTATTGATTGATTGGCTGGTAAAGCGAAAATGAGAAAAATATAAAATTGAATAAATAAATAAATTAAGATTTGTTTTCTATTTAAATTTAGATAATAAATTTAACATAGCTCGCAATTAATTTCTATTTATGCACAATATTTTTCAATCGTTTGGATTCAAAATGAACTGTCTGAATTTCTTTCTGTCAAATTCATTTATTTATTCTCTTAATAATTTTAATATTTACTGCTTATTTCCATAGACTAAATGCTAATAAAATTTATCATCGGTAATAGCAGCCGCTGAATTTTTGTTTATGAACCTACTTTTTGATAGCATTTTTTGAAAATATCTGGAAATAGTTAATCGCTATTCGATTAGGAAATATCTGAGCTAAAAAAATTGATTTGCACGTTTCAAATTTTTATATTCCTAACTTTTAGTACTATCAAACTTATTTCTATTAGAAATATTATTCTTTGAAGCTCTTCGCTTCATAAAATTCAAATTATTTGACTCCATGGAAGGTCAATCATTTTGTTTCTTGTTTTCTAATATTGGATTGAATCAAATGTCCAATCTATTTTGCTAGAATTCTTATTATATACCTAAAATTTGTAAAACAAACTGACCAAATATCTAAAATGTGGTCAGTTTACAATTGCCTATCTTTTAAGATAACTTGTTTGCTCGCTGTTATATAAAAAGCTCCCTACTCAGTTTACATAAGAAGGGAAAAGAAAAAAAATTTGCCTTTATATTAATAAAGAAATTTAATCTTAAATCCTATTTCGCTTGTTTCTTAATTAATTTATTTATTTAGTTGATTTTTTTGCTTGTTTATTGCTATTGTGAAGGTAAAGATATGAAAGAGGTAGTTTGTTTGGATTTTTATCATGAGATATAATTAGATACTTCAATTTCTAATAAATAAAATGGATAATCACTTTTATCTGGCAACAGTTTCAAAGAAATAACATCTTCTGAGTTCTCTGTCCATGAAAAGGAGAGAGTCTTCAAGAGTGAGACCTCTTTGGTGAGCAATATCGAGTCTCCATCTGTAAATGAATTTGGCGAGGAGGGGTTCGAGAGCTCTCAAAATGACTCCAGAGAAACCAGTGTTGAAAGCGTTGTGTTGAGCAACCTTGAACCATTCAGTTCTGTTTTCATTATACCACTTGCTAGGAGCGCCAATAACTCTCTATCTGGAGAAAGCCTTAACGTTGACTAATTGTTCCCACAAAATCTTTTCCAATCTGACCATTTTTAATAAAATATCTCTTCTTCTTTTAAAAAAAATTTTAACTTTTTTTTATTCTTTTCTTCTGAAATTATTAGATATTTTATGTATTATCTTTTCCCTTCTTCTCGCCCTTTATTTTATTTTATTATTTTTTGTATTAACTTTTTCTTCTTCTTTCTTCTTTCTTCCATCTTATTTTTCATTTCTTTTACTCTTCACGATTTCTCTCTCTTCATCTTTATTTTCTTTACTTATTTTAAGTCTTCTTTGCAATTCTTTCAGTGTATCACAGCTTCTTAATTAATTAATTACTAGCTGCCTAATTCAATTGCATATATACACAAATAATTAAAAAAATGCATGATTTATACCTGTTGATCAATTCAATTCTATTATTTCTGAAAGCATTAATTAAATTATTTTTGTATTCTATTTTCAAAAATTAAAATGAATTCTTCATTCATTCATTCATTTATTAAATTTCAAACTCTCTAAAAATATTTTATATTGTAGATATTATTTTTTAAATGGAAAAAAAAAATCAGATATTCAATAAAATTTTAAATACAAGCTAATTCAAACAAAAACTCAAAAATAACAGTTAGATTATGAATTTAAATCTATGTATCTATCTATATGTTCTTATTTCAATTTTTATTTTGAATGTTTAATTTTATCACTAAAAAATATATTAGGAAAGGAAAATATTTTTGAATCTAAAGCTTCCTTAATAAAAAATCTATTTTTAGTTTTTAAATGCTTTAAAGAAATTTTCATAATATTTTTAATTACTCAAAAATAAAAAATAAATTTTTTTTTTCAAAAGCAAAAATTTAGAAATTGTAAATTTAATAATTAAATGTTCATCTTTTATTTATGAAAAGAAAAAGAAATTAAACTAGGTTTTTTTATAATTCTATCAAGTTAGGAAATTTTCATCAAAATAAGAGAGTTAGAAATATTTTAATGATGAATTTTTAATAGATATTTTATGTTAGTTATCATGCACAAAATTAACAGTTAATAATTCTATTAAATATAAAATAAATAAATAAATAAATAATTTAATTACTATTTAAAATAATTAGAAACAAAAGTTATCATAAAATATTTATTTTAATTTTTTTCAAATAACAATAAATTTAATTTAAAAATTTATTTTAAAGTAGAAAATAAAGAGAAACTCTTAACTAAAAACAAGAAAAAGATTTCTATAAAATTATGAATAAAATCACTAATAAATATTTCTGAAGTGAAATCAAAGTATTCAAATTTCTTCTTAGTTATTCGTTGTTTTAATAATTTAATCTTACTATTTAAATTTATTTTTTCATATATTAATAAGATTGTGTTGAGGTTAGAGAATATTAATAAATGCTATTTTTGTTGTTGTTTTGTTCTCAAAAATGTAAGCTTGTGTGTTTTAAACAAACATGAAATTTCTTTAGATTTTTACATTTGATTAAATTTAAATTTAATTAAAAAACTATTAAATATTTTTAATTTTTTTAAAATCAACCAATTAAAAGTTTTGATAAAATGTAAACAACAAACAATAAGTATAAGTATTAAGATAATTTAAGCTAACAAATTCTACTTTAAAATTTTATTTGCATGAACAGTCTAAATCAATAAAATAAATTAAATAATAAAGAATCAAAAAATAAATTTATTTATTTACAACGTTATCAAGTTATATCTGAGTAAAAAAAGTTTTTGCTTAATTTTAATTAAATATTGTTTGTTATTTAAATAATAAGCTTCTCATCTCTCAAAATTTAAACATAAAACCTGAGTGAAGAATATAAAATTTATTTAACTGAGGTTTTTAGTTCTTGGATAAAAAATATTTACTCCTGTAAAATATCAATTATTTTTAATTTTGTATTTTTACTTTTTAAATTTTCTTAAATTAACACTAATAAATTTTCATAACCTTTATACTATTTAGAGAAAAATAATAAATATTTTTTGTTTAGTTCTTATAAAATTTGTTCCTAATTAATTAATAAATACGTACATATTTACAGTATATTGATTATTTTATTTTATTAACTAAATTAAAAAAATCTTCTGTTTAGTTATTATTGTTATAATATTATTATGATCGCTTTGAATTCAATTTTAGCTACAATATAAATATTTACCAATAAATTAAACGTGTAAAATTATGTTCTTATCTGCTATCTTTATAAATATATTGATAAGATTACAGGTTAAATTAATAAGCAATTACTAAAATATAAATATCATTTTAAACAAAAAATGTTATTTATTCTAATTCTAATAGAAAGAAATCTATGTTACTAAAAAATTATTTTTGCTATATTTTTAAAGTAAAAGTTTATAATTTAAATAAATTTATTCATTTTTTCTTCTAAAAAACTTTTATGTTTCATCTACATTTAATAATTGAATTTCATTAACCATATTAGGAGTAACTAAAGCAATATTTAATATTCCTCATTTAAACATTTTTAAATTTAAATTTGACTTTTATCAAATAGATTTATTTGATTAAAAAATAATAGTTCTTATTTAAATAAATAAATAAGTCTGAAAAAGTTTACTATTTTATTTAAATTGTGTGTTTAGAAATTTAGATTAAAAATTTGAATTTCTACAACTCAAATCTTAAAAAATATTATGAATTTAAAAGCAGAATTAGTATTTAATTAAGTTTTGACTGTTTGGAATTAGGTTAAATTCATAAATATATAGTTTATTTCAAAATTAGAATTAGAATTTTAGATATTAGAATTTAATTAATTTTTTAATTTATATTTTCAAAACTATCTATTTAAAACTAAAAATCTTTTCATTTTAAAATGTGCCAAAATTTAAGATAGATAAAAATAATCCGTAACTAATTGCTATTAGAATATATAAGATATTAGCCAAGAAATAAAAAATTCATAGGAGGAAAAATTGAAGAAAAATCTTCTATTTGAAAAAATCTTTTTGGTATTTAGCAAAAGTAAAAGTGAAATTTTATTTGTGTAGTATTTTTTATTAAAAAGCTTTAAGATATTATTTTTTTTTGTGATTAGATTTTAGTTTTTGTGATTAAATATTTGAAAGAATAAATCTTTTATAAAAATTGAGATCTTCAGAAAAAAAACTAGATATGAGTCAATATGTAGGTAGGTAGGTAGGTAGGTAGGTAGGTAGGTAGGTTAGATTGTATGTATTTATGCAAAACAAAATTACAAAATTGATAAGATAAAAAATTTATAAACATTTGATTAACTGATTTTTCTTAAGCATTCATGAATTGGCTTTAATAAAACAATAATAATAGGATGGGATGGACCAGCACTTTAGTTTATGCTTGATTGTATGTTGGCTTAATATTCTAAAAAAAAAACATCTATATGAGCATTTGTGCTTTTACAAATAATAGATAAATATTGATATGTAGGCAAACAAATAGCATTAAAAAGTTTTTATTTGTTTATTAATATGTTATCTGCTGTTTAAATACTCATCTTAGGTGATTGAATCATACTTATTGAAAGCTAAAAAGAAGGTTTAGATAATAGCTATTTTAAAGTTAGTATTTTTTATTTATTTATTAATTTGTTAGCTGTTTATTTTGCTTGTTCACTGACTGGCTGGTTTGTTTGCTTGCTTGCTTGTTTATTTAGTTAGTTAATAATTTGGTAGCTTGACTTCATTTCTTTATTGTTTATTTAAGATGAGAAAGTCAGAAACAATCAATCAATCAATTGATCAAATAATGAATGAATGAATTAATTTAAATAAAATTAATTCTTTACTTCAATGAGTAACTCTAATAACAATAATACTCATATTATCAAGACCACTAGTTTATCCAGCAGTTGTAGGAGCTAAGATTTCATCGAGGAATCTTTCACATTAATCTTTCAAGTTAACAGATTTATTTTTGAAGGTATCCACTATTGCTTAGTTGGAACGGCATTCCCAAATACCATCACAACCAAGGATAATTAATTCAATATCAGCATTTAATTCTCTATCAGTAACGTCAGGGAAAGCAGTAATTATAAAATCTTTAGGGTCAGTGTTTTTGGAATCTTTTTCATTTACTTTATATTCTAAATCACCTAATGCTCTAGAAAGATTCAGATTTCCATTGACTCTACCTTAGAAAACTTCGCCACCTGCTTTTTGAATACGTTTCTTTTCTTTGTCATCATCAGGCTTATGATCTTCACTCAAAGCAACTGCTGTTCCCTTAACAGAAACAATTGCACGAGAATCACCGCAATTTGCACAGTAAATTTTATCATTTGTAATCAGCACAACGTTAGCAGTGCATCCTGCATTTGGGTTATCGATTTCTGAGGTACCTTCTTCTGACCTAATAAGATCATCCATTTTTAAGAAAGTGCGTTCTAAAGCTTCTTTATATTTGCCGCTTTTATATTCATTACTATTGACTAGTTCAGATTGGAACTTCTAAGCAACAAATTAGGCAACTTCTTTACCACCATGACCATCAAAGACACCAAAAAGAGCAGTACCTTTATTGTCAATATCTAAATTATTGATATGGGCATCTTCCATACTTGTTCTCCATCCTTACATAGAAACTGAAGCATATTAGAACTTTTGATTTTAATTCACTTCAGATTCCTTTGTCTTTACAGGCTAAGATAAATAACTCCCCATTTCTCCTTGTCTTAATTATATTCTTCTTTCCTTTTTTTATTGTTTTCACTAGTTTTCTAATGCTTTATTTGATTTTTATCTATCACCACACTAACTATATGGATTATAAAGACTTATTTCCTTGAAAGAGTTTTTCTCTATTCTTTTTATAGTTTATTTGTTTGTTTTTTTGAATTAATTCAAATCCTAGCTTTTTTTATGAAAATTATTATATCAAATCAAGAAGCATTTATTTATTTTTTATTCATACATGCATTGATTAATAAATAAATAGATATATATATACATATATTCAATTAATAGTCATACATACATGCATTAGGACATATAAATGATACTATATGATCAACTTCTCATCTAAGTAGTTAGTGAAAATAAGTTCAATACAAATTTTTATTTCTGAAAAAATTACAATAAAATCACATCAGTATTTCCTTTCAGCCAATTAATTATTTAATTTTCAATTTTTGCTATCCTCAATTTCCAAAGTTAAGACACACTCACTCTTTCTCTTTCTAGTTCAACTTATATGATCCACTTTAAATTTTATTGCATTTTGCTTAATTTAAGCTAAAAAATGTTTTAAAAGATTAAATAAATACGCTCCCTTTCGTAACTAACTATTCTCTCTGCTCATAAATTTATTATTTTTTACATTTTTATTTAACAGGTTTTTGAGAAAATCTTAGTAAACAAAAAAAAATTTAAAATTTGTATTTAAAATATATTTATATCAATTACTAAAAATAGGATTAATCAAATATGCATTAAAATTAAACTTCAATAACTATTAAGGAAGTAAAAGGTTTATAAAAAAATAAATGCGTTTTGCAAATATTACAAAAACAAAATATATTTATCTCATTAATTAAATAAATAGAATTGTTTTATTTTAGATATTTATTGTAAATTCTCATTAATTATTATAAATATATATTGACGAACATCCTAAATTAATAAAATTAAAAATTTTAAGATTTTTGTTGAAATGAAAATATTAATAAATTAAATTGTAGAAAAACTACGATAAATGAACTACTATAAATAGTTTAGTTATTAAATTTATATAAACCAAATATGAATACAAACATAAATTTATAAATAGTTCTAATTTTTAATGATTTGCATTTAGTATTGGTTGATTCTTTGTCAATATACTTACTTAAGAGTTAGGTCAGAAAATATGTAAAAATGTTTAGTTTAATTTTGTTGAATTGTTAGTTGATATTATGTGTAGGTAGATAGGTAGCTATATAAATAAGAGATTTAATTATATTTATATATATAAATAAATAAGAAAATAAGTAAGTAAGGGTCAAACATTGTTAGATCTCCATTAAGGAACTTTTAATCTGCCACCTATTCCGAGAGGGTTTCCTGCAAAAGAGTCAGCAGAAGGTCCAAATCTATCAATTTTACCTTGGTTGTCAAACTTTTGAGTTATTCTTCTCTCAGCAGCCTTTGTTTATTCAAGTAAGCGATTTTCTATGTATGAATACTTTTCTTTATTAATGGATTATATACGCTAAATATCAATGGATTCCTCTTTTGTTTATATTTTCTTTTCAAGTACTCTAATTTGTTTCTTTCTAACCATCTATTCTTCCTTTGCTTTTATTCTTGTTATTTCGGTTAGAGATACCTTTTTTTTAACTTTTTCTTTTTCTTTTTATAATTCTTCCATTTCTCTCAATTTTTTTCTCTCCAATTCCTTCTGTTCTTGATATTATTTTATAAGTTACTTCCTTTCTTCTTTGAGTTTATCATCTCTGATCCTCTTTTCTTTGTCAAGAGACTGAAGTATTCTCTTTTCTTCTAACTCTTGCTATACGATGTTATCCTTATAACTTAGTTTATTCTACTTCCAAACCATAATTTTATCTTTTTGTTTAAGACGCTCTTCCATGATCTGCTCTCTGGTCTTTTTGAGTTTTCTTTAAATGAGCACTTCCTCTTATATTTTTACTTTTTTAGATTTTAACTCTTCTTCTAATTGTGTTTTTTGATCCTTGATGAGTTTATATCTCTTTAAGACATCTTTTTTTTCTTAATCCAATGCTGAATATTATAAGTAAAGTTGAATATGTTCTTCGATTTCTTCTTTATCATGAACAGGAATAACATTCACACATTCCTCTATAAATTTTGTGTTGTTGATCTCATTTTTATATTTGCTTTTGACTCTAAGAAAGTCTTGGTGATCTTCCTTGAGCCAGCCTAAGCTTTAATCACCCATATTCTTCATTTACTACGAGATTTTGTCTATGTTGAGTTTCAAATCTTAAAGGTCATTTTCCATATCTTCAATTTAATTTTCAATTTCTTTAATATCATTTTGCTCCTATTCATTTTACTTCTTTTGTTTCTTACCCTACTGCAATGCAAAATTTAATTCATCTCTCATTATATCTTCATCAGGATCATAATCATCTCCCTCTTACTCTCTCTGATCATCTTCATTTCCTGAGTCATCAACTGTCTCTTTTTAGTTAACTTTACTGCCAAAGTCAGACAAACTGTTTTTACTCTAAGAAGGCTAAGTATTTCTATGATTAGTATCTTATTCTCTTCCAATATTCTCCTTATTGCTAATGCTATTTTTTCTTAAAGGAGGAATCTTATTATTCTAATTTGAGCTATTCTTTTTAAGTTTTGTTTTAATTTTATTCTCTATTTCTAACTCTTCATCTTATTACTGGTCTTCTACTCCATAGTTGACACCAACTTAATTTAATATTTCTCTATACTCCTCTTCTTCATCTTCATCGGTATCTAGCAGTAACTATAAATTAGTTTAATAACTATTGCTTTCTAGCTTATTTTGAGTAGGTTAACTTCTAGCAAATGAGTGAACTCCCCCATTTTTCGTTAAAACAGACTATTTTAAAAGTGCATTTCATATAATTTAAAATATTTAAGATTCATTTAAATTACATAATAACTTTATTACTAAATAAAACAAATAAATAAATAAAAAAATAAATATCCCTTCTTAAAAACTTTATTTACAATTATTTTTTACCTCATTACCATCCTAATATTCTTCTGCCACTTCATTTACTTCATACAAATTCACCTGCGAATTCTATTTAAGCATTTTAGCTAGCTTTATTGCTTCACTTTTTTTCTTTCCCTTTTGATCATAATCATCTCCATAGTTTTCCTTCTTGGTTCTTTTCAATTTATCATTTTCTGATTCATCATCGGAATCCTCTCCCGAATCACTTTCGTTGTTAATCTTTTTATCTATTTTTGATAGATATTCTTCGATTTGACTTTTCTCTGATTCCATCGAATTAAAGATATCCATCTGCTCTAATTTCAAATCATCAAATTTTTTTTCTAAAACCTAAATCTAATCCTACAATTACTCAGGTCTTACTTTTTTGCTGCGTTTATTTTCTTTGTAAATTCTCAATTCTACTTTTAAAGCTTTAATTTTCTTAAAAATAAGTTCTCTCTCACGAGATCTATCATAATTATTTTCGTCTTCTTCGCTGCTCATCATTATAATCTTATGTTTCAACTTGGTAGTTTTGTTTAATGCCAAAAGCTTCAAAACATTTATTTGATTATGCTCAAACAGCTCATGTCTAATTTGATTATAAATTTCTCTCCATTCCTAAACATCTTTTGTCAAATAGTTATTTATTTTTAAATATCTATTGATTTATTTAAAGCAAATATCTACCTGTAATATCTTGATTGTCTTATACTTCTTCCTCATCTTCACTTTTTTATTATTATTCTTGCTAATAACCCTCATTTTAATCTTCTTATTCCTAATCATTGTTATTCACCTTATAATTTCTAATTGTTTCTTATAGATAAGATTTCCCCTTAATGTGAGTTTTATCATCATTAATCATTTTTAATAAATATCACTTTATAATTTATGAAATTATCAAAATTTCAAAAATATTATCAATCAATTTAACTTAGTTGATTTAATCATTAAATTTTTTTTAAGTTAAAAAACAACCAGTTTATTTATCCAGCAATAGCAGCAGTAGTAGGAATTAATATATTAAAAAAAATAAACAAATCTTTAAAAATTTGATTCAAATAATAAATAATTAATAGAATATTTAAATATCTTTAAATCATATGAAATAAATATATTTTAAAAATAAGAAAATAATTTAAACAGCTCAAATAAATATTTGCTTTTAATTTATTTGATCTTCAACTCAAATTTATATTTTCAAAAGATAAAAATTTAAATTATTTATTTATTTCCTTTAAAATTTAGCTGATTAAACAAATTCTATTTTTTTTTTATATCTTATCTAGAAATAAATAAAAATTCTATTTAGTTTATGCTAATATTCCAAAGAATATTTGAAATTTGACTTCATTTATCATAAAATTTAAACAAAAAATAATTTAGAATCTTCAAGTTTGTTTCATTGAATTAAAGCTGATTTAAAAAGTATTTCATAAAATGAAATTAAAATGAATTAATTGACTTTGTTTTGCTTTGGATTAATTGAACAATAGCTAAATGAACGAACAAATTAATACAATGAAATAAATTAATTTTTAACAATGCAAAAAATAATTATTTATTTATTTTAAAACTTGATTTACTTTAACTTAAGATAAATATAAAACCTAATTAAATATAATTTATAACATTAAAAATGGTTGATTAATAGTTATTTTTTGAAAATAAATCTGATAAAATATCACTATTTTAAAAGAGCGCTAAAATACGCCAATATTGATTGTGTTTGAATTTAAGTACAATAGATACAATTTTCTGCAAAAATTTAATTATTATATTACAAAAAATAATCTAAATAGCTTTTGTAAAGTAAAATATTCATTAGACACCACCAATTTATACCTAATCACTTTTAAGAAATGGCTAAAAGAACTAAACCTTTAACTCTTGAATAGAAGAGAGAAAAAATGCTCCATGTCTTCCATGAAACTGTAACTAATACAAGATTTTTTTTAATAACTATGGTTTTTATATATAAAATGCCTAATTGTGTAGCAAGAAATATTAATGATTTTTTTTTTAAAGCAATAAGTTTACAACTTGAAGGAAATTGAAAAATTCTCCACAAAGGCAGGCATTGGTAATAAATAATAACAATAAGCTTTTTTATTCAAATACTTAAACAAGCATGATGCTATAATTAAATATAATTTTTATTAGTACTTCCTACTGTAAAGGATGTTTTGATGAGTTTGATTGCAGATGGACTTGTTGATTCTGATAAAATTGGTTCTGCTAACTTTTACTGGTCTCTCCCTTCACAAACTTACTTGATTGTAAACTAAATAAATTTACTTTGAAATATTTAAAAGCAATAGTTAAAAGTAGAATTCTTTGAATAGCCATTTTTATATAATAGTTAAAATTAAGATTAGCTGAAGCAGAACAAAAAATGAAAGATTGCGATTAAAAAAAGGTAGAATTAGAGGATGAGCTAGAGAAATCCGTTATAGATAAAGAACCAAGCGTAAATAAAATTTAATAATGATAAAGTTTAATTAATGTATTAAATTAATTAGGATGATCGAACAGAATAGCTGAACAAATTAAAGGAATTGTAAGAAACTTTAAAGAAGAAGGAAAAGGATTTAGAAAAATACAAGAAATACGATCCTGAAAGACTAAAACAACTAGGTAAATAATATGAAATAAAATATATAAAATAATGTTAATCATATATATAAATATAAAGAGGAGTAAACTGAAGATCTTAAAGCTAAGGTTAATCTGTGGACTGATAACTTATTCTCTTTAAAATCTTACATATAAAAATTAACTCCTATGGATGATGAAGAAGTTGAAAAAGCCTTCTCTATTCCAGCTGATCTCGATAATGTATGATAGTTGAACCAACAACTAAATAGTAAGCACTAACTAACTATCTACAAATTTTAAAGTGAAACACAAAAGATAAAATAAATTTATTCATACATTCATTCATTCATAATTATATATTACATACTGAAATTTTATCTATATAAAAATAATAAAATACTTTGATAATAATAATAATAATAACTATTTTCCATGAGTCTTTATTTGTATTACCTTGCTTGATTGTTTGTTTGTGAGTATTCTACCTTTATTATAATTAAAACAAAGTTATTTTATTTCACACTCACTAAAAACTAATTCAACCAGCAAAAAAATATTAGAAAATAATTCATATTATCATTTCATTATATTCTTATATACTTCGTGACATTGTATCAAGATAATCAGTAAAAAAATACATTTTTAGTAAGGAAATTTTTTTAAAATTTTAGTAAAACTTAATTTTTTCAAATTAAAAATATTTATTTTTAAATTTTATCAATTAGTTACATAAAAATAGAAAACAGACATAATAAATACATCATATAATTTTAACAAAACTAATTATTAAAATCTTGCTGTTTAAAAGTTTATCATTAATTAATTAATTATCTTAAATATCATTTATGATTAGTGATATAAAAAAATTATCAATTTTTATGTGTTTAAAATAATTTTGAAAAGTTTAATTTAAAAAGATATATACTAATTTAAATGGTATGTATAATTAATATATTTATATACAGTTGAATTATCTTATAAACTAAAATTAATTGATTAAGTATAAGAACATATTTATTTATTGCTAACTAATATTACGTATACAGATATTTATTACTTTTTTATTTTTTTACAATAATTATTAATTTAGTTTATATAAAATAGATCTAATGTAAGTAAATTGGATATAATTATCATTATCATTCATTAATTTAATTAAGAGTTTATTTAAATATTAATTGAAAATATTAACATATGATTAACTAGTTTATTTATTATAGTTTTTAATTGATTGATTGGTTTATTTATTTATATAATTATTGATTTAAAAAATTTCATTTGTTTTCTTATGGTTAGTCGATATTTTAACTATTGTTTTAATTATGCTATTTGCAGTAAACATCTGAAAAATCGTTCAGATCTATATCATCTAATCTCAATAAATCATCAATATCGTCTTGAGAAGAAATATAACTTTTTGTATTGTTTGGATTGGAGCTAACACTTTCTATATCGCTAAAATTTTCTTGGTCTTGCTCGTCACTGTTTTTTTCACTAAGGAAATTGGCTCTTTGTTTAGAACTGCTTGGCTTTTCTTAGATTTCAGTATACTCTTGATGGTTGATGAATATGTTATTTGAGTCTATTTAATCACTGGGTTCGTAGAAATTACACATCTTTAAATATGGCTCGAATAAGTCTTTTGTTTAATAATTATTCAAATTGTTTTGTTATTATTGAGGCTAATATTAAATATTATTTTGAGCTACTTTTTCTTTCAAGGAATCAAATGTGTTTTAGTTTAGCGTTTCAATAGAATGGACTTAATTCAAATTTTACTAAAGAGTTTGATTTATTTCCAGTGACTTTTACAAGAATGTGAAAGGGTCATACATTTTATTTGGTGATGTTTTGTTGGACTAAGAATTTATTATTTTGGTGTGGTCTCTTTGATAATTAAGGCTATCTCCAAAAAGAGTATTTTAATTTTAAAAAAGGGTTGAGCTAATCTTAGAAGGAATTTCGATAGTAGGATTTAGAAGATTTGATTGGATTGACTAGAAATTATTAGAGCTAAAAAGAGGATTATTTAAAAAAGGTTTACTAGATAAAGTATGGTCTTATTAATTAGATATTTAATTAATTTAATAATTTTTTTATTGTGTTTACAATGATTACTTTTTTTCTTCTTTTATATGAGCTGAGTGATAACGGGGATTTTTATTGATTTTATCATCAACCAGCAACCTTTATTGAAGCTACACTGCAGCCTACTCATTATTATTTTTTATCTTTTTTCTGTTCATTTTTTCATAAATATTATGGAAGTTGCTGATATCATCGCTGTGCTACTCAATTTCTTTTTGTTGTTGTTACTATTTTTAATTTTAAAAGCAACTATTCGTTTTTATTGATTAATTGAAGGTATTTTGCTCTTCTTGTTAGGCTTAATTAATAAGAAAAGCTTCCTCTTCGCTTCTACTTATATTAGAGTTATTTATAACACTAATTTAATCTGAGCTAAACACTTATTCAACTACTTCTTCAATCTTATTTTGCATGAATTATTAATTTTTATTATTTAGAAATGTGCTAATAATGCTGCTCTTTTCTTCTGTAAGAGGAGGTAATCTTTATTATTGATTCACTTGTTGTATTTCCTGCTGAGTCAACTGCTCTTGTTTTTAGTCTTTGTCTTAGTCCACTAAAATATTATTTTAAGGCAAATTATGAAGTTAGTTATCAATAATATCTAAGTTAAAAACAATGTTCAATTTTTTGAAAATTGGGCTTTTTTCAAAACTTTTTTCTAAGCTTATATGTTCTTCTGAATTGTCAGCATCACTTTAGTCTTTCTGCTCCTCTTGATTGTTTTTGTCTAACGAGCGAGGGTTGAAACTATAATTTAAAATACTTTTTAAAAAGGGAACTTATTGATTTTTAGAGAGCTTTAAAGGAAAATTTTTGATATAATACAAAGCAATTTAACCTGATTGAAAATTATGTATAAGAATATCAAAATGTTAGCTAAAATGAGAAAAATTGTTAAAGTGTCAATTAAATTTAACAAAAACTTACTGATTTGAAAGATTCCCATTGGGCTCGTTCTCAATGCTCATCTTCCCAGAGCTTTCGCAAAGTGACTATTATTTAAAAATAGGTTTAGTTTTAACGCTATTTAATATTTTGTAGTTAGTGTTTTGCTTTGATTCAAAACAAAATACGTCCGTCCTCTTCTCTTGATAAAAAGCAAGAGAAAAATAGTATTTTGCAAAAATGAAAGATAAAATAGAAAGATTAATCTAAATAAAGGGGGGAAATGAAGGCATAAATGGAATGAAATGTTTACTGCTCTGTGCTCCAACGAGATTTAATTGTAACATGCAGGCACAAAATTTGGGCTTAAATACATGTTATTATTAGTAGAAGAATTATGCCTTTCTAATTCGTTTGGATTTTGGTATTATTGAAAGAAAAGCAAATTTCCTTAACAAAATTCTGCTTAAGCTTGCTGCATCGCATTCAAAAACTACTAATTATTTTGATTGATATTTTCTTTCTATCAAAAAGAATTTTATATTAATTAAAAATTGACTTTCAATTACAAAATAATTCTCATCTATGTATCTATGAATGTATGAATAAATGAATGAATGATCTCCCAATCAATCTAAAGAATTCTTATGCATTTCATTCATTAAGTTAATTACAAATTTTATAAGTACAGCTAAGTCGTATGCCAAAAGATTAATCATAAGCTTGATTTATTAATAATAACCTTTCTTTTTATATTAAGACTGATTTATTAATTTTTAAACAAAGTTATTCCTTCATATTAGCCTGACAAACTCAAAAATTAATTAATCTTCTATATATGTATGTATATGTTGGAGAGTAAAAAACCATTCTTCTCAACCAACTCTTTAACTATTCCAAAATCTAAAATATAAAAAGTCTTCATTTTTGTACTTTATCTTTAACCAAATCTATTTACTAGAGATCGACATCATAAAATAGTTATAAAAACTCCTAAAATATTAAAGTAATTGCTATGAAAATAATCTATTGCACATACATATAAACAGGTAAGACTTTAAAATATCTGCAAAATTATTAATTTATTGCTCAAAGAAAAAAAATCTAAATTTAGATAGTCATAATATCTTGCTCGTTCTAAATATATTGAAACAATAAATAGAAATACTTAGTAATATAATAAATTAATCTAGTATTATCTAAAATAGAAATAAAATACAATTTAGCAAGTATTATTTATTTATTTGTTATTAAGTTTTTAGCCTGTTTGCACATTTATTCTCTGAAATTGCTAAATATTTAGTTTTTACAAAATATAACTAACTAACTAACTAAAGTAGGGATTAACTAGTACCCAAAAAGCTTTTTTCTCAAACAAATAATGTAAAATAATTAAATTGTCTTATTTAGAAGCATCTTTGATTGAAGCCTTTTTAATTTAGTTGCTATTCCAAGGTTTTCTTTTGCTAATTTTGCAATAAACTTAAGCAAGAGTTTAAAGTAAAAATCAATAAGTATTATTCATTCAAAGCTAAAAAACATTTTAATGTGCTTTTGAATTTGATAAAAAATATTTTTAAATGTTAATTTAGTTGTTATTTTTAAAAATGCCTTTTTTTATATTTAATAAACATAATAATTTTTATTGAAACTATTTTGATTTTCTGTGTTTCTATTTACGAATTTGCTAACTAACTAACAACTTCTAAGAACTAACAACAATAAGAATAAAAAATATTCTAGTCCTCTACTTATCACATATATAATGTTTACCATATTTCAATTAACTATTAGTGAAACTAAAGCTATTTCATGCTCTTTTTCGTTACGAAATCTTCTGCAAAAGAATTAAATATAAGAAATTTAAGAGTTAAGTTTTAAAGAACTTTAATCAAATAAAATTTGCAATAAATTATTAAGAAAATCAGCAATTATAATTAGTTTATTGAAAACCCATAAAATCAAAAAAAGATATTTGCTATAAATAATTAAAAGTCGCTGCATAACGAAAGCCTTTATCACAGAACTCAGCTCATTACGCTTTAATTTTTCGCCTTTTACTAAAGATTACCGTGGGCTGGGTTTACCAATGTGAATTATTAAAATTTTTGCAGGATTCTTTTGAATCCTCTCACACCACCCCTTAACTAATCAAACAAAATCCACTCTCTTTTCTTAAATAAAAATTATTTAAAAATGACACTAAAAGAATAATCTTTATATGATAAAAAGTTTTTAATTGAAACCAAATTCAAAAAAAATTAATCAATCTTAAATTTCATTTAAAATATTTAAAAAAAACATCCAAATAAATAATTCAAAATAAAAATATTTAGTTATATTTCATGCATGCATTAATTTTCCTAGTTTAAGTTTGTTTATTATTTTTTTTATATAATAATTTTACATTTATCTTAATAATTTATGTGTGCATGCACTGATTTTCTAGTTTAAGGTTTAAGTTGGTTATTTTATTTTTATATGAGCATAATAATTTTATATTTATCTTAAATAATTCATGAATGTATGTATGTACTGATTTTCCTAGTTTAGTTGGTTTATTTTAATATAATAATTTTACGTTTATCTTAATAACTCATGAATGCCTACACTAATTTTCATAGTTTGAGTTGGATTATTTTATTAAATTTTACATGCATAATATTTAAATATTTATTTTAAATAAAATAAATTCTCAGCTCCTACCTGTCTACTAAATTAAAATCAAACGAATTAAAGCTTGCAGATAAAAAAATATCTTTTAATTATTCAAAAATTTTTTATTGAGACCCATAATAAAACATAATTAATATCACTATTTAATACAGAGTCTCACACATTATGAAAACCTTATCACAGAACTCAGCTCATTACGATTTAATTTTTCGCCTTTTACTAAAGATTACCGTGAGCTGGGTTTTTCAATGTGAATTATTAAAATTTTTGCAGGATTCTTTTGAATCCTCTCACCACCCTTAAATAATCAAACAAAAACTCAATCTCTTTTCTTAAAAAATAAATAAATAAATGAATAAATAAATATCTTTAAAAATTCAACCACTTAATTAATATTTCTAAAATAATTTAAAAAATGAATGAATGAATAAATAAATAAATATTAAACAAGAGTGTCTATCTACTGTGATTAAATTTTAATATTATGAAATATTTATTTATAAGTTTAAATAATATTAAGTAGATTCTATCTAAAAAATAAATTTAAAAAAAAGTATTTAAAAATTTTAAAAAATAAATTTTAGTAGCTGAATAAAAAGTTCGTTCAAATGCATTCGTTTTAATTTATAAATATGATTTACTTTCAATTAAACTAACTGAAAAATTAAAAAAAAACAAATAAACATTTTTAATTTTAATTAAAAATTAAATTTAATAAAAATAAATTGAGAAAAATTAAATTTTTAATGAATATCAAATAAATTGAACAAAGAAATACAATAAATAATAAACATTGCAATAGATTTTACATTTTTTCTATATTATCTCAATAATAATTATAAATTTTTTGTTAAAATGTTCTAAAAGTTTGTAATTGCCTTAGTTATTTATTTTATTATAAAATCATTTAACAAACTGAGAAATCCAAGTAAATCCTTCAATATACCCAACATTCCTTGAAAGAGAACACATAATAATCTTAATTGGATGATTATTAACAATTTCATAATCAATTTTTTCAAGTCTTTACTTATCTGGAAGATCGTGAGATTTCCTTAACTCTTCTTCAGATACTGCATCTTTCAGATCTATTTTATTTCCTAAAAAAACTATTGGTACGTTTTTTAACTATTCACAGGTTAGAATCTTTTATAATTCTTCTTTAGAATCTTAAAATTTCTCCTTGTTAGTACTATCCACTAAAAAAAAGATTCCATTTATGTTATGATAGTAAGATTTCCATGCTTTTATTACAGCTTCATGGCCACCTAAATCAAAAGCTTTTAACTTCATGTTTTAAATCTAAATCTCTTCAACATTTGATCCTAGAGTAGGATCATATTGTTTAAACCTGCCATCTTTCATTCTTCCAAGCAAAGTGGTTTTACCAGCATTAGCAAGTCCAAGAAACAGAATTCTTCCACTTTTCTAAAATAGACCAAGTCTTTGAATAAAATTTTTAAAAAAGTCAAATATGAACATTTTGCAAAGATTTTGTGTAAAATTTAATTTTTTTATAATAATTTATAAAATTCACAAATGAATGTCTTACAGTAGTAGTATTTCAAGCTAAAATTTAGTTTAAATTATAATTTTTTTATAAATTGAATTGATTAATCTAATTACACGTATGAATTTATCAATTTCAGGCTATTTGTAATTATTTGTTTTCACTCCACGTATAACTTAATAAAATCTGATTATTTTTTTTTGAAGTATAAAAAAAATAGATAGATTGATTGATAGATAGATAGATAGATAGATAGATAGATAGATAGATAGATAGATAGATAGATAGATAAATAAATAATAAAAAATGAGAAATAGAATCTTTCATAAACTTAAGAAGAGAAAAATAAATTTATAAAATTAAATTACTTAATTTACATTTTAAATTTAATTTTTTTATTATTTACTAACAAAATATTTTATTCTGATAAATAGTTTTTGAATATTTGGGACTTAAAGTGAATTAACTTGGCAAAATAATATATTCTAGCTCGCTCTATCAAATAATTAAAAAATCATTTAGTTAGTTTTTACAATCAATATCAATAATATAATTAGTTAAACAATATTTAGATGATAAAAATTAGAATATTAATATTTTTAATTAATAGAAATGTCAATTTTTAATAAAGTTTTAATTGTTATTTTAAAAACATAGATAGATATGAATATTTATTTAATAATAAATTATTTTATTTTAGAAAATTAATCATATAAAAACAAATTTGTCAACATAATAAAATAAATACCAAATAGTTTTATTCACATAAAAAGTAAAGAAAGATAGATAGATACCTTACAATTTAAAATATTTTTCTGTTTACTATCATTTGAAAATTTTTGTTGATTGATTTATTGATTATAATTATTCTTATGTAAACCGCAGATTTCGTCTGAAATTTAAAAACATTTTTTAAAGAATAAAAAATAAATGTTATGAGGTATTTCTTTTGTTTTTTACTAAATTCTTACAATTAATTTATATTTTTTACTTAGGCTTTTTATTTTTTTTGTAGAAAACCATCCTGTTAGCTCTGAAATATGAAGAAAGAATTAATAACTTATATTGATTTTTAAGAAATAGTTTTTATAGTTAAATAAATAAGAATTAATTTTTTATAAATTTATCTTAGAGATTTAGTATTGTGTTTAATTTAATGAACTTAAAGATAAAAAATTTGATGACGTTTTTAGATAAATAAATAAATAAATCTCATATTAATTACTTCAATTACTATCAAAAACAAAAATAATAATAAATTTGATATTTGATTGTAATAAATCAATGAGATTTTTTAATATAGAAAATTAATATTCATATTTTATTAGGTTGTATCTATTCATCTATATATCTAGCTAGTATTTAGAATCTTTTTATTTATTTATTAGAAAAGATAAGATTTATGAGTGTCTATGACATAAACTAAATTTTCTTTCTTTTCTTTGGTTTTAAAGTTTGATATTATTGTTTTAAATATCTATTTACCATCCATTAACAGATTAGAAATATTCAAAAGGTGCTCAAGTATTTTTTGTTGTTGATTAATTATTAATAATAATCAAAAATAATTAAAAATAAATAAAAAAATAAACATTAAAATTCAGGAAATGTTTAATTAATAAGAGCATTTAGAAAAGATCGCTAGATGCCATCTTGGGCCATAAATGGTAGGATAGCTATTTTAAATGGAAACTTATGATATGTGTTCAAATCTCATCTAAGAAATGATCAAGGTTGATCCTGAAAATCTGGAAAACAAAATGTGGCTTGCTAAATGCAGCTGGATGCAGGGTAATGTCGCAGATGCTAAACAGCATTTTTAATAAGTTCTTTAAAGTTCAGAAGAATTTAGTCCATCTTATTTATCTGAATACTCTCATTTTCTCTGCTATGAAAAAGACTCAATTGATTAATAGGTTATTGATGAATTGCTGCTTTACAAAAGAGATCAAGAAGATTCAAATGCACTCTTTAAAATAGCTTTGTCCTTGTATAAGTAAAATACTACTCATAAAAGACACAAAAATAGTGAAGTTATTTTAAATGGCTTGATGTAGAAAGCAAGTGAACTTAACCCTAATTCTACTGAAGAAAAGTACACAAAAGCTGCTCTCTGCCTAATGAAAGGTGAGATAGAAGAAGGAATGCAACTACATTTTGAAATCATAAAAGAAACTAATGACTATCGTTCTTTATACGATATTGGATTTTTGCTTCTAAAATTAGGGAAAGTTGATTAAGCAATTATTTACTTCATAAATAGTTTTACTTAAAATCCTTATAATGTGAGTGCTCTTAGCTAAATTTTTAACATACTTGATGAAATTAAAGATCCTAAATTGAGCCTAAAAATATGCTCATCTTTAATGGGAAAAGTTCCTTCCCATGGCCGTTTGTATTCCTTTACTATGAAACACTTCCTGTAGTTGAATCAGAGAAAAGATGCTATAGAATTAATGAAAGAAAGAGCAGAAAAAGATGAAAATAAAATGGCTGCATGGTAAATGCTTTCTGAACTCTATCTAGAAGATGAAAACTGGGATGACGCAATAATAGCTTTATAAGAATCTATTAAAACTAGAAATGGCATTGACCCTATAAATTATACTAATCTCTCAACTGCTTATTACAAAAAGTCAAATTACTTAAAGTGTCTTGAATGCATCTAAACATCACTAAGTTAAAACCCAGATAAAATGATTGCTTACTAGAATTTGTTCTAATTGAGAAAGAATAACTATGTTTCTATGGAATAGGTTTAAGAAATTTACAACTCTCTCATTGAAAATAACCCTAAATTAAATAAAAATGCTTTAAACTATTTTAAGAATATAAAAGAGCTAGAGCTAGATGACTTCGTCTACATGAGCAACTTGTTTAAGTAAAAAAATTAGGATTCTGATTTTAATCATTTCATTGAAAAACACTCCCTCCCTGACTGCTAAAAATGCAAATGCTGCTGATGAATTCTATTGTGCCTTTAATTAATAATTAATTGAATCTATTAAATTATTTTTTTACATACATTTTTGTTATATTTTTGCAAAAAATTAAATATTTATAAAAACCAAAAAATATGATTTATTTATCTTGCCTGATAAGAATAAACAATTTATAATTAATAATAGAGGTTAATAAATATTTTTATTTAAAAATAAATATAAATCATTTTGGTGTTAATTAAAAATCATATTTAAATTTTTTGAGAATTCATGAATGGTTCTTAAATAATTTTTAAATGCCATTTAAAGCTGTGTTAAGACTTAATTAAAATACCCGTATTCTATTCATTTTTGTTAAAATTGAAAAAATGTTATATATTATTAAGCTTGCAATTTTACTTCAGAAAGACTTAGATAACAATAAGGAAGAAACATTATGAAAAAATTAATAGTTTATTGTCACATATACATAAAAAAGATACTTACTTACAACTTAAAGCAAGATAATTGCATGAAAAAGAAGCTTAAAATAAAGATGAAAATTAAAATGCATAAAATTAATAATAATTAATTTGCATAATAAATATGTATTATTTTTAAGGTTTATTTATATACAAATATGCAGGGAATAATAATAGAAAAATGTATGAAAAAATATTATAAATAATCTACCTTATGTTTATATATTAGAGTATATATGTAAATTTAACTTTAGATTATCTTTTTAATCAACTACTTCAATATATTAAATAAATAAATTACATCTCAGCAAATTTGTTTTTTGAATAGCTAAAATATTTATTATATGTAAAAAGATTTATATTTAGATATGAATAATGAAAAAGAATAAATAATATATTTTATTTCTAAAACTGGAATATTTATAATAATGCAATTTGTATTTATATATATGTATGTTTGTATATTCATTTAAGGTAAATTTAACTTGAAATTTTCTTTTTAATTGCTTACTTAAATATATTAAAAAATCCAATAAATAAATAAATAATTTCTGAAAAATTGAATTGTTTTTAACTAAACTTGAAATAAATAAATATGCTCTAAAATAATTAACTAATAAGAAATATACGGTTTGAATATAAATATGTCATTGTGGTTAACTTTTGAAATTAAATTATTTTTTTTTAAATTCTTCAACTACATCTTCATAAGATTTATTTTCATTATAAAATGAATCATAAATAGCATCATTTTTTTCTTAAACTATGGTCATGTCCTTGATAAAGTTGTCTTTAATATAACCTCTTGCTTTTGCATAATTATAACTACAACTTTAAACACAGTTCTTAAAGTCTTCTTTTGTATTTTAATATTCTGAAGTATTTTTTTTGCCATATAAAAGGATTTTTGCTTATTTTTAATTTTCTAAGTAGTTTTTATCATTGCCCAAACAAATTTTAAAGCATCTATGATTCAATTTGAACAGCGTTGATAACAAAGTTATCTACTCTTGAACTTATCTTTATTATTCTTCTGATGCTTAAAATGGACCTCTCGACATTCTATGTTGACCTAACCTAAAAATAATTATTATTCTTCTTAACTCTCTTTTAAGATTTGTAAAGTATCTATCTATCTAACTATCTTTATATCTATGAATTTAATATACAAATTTCTTAAACCAATAAATTACATAGATTTTTAGATTTATTGATTTTTGATTAGATTAATTAATAGAATTTTAATAACATTCTAGATCTTTTTAAGCTTTAAGAATTTCATTCTATTTTTAAATTTAAATACATTTTGCAAACAAAATTTACATTTACTAGCAATTAATTTACTTCAACTTTAAAAAAGTTTTTTTATTTAATAAAAATTTTACTTTTAAAAATAACCAGAAAAAATGGAAAAGTTTTTACATATTTAAATTTAATTTTTTGAAATCAAGTTACAATTTTCTTAAGTTATTTTTGATATATTTCTTCCTTTAAAATAAATTAAAATGATATCTCAACAAATCTTTTTTGTTTTTTGTTGTAAATTTAAAATTTGTTACCATTTTATTAAAGCAATTAAGATAATTTTAGAAATTAATTTGTGTTAATCCTTATTTGATAAATAGTTATTTATTATATTCATCTAATTGTATTTCAATCACTAATTAATTTCTTGACTAAAAAGTAAGGTTATCTTTACTAAATATCTTTTAAAGAATTTTTGATTATTTTTTTACTAGATTTTTGGTCAATAATAGCATCATCAAAATAGAATCATTATTTTACATAAAAAAGAGAAATAAGTATTAAATTCAAATAATATTTTCAACCACTATCTTTGGAGAAAATAATTTATTTATTTATTTTAAAATTTTACTGAATTTTAATCATCTAATTAATTTATTTATTTTATTATTTGTAATTTAACCAAATTAAAATAAAACATATTTGAATATTAGTTTTTTTGTCATTCTGGTATTTTCAATCAAATAATTTCTTATGTTAAAAAGCTTCTATCATAGATCTACCATTAATAACATAAATTAATGATAAAATGAAAAAAAGAGGAATTTCTCAACAAAATTCAATATTTGACAGAGAAAATCAAAATTGATTAGAAAAATCGAATTAATACAGTTTTTTTTATTTTTTTAACTTAGTTATATATTATGTTAAGATAGACATATGAATTTCATACATTTTATTTGTTAATATCGTTCTTCATATTTATAATAAATTTAAAAAATTATCAGATGGCTTGAGCAGTAGCTTCTCCTCTGAAGACAGCACACTTAGCACCACACTAATTCTAGTAACTGCAGCTTGCAGGCAAAGTAATGTTTTAAACATCTCTTCTAATTTAGTTTTGAATATAAATTTCTTAGTAGTTATTTCTGGCGATTTTAAGCAAGGATCTCTCCAAAGGATTAGCTTCTGTTGTTTCCCAAATGTAATTAGGCTTGTTAGGACCTTCATACATAACCCAAGAAAAGGCAGGAGTACCGTAAATTTCTTCAAAGCCTAAGAAAGTGGCACCTTAAAGCCAATCAGGTTTCAAAATACCGCAACCTTATTCGGCATTGCAGCAATAGCAGCAGTTATCCTCATCAGGGTAGTACATCCATCTAACGTTATCAACAGTTAAATGTTCACAAGGGGCACTAGTAGTGTTGTAATTGAGATAACCAATGCAGAAAGGGTCTTGTTTACCATTAGATCTTGATACTCTGGAAGAATTGTTAGGAGCATCATATTGGTATGTTCCAACATTTGCATATATTTGATTGGTAACATTAAAGTATTCAACAAAATCTTGAGACCAAAGTGGAGCCCAGACAGGTTTTAGTGGCTCTTGTTAAGCAAGAACGCTTGCTAAGATTAAACAAATAACAATATATTTCATTTTCTTTTGCTTTCTCTCTCTCTTTAAATTATTTTTAGTTTATTCTTTTACAGTATAATTATTAACAATTAATTAATCAATTGCTTTAAATATTAGAAAAAATCTGTAAAATTTCTTTATTATTACTTTTAATGTCACTCATAAACTCAAAAGCTAATTTTATCAAAATTTATTTAAATTTCTCATAACAATTTTTATTGAATTCCAAATACCAAAATATTATAGTTACTAAAAATACAATTCAATTCATACATAAATCTTTTATAAATATTTTTATTTAGTAAGTACATCAGTCAAAATCCAATTTTTAATATCCACAATTTACTATTTATTTATTAACTAATATGTTTGTTTGTATTTATTTATTTTCAAAAAAAACATTATTATTTAAAATTTAGAAAATAAATATTAATTCAATTTTTTAAATTTTAATTAAACTGCACTTTTAAATATTTACAAACATGTTAATTTAAGAACATAAAATCTTTATTTAAAAATATAAAAATGATTTTCAAATGCATATAAATTAATTTTGTATTTTTATTGATTTAAATGCAATAATAATAGAGAAATAAATTAAAATATTTGAATGATATTTTATAAATTAATAAAATCATTATTGTAATATAAAAATTATTATAATGATTTTAATAAACATATTATTTACTTTTTCATTGTATTTATTGAATTTTTTATTAAATATTTAGAATTTTAAATAATTTTTTTCCTTTTGCACCTTAATTAATTTATGGAGATATGGTGAGAATAATTTAGCTAAAGTTATTTATTTATTTAAAAGTTAACGAATAAAATAATTTTAGAGATATTTGACTATTTTATAATTGAAATAATAACTCAGCTTTATGAAATCAGTTTTAAATAATTTTTTAATATAAAATAATCTTCTATAATTTTTATAATGAATGAATAAATTTTAATTATAGTTTATATACTCTAGTTATAGTTCATTAATATTTAAATAGAAAATTTAAAAACACACTGATATATTTATCAAAGATATATTTATTCATTTTATTACTTTGATATCTGAATTTTTTGCAATAATAAACGAATGAAATCCTTGTTGGTTATCTTTGAATAATATTTTAAAAATTATTAATAACAAAATATTGGGCATTCAATCATTAAGAATTTGAAATTATTTAAAACTATTTAAAGAAAGTTTGGATTTTTATAAATCAAAAAAATAAACAATAAATTTATATAATTGAATTTCATTAAAATATAGTTAGTTTTTTAATTGCTACCAATTTCAAACAAAAATTATTGTTAATAGTAAGAAAGATTAAAGTAGTTTCAACATTTAAATTTGATAAAATGGTACCTGATGAAACCCAAGTATTATTTTTAGCAATTAGTTTTAATAAATAGCATTTATTATTGATAGATAAGAGCTTAATATGAAAGTAATTAATATCTTTTTGTTAATATTAGCAGTAGAATAAGCAAGAAGACAACTTTTCGGGGCAGTAAGATGATTAGTAATTTTGAGTTAAATAATAAATGAAGTCTCAATTTAACATTTTTTAGCAGCTATTTACTCTTTTAAGCATTTAAACATTTTTAAATACAAAGAAATCTATCTAAATTTTTGAAAAACCAAAATAAGATTCCAACATAAAATGAAAAATATTTTGATAAATTTATTTCAAAAACCTAAATAAAAAAGTTAAAAACAATTAAATTAAATGAATAAAAGGTTGCATGATATGATTAGCAGCAAGCATGTACATAGATCAGAAAAACATATCTATAATTAAAGAGATGCTATGTATATTTAAGATTCAAATAGCATTAAGCTTACAAATCTTAATGAAAATTAATAATTCTCAAGTAATCTTTAGTAAGCAGCCGAAATGCATAATAGTCTCTATGGTAAAACGCCTGATGGTAAGTTTCCATCAGAGCTTTTAGCTTCCTTTCCTACTCCTAAGCAATTAGATTCTAAGAATTAAGTAAATATATTGAATAAATTGCTAAATAAGTTCAAATAAACAGCTTTATTTATGCAATTTATATTAATTAAAGCTATAAATGAGTAAGTAAATAACTAAATTCTTTATTTATAATAGAGAGATGGTCTGATAGTCGAGATAAAATAGCTTGAAAAAATGATCAAAAAACAAGAGGAATAGCATAAGTAATTTGAGAATTAACACAAACTTTAATATAAAACAATTAGTCAATATGCCATTCAAAAATTCTATTTAAATAAAGATAACAGCTGATTCATGTAGAAACAGTAGGGATCATGACAAAATATTAATTGGTATTTATAAAATTAGAAACTATGCTCACAAAAATAGCAAATATGATTAAGAAAAGGTAAATAATTAATGTCAATATTGATTGAATTATTTAAATTTGGTTTTGAATAATTTAGAGAGTGGCTCCATAAACTCAATGCATTTAAAGACATTTAATAACATAGCTACATAAAAAAATAAAACAACTAATTAAAATCTAAACTTATCTTCCGTATTTTGGAAAAAAAAGTAGGAAGCATTCAGTTTGCTCTTCAGAAAATCATTAATAAACAGTTAAACTAGTCTTTCAAGAAAATTATATTTGTAAATAACTTAAAAGAATATGAATAGAAAATCAAATTAGAGCATGAAAAGTTCAAAAAGGAATTCGTAGTAACACTCAATAAAAAGGATTAAGAATTAAGTAGTATTAACAAAAAGAATGAAGAGTCTAACCAGTTCGTATTCTAGCTCAAAAATAAAGAAATAGAGCTTATCACTAAAATAAAGGGTAAAGATCAACAAATTTAGATGCTTTAAAGATAGTTAGCAAGTTTGAATGCCCTGCCAAATCCAAACCCTCAAGCAAATACAAAAAAAGATCCTCAATAATTAGTCACATATAAATTACTAGAATAAAAGGTATGTTTGTTTTCCTTGCTTATATCTTATTTGCAAATTAAATATTTAAGTTTTTTAATTGGTTTTTGCCTATAAAAAATAAATAAATAAATTAATATATTTTAATTTATTTCATTTTACAAAAGGTAAGAGAGGCTGAGCAAGAAAATATTGAGTTAAAAGAAAAATTATCTCAAACTGAAAACAGCGTTGCTGGATTTATGAGAGAAATGGGAGATATGCTAGATAGCCATGAAATGTCGACAAACATAGTTTCAGACGATAATGTTTCTCTAAATAATTCACATTCAAACAACTAATTTTAAGGTGAAATGTGAAACTAACAAATTAGCAAGCAAACTTTGTTACATGAATTATATTTTAAATTTTGGATTCTTTGATTTAATAATTAGTACACATAATGCAAATTATTTGTTTTCATTGTATATTAGCATCTCTTTAATTATTAAAATAATACAAAAAACTTAATTTTTATGGTTTAAATATTATTTATCTAATATATAAAGAAATAAATATATAAATCATTTATTCAAAACAATATTTCCGATTCAAATTAAATCAATTTTCACAAAAATCAGGTTAAAAATAAATGTCAATAAATAAATTTAAATAAAAAACAAGTTAAATAAAATATCAAAGTTTTTTCTTATTTTCTAAATCATTTATTTAAATTAGAAAGTTATTTCTTGAAACAAAAGATATTGATATTTTTTAATTTTTATTTGGTTAGCAAGCTAAATGTTTGCTTCAATTTTAATAAAAAAAAATTTTAATTTAATTAATTGTTCATTAAAAATTAATAAATAAGTAATTATTTTTAATTGAAAATGTGATGTAAAGCATGTAAATTAAATAACTAGATAAGGTTTATATTTAGCATTCTTAAATTGTAGCTTGTAGCTAGGTAGGTAGGTAGGTAGGTAAAATTGAATGCACTTTCTCTCTCACTCTTTCTCCTTTGTTGTTTATTTAAATTAAAAAATTATTTCTTGAAGCAAAAGATATTATAATTTTTTAATTTTTATTTGATTAGCAAGCAAAATGCTATTTTTAATTTGTATTTTAACATAAAAAAATTCTAATTTAATTTCTTGTTTTTTTATAATTAACAAATAAGTAATTATTCTAAATATACATTATAATGTAAAGCATGTAAATTAAATATATAGATAAGGTTTACATTTAGTATTCTAAAATTGCAGATAGATGATAAGTATGTAGATATGTAGGTAGGTAAAACTGAATGCACTTTTCTAACTCTTTATCTTTCATTATCTTAATAACCAAACCATGTTAATTTAATTAACGATAAGTTGATTGAATGGTAAAATGAAAAGAGTTATAAATAATTAGTGTTGGTAAATAAAAAGAAAAATATATCATTTGATTATTTTTTGAAGTGTTGAGTAATAAATAAATAATATTAATCGATAAAACATTGTCAATTAATAACTATTAAAAATAAATTAATATAAAAGCAATTTAGGAATATCTTCATACTTGCTTAAATATTATAAGGAGTTAAAAGAAGTTAGTTAGTTAGTTAAAAACCTTTGTTCATTTCTTATAAAAATAATAGCTGCTATAAGAAATTCACATTTATTTTTTATTCAGATATACATATGAAAGACTCTGCTTAGATAACAAATCTCCCTAGTTCTAAACCAGGGACATCATAATCAAATAAAAGAAAAATCAGCTTACAGAACTAAATAGTTTCTTCAAATCTAACTTCTATAGATATGTTAGAAAATGATATAATTTAGCTTTAATAATAAAAAAAGAACTAATGGGAAGATAATGTTACAAAACCCCCTAGTGCATTAGCAAAGAAAAGAAACAATTATCAATATACAACTTAAACAAGTAATTAAGGATAAGGCGATCCATATAATCCAGCAATAAATTAATAAGGTCAAGTTTCTCGTAAAGGCAGCAGACCAGCAAGTTAAGGTACAACTAAAGCAACATAATTTATTAAGAAATAAAGCGACGATTTAGATGCTCCTCTTGAAGATTTTGGCTTAGAATAGAAGTACCAAATTACTGTAAAAAACAGTAAGCGATCAACTGGTATGAGTTTTTATCAAAATGATAGTCCAAGAGGTTTATCCTCCACAAAAACTAAATTGTTAGAAAATGTAGCTAAACAAAATGTTGTAGATTATCCAAATAAAATTGAAGGGCCAACACCTAAAATTTGGCATCCAAAAATGGAAGAATATTAAAATAAAGGAGAAGAGTGGAATTAAAACATTGAATTTAATAAGCAAGATGAAATGATAAAATAATTAGAAAAATAAAAACAATTCAGAGAAAAGACTCGTTAGACATTCTTAGAAAATTTCAAAAGGAATTTGAATGCGGATATAAAGCAAAAACAAAATACTTCTTTTTAAATCTAATTATCAGGATTAAATACAGTAAAAGATGAATGTTAAATAAAAACATAATATAAAAATGAGCAAATCAATGGCCAAACAGGGTAAAGCACAATAACAAAAGAAAATAATTAATAAATATCAAATTTAAACGCTACTCTTGGCAGTATGCAGCGATATCCAAGATTAAATTCAGCTATTTCTAGGTGCGGAAACACGATTTAGGTACATACAATTTCTGATTTAAATAAATACTTATACTCAGTATAATAAATAAATTAATTGTTTCTGTTATAATTAAATCAAATCCTTTTATTATTTCCAATTTTGCTTGCACAGATGAAATTTATAATTTAATCTAAACAGATTTTAATTAATCAAAATTGATTGATTAGTATTTTAAAGAAATTTTATGGATGGATGGAGAATCATATTTTAATAAATTTTTGTATGGAAATAAATAGGCACTTTAATAGGATAGTAACAACTAGCAAAATGAAACAAGAAGGAAAAGAGTGATGAGCCAATAAGAATATGGGATTCATTATGATTATAATCTGCGAGCTATAGGCACAAAAGGAATGTTTGTATTAGAAGACTAAAATAAAAATAGTAATGCTTAATAAATATAAGGAAATAACGCTTATTATGTAGATAGCAATGAAACTAAATCTGAATAAATTTGCAAAGTAGGAAGCCTATTAAGAAGTATATAAAGTGCAAAAGAAGCTACAAGGAATAACGAAAACATGAATGGTGGCGAAGTTATTAATATAAATCTAACGAACTAGAAGCTAATTGATAGTGTAAATAATGGCGATTATAATGGATCTAATAAACTTGTAGCTTCTTAAAATTAATTTCCTTACAGAGTAAATAAAGTTAGGCCGTAAACATCATCAAATCCGATTGAGTTTATAAACTCTAAAATTTAATAGTAAAGTAGAAATTCACCAAAAAGAGAAAACTTTATCTTCGAATTTAAAAATTAAAAACCTATTCCATACAATTCAGAGACAGATCGTAAAAATTAATCTTCTCTCTGCAAATCCCTACAACATACTACTAAGTGTAACTAGCAAGTACTAAATATTACAGATTAGGTAATTTTATTTATAATAAGGGAGAAATTATTTTTAAATTTTTTAAAAATCTTACAAAATTTAGAATTTTGACATGAATAAATATAAATTTAAAAATAAATAAAATTTAGATCATACCTCCCTCATTTCTATATAAATATTTGAAATAATTTTAATTGTTATTAATTTAAAAATAGAATTAAAAATGTATTAATATATTTAATTATTAAAATATATAAAATAGAATGTTATTGATGAGTTAGACCGCTTTGATGAGAAGATGGAAGAAAATTAAAAAATGAAAAAAATAATGAGTAGGATGTATCATCAAAATAAAGGATTTTGTGGGATTACTAAAAAAGAAAATGAAATGCTTAATACAGTAGAAGGGTTTAGAAAAGTTAGAGCTAAAAAATCGCTTCCAAGCTATCCGTTTTGTTTAAGTTTTGATCCTTTCTGAACCAACAACCAACACGTCACCTGCATTTATAAATCTGTATATATTTGTATAAAAAGAATTTATAATTTAGAACATATTTATATAAAATAAATAAGATAGAAAATAAATAGTAGCACTAAATTCTCAATATTTTCTTTCAATTTGTAAATAAATTAAAAATTAGTAAAAAGTATTTCTAAAATATTAGATTAAATTTTTGTAGAGTTTTTGTGAGAATTATTTTATTATAAAAAAATATTTACCAAATATATTTAAATTTAATGTCTATTAATTACAGAATAGTAGCATTTTAAATTCAAAATTAGCTAGGTAAGTTTGTATTTAATATTATTAAATAAATTACTTTAATATTTGAAAATCTAAAAATTAAATGAAGGAAAGATTTAATATATATAAATAAGTTTTTATAAGTATGTAAGTAGATATATTAAATTAACTAGAGAATCATTGAAGGCTTGGCAAAAATAGATAAAATTGAAAATTTAAATTCTAACTTAGTTTATCACTTTTGCTTTAATAAGTATTGTCAGTATGTCAAGTAATAAATATAATTTTTGTTTTACGCTAAATTATATTTGAAAAATATTCATATTTTTCTTCAATCTAATCAAAATTTCTTTTTTTAAATAAAATATTCAAAAAAATTAAAAATCCAAGATTAATTGTTTGTTTTTTTGTTAATTTATTTTGGAAAATAAATAGTTCTGCAAATTAATAAGTAAGTAGGTAGATAGGTACATTCAGAATTAGCATAACCACAATTCAATATTTAGCATATTATGGGAGATTAGTCTTAGTCTTAAGGTACTGAATTTTTTAGTGTTGTTGTAGAATTATAATAAATTATTTAGAGTTTTTTAAGCATATTATTTGCAATTTTTAAAATTTAATTATAGATAGAAGCTTTTAGAGTATGATGAACCCTAATAGCTTTAATATAAATTAAGGATTTCCTCAGCAAATGATGAATTTAGATAACAGTAAATAAATCAAAAAATAGCAAATAAAAATTAGATTATATTTTTAATATTACAGGCATGATGAGTGCTGGAGGAGGAAATAATTAAGCAACATCTTAAATGTTTGATATGGTTAATAATATGTTTAAAATGATGATGATGAACTAAAACGGCGGACAATTTAATCCAAACGCTCTTCAAAGCATGATGAGTTAATATACCAGTAATATGAATAACAGCAATATAGGAGGAATGAATATGAACAGTGCGAATAGTTAGCAAATGGGTGCTAATTTATTCTAAAATAATATTTAGCCATAGTAATATCAATCATAACAACAACTATAACCATAGCTTAAACAAAATAGCAATGTTAATTTAAATAACACAATGACTAGAGAAAATATCGATACTGCTTTTAGAAGTATGGAAGACAGATTCTTCAATCAGTAAAATGACTTACAGAGTTTTTATGATAAACTTCAAAAGTAATAAAAAATATTAAATTTATTTATCTATTTGTTTATTCTACATTTAAAGTCAAGAAATATAAAATTCATTAATAGCTTACTTACTTTTAAGTTGAATGTAGTAGTTTATTAAAATTTATTTAATTGTTTTTATGGAAATAATTTTAATTAATAAATTAATTAATTATAGGTCGAATTAATCACCAATAGGGATTAGCAACAATCAATAAAATAATAATAGCTAAAATCCTAACATGCTCAATAAGAAAAGCAATAATATTATGAATAATAATCCTTAAATTACTGGAAATAATAGCAGTAACTTGTTTGATCTTTCCGGTTTTTCAGAATAGTAGCTTTAATCTAAATCGGAGTTTGTAGAATATGACAATAACTTTGATCAATCTTAAAATTTCAATCATTTTTAGTCTTCCAATAAGTAGAGCTTTGTTGGAAATTAAAATCTTAGAGGATAGGCTGGCTAGAATAAGGAAGAAGATAATGATTTATTTAACAAAAATTATAATTAAAAAGGAATTATACCTGGTAACGGAAGGAGCGAAGATGTTATGTATAACACTTACAACTAAGATAGAAACATAGGCAATATGTATAATGATAGAAAAGCAGTTAATTTAAATAATGAGAGACCAGTTAACCAAAATAATATCAGGAATAGTCAAATGCCAAATAAGTTTGAGGAGAAACCATACAATGCAGAAAATATAAATCCATCATCTGTATTGGGGGATGATAATGAATTCTTAAGAGATAGCATCGTAAATATGCATTAAAATCAAGCATTGAATTAATATCCAAGAAACTAGTAAAATGTTAATAAAATGAATAATTATGAAAATGAATACTAACAAAAAGAAAAAGTAAACCAAAAATAGTTCAATTCTAATGCTCTATCAGATAATGATTAGCAATATTTAATGAGTAATTTGAAGGTAAGAGGGAACAATTAAAATAATGATGATAGTAAATTTAATAGAGGTTAGATGGAGAATATGCATCCTCCTCTCTCAACTAAAAGTTAATATCAAAATAGACCATATGACATCAATTAGGAAGAAGAAATAAATTAATATCTCCCTATTCAGAGTAAAAATAGTAGATAAAATTTTGTTGATGACGAGAGACCTATCAAAGGGGCAAGGAATTAAACAAATCCATATAAAGATCAATTCGAGCAGTAAGATGATAGTTTCCCTCCTCAAAAATATACTCAAAATAAAAATAGTTAAATATAGAATAAAATAAATAATTATCAAGAATTAGACCAACCAATTAAATCTCAAAAAAACAATTATTTCAATGATGAAAGACCTATTTAGTCCTAAAAAAATAATTAAAACAAACACTTTATTGATGATGAGGATGAAAGACCTATCTAGTCTTCTAAAAATTAGTTTAAAAATAATAATTAAATGGGAAACGAAAGCGAACATCATCAGTAAAATTTTAATACATCTAGAAGCTTTAATCCTATTGAAGAAATCCCTATAAAATCTAAAGCAGGGTTTAGGAATTTTGAAGATCTTATTGAAGAAAAAATGAGAGAAGAAGGTTAAGATGATTTTTAGGATTACAATGATAATAATGGGGGATAAGCAGGAAGCAGAAGATAAACTTTTTTAAAGAAAGGTTCTAGAACATTTTTGTCTAACGCATAAAAGCGCTCAAAGGCAGCACAAAACCACATTGAAGAAATAGGCAACCAATAAAAAGGAGATGTTATAGGTGGCAGTGCTAGTGTAACTAATATTTAAAAACCTAAAAAAGCCACATCCAATAATTTTAAATCAGCTTCTTCTCTCTCAAAAAATGAAGGTTTTGGTGGTTCTAATCAAAATAATTTTAATGAGAAACCTGTTGGAGGCTCAAATAAGCTAAATTAAATTCACAGCACAGGAGGATTAGATAGCTTAAATTAAATCTCTTCGAATGTAGATATTACTGACAAAGCAAATGGTCCTAAAGAAAAAAAGAAATTTTTGTAAAGAGGTTAAGGCAAAGGAGGTGGCATACAAGGATTTAAAAAGGAAGAATAAGCGAATACTTAATCCTCTAGTTAAATCAAAGATATTAATGATAAGCCACCATAAAATAGCAGCACTAATTAACAAAAGAAAAATGATAAAAAACCATAGCAGCAGAAGCAAAAAAAAAATTCAGATCTTATTTCTTTAGATGATGAAGATGACTACAATCCTAGAAACCTCAAGAAAAAGAGAAAGGAAAGTAACGAAGAATATGATAATAAAGACGATTTGAATGATGATCAAGAAGAAAATGAGTTTGGTGGTAAAAAGTACCAGCCTTTTAAGTATCTACAAGATAATTAAGATGATAAAGATGAGGAAGAAAATGAATATGCACAGAAGATTAATAAAAATTCAAGACCTCCAACCAGCTTAGCAAGCATTTAGAATAAAGCAGTAAGGAAGGATAGTGAAGAAAATAAGAATAAAATTCATAAGAGTGAAGGAGCATATCAATTTGATGATGAAGAAGAGTGGGGTGACGAGGATCATAACAGAAAAAATAACCAAATAAATAATAAAAATAAATTTAGCAAAAAAGAAGATGAAAAGAAGAGTAATAAATTAAATATTCATGACAGTGATGCAGGGTCAGAAAATAATGATGAAAATGAATTTAGAGATGACAAATCAAACAACAACGATGATGAATTCAATGATGATCCAGATTAATAATATTCTAAGGTGGTTTAAAAATATTTTAACAAAAAAGGAAACAATTAGAAAGGCTCTAATAGTAATTAATAAAAAATTTCTCCAGGTGGAATCTCTTTAAATGATTTAACTCCTGAATAAAAGAGATAGCTCATTCAAGAATTTACTAATGAATAAATTGAAAAATTGGACAGCGAAGTCAGTAAAGTGAAGCTTGAAAATGAGAGAGTTAAAAGAATGAGAAGCAAATACGAAGATCTTCTTAAATCTTTTAATAAAGAAAAAGAGCAATTTGCTAAGTAAAAAGAGTTAGAAATCCAAGAATTAGAAGAATGGAAAAAAGAAGAAAAAAAGAAGATTTAAAACGAAAAAAGAATTGCAGACAGATAGTAGAAAGTAAAAATATTTAAAAGATTCATAAATCACATTTATTTAATAATTTTTTTACTTATTTATTTATATTTAAAATATTTAATTTAAGGCTATGCAAAATATGCCTAACAGAAAGGAAAGAGAAGAAATAGAAAATCTAAAGGCGATGAATAAGAAATTGCAAGAAGAAATTAAAATAAAAGATTAAAGAAATAAACTAACCATTGATAGACAAAAGAAACTCATTGATGAGCTAACTTAAAAAAACTAAGAGCTTAAAGATGAGATAAAGCATTTAGAGAATATGAGATTAGATGGAGGTGCTGGCTCTAATCTAAACAAATAAAATAATCTGAGCAGAACTAGCAGTTCTAAGTAACCACAAAAAGTTCCCACAAAATCTCCATTCAAATCTGTATTTGTTGTTTAAAATTATTAATAATTAGAAAATATTGAAAAAACATAAGTTAAAGTAATATTTTTATATAAATAGAAACCATCTAAAACAATTGTAGATGATGCTTATTAGAATGACATGGATGAGGAAGAAAGTTTAGGCTATTCTCAAAACAATTAAAAAAATTAGATGAAAAAAAGTAATGTAATGGGAGACTTCTAAAAGAAGAAGAATAAATCAATGAGTTCTAATTATGACTATTAATATGATAATAACACAGCAAAATACAACAATGAAGATGATAATTTTAAATACGATTACAACTATGATTAAGATGACAATTATGGAGAACATAACGATGAAGATGAAGATGCTTAGTTTGAAAATTATGAGAACTACTAAAGAGATCCCTCCGTATCAAATGCTTCTAAGGGAAGTAAATAAGGATAAAAGAATAAAATTCATGCAGATGTTAGTCAAGATTATGAAAACAGCTATTCAGGTAAACAATTAAGAATAATTTTTTTAATAAATTTTAAAGGAACCTTAAAATTAAAAATTGTTAATTTGCTTTTAAAATATTTTCATAAAGCGAGTTTTATCAAAATAGAAATAAATGAATAAATTTAATTAAATTTTCTATTAAATTAGCAAATTTTATCAATTAAATTTAAACACTTTTTATTTAATATTAATTTATTTTTTAATAAAAATATTAGGTAAAAAAGAAGAAGAAAATGAAGATGAACACTTGGAAACTTATGAAGATATTATAAATTTTAATCCTACCAGCCACACTTACAGCGAGAATAATAAAAAGTCTAAAATTGAGACCAAATAAAGTATAAATATAAAATAATAGCACAACTCAGATGTTCCTACTAGCACTAGCAATAGAATGAACTCGAAGAGTAATTCTATAAGTATTTAAAATGCTAATAATAGTGTTGGCAGTACTAATACCGCCATGTCTAGTGTTTCTTCTGCTCATAAAAACGATAAAAAAAAATTGGTACAAAATGAAAAAGAAAATAAATAATAAGTTGTATAAAATAGCAACAGCACATAATAAAAATAATAAATTTAATAAAAGCCTCAAAAATAATCAGTAAATTAGTAAAAGTAGTATAAATATGACATTTCTACTCTATCTTAATGCAGAAATATTAGCATTAGATAAATTGGAGATGAAATATAAAGAGAACAATTCCATTACGATCAAAACATATTTTATTAAAATGTCATTCAAAATTTAAACAATCCTTCTCACCCTGTCAGTGAAAACATTACAATGGATGGAAAAGTAAATTAAAATATAAAAAATGATTATTTATTTAGATTTTTAATAGTATTATAGCTTGTTTTATTTAAATAAATAATTATATTTAATTAGATACAAACTTTTTATGAAGATGGCAGGTAAGTTGTTTAGTTTGCTAATGGAGTTAAGCGTTAAGTTTTTCCAAACGGTTACACTTTAGTCAATTTTATCAATTAAGACGTTAAACAAGTAAAATTATTTTAATGAATAGCATTATTTAAGCTTAAAATTTTATAGGTTCTTCCTGATCATACAGTTATTTATTACTTTGCTGATGCTCAAACCACTTAAACCACATTAACAAATCATATAAATGTAAATTTAGATTGTTTGTTTTTAAGGTCTTTAAATTAAACTTTTAAAATTAATTTATAGATTTATAATTTCCCAAGTAATCAAATAGAAATTCACTTCCCTTAAGGCAGAAAAGAAATAATGTAAATTTAGCTAAAAATAATTTTAAAAGCGTTTATATAATTTTTTATTAAACCGAAAAGTTTTGCTGATGGAACAGAAAAATATATTTATGAAGATGGCGAAGAAAAGACATTCTTTGCAGATGGATCTATTTAAACAGTAGATGTAAATAAAGTGAAAAAAATTCGTTATAAGAATGGAAAAGAAGTAAGTTTAATTATTTGTTAGAAAGAAAGAAATAACTAATACAAATATTTAAAAAAAGGACGTAATTTATCCTGATTAAAACTCAGAAAATGTGCATTGATAGAAATAAAACATCTTTCTTATTGAAATTAAGAAAATGATAATTTAAATTAAAAATATATTAACAATTAAAATACAAATCTAAAAAAAATATTTAAAAATACTAAATGAAAGAGAGACTTGGCATATAACTAAGTGAATGAATGAATGAGTTGATTTTTGATTATTATAAAATAATATAAAACTAATTTTATTAAAATTAAGAAAATAGTTAATTATAAATTATTTATTCTATTAATTGTTTTCTTGTTTAATTAATTCTTTATTTTAATTAAAATCTAAATTATTTTACTTTTTTTTATAATTTTTAATTTAATAAAACTATCAAAAGTAAATTTCATTTTTCTAATCTAAAAAAAAGATCTAATTTTTTCTAAATACTTTTTGTTCTTCCAATTTATTTGATTAACTTTGAAAAATAAATGCCAAAAAGCAATTTTATCGATAAATTCTTAAAATGGCACATATGAAATTAAATTTTAATGAATATTATGAAATCTAAATTATTTTATTTGGTTTAATAGGGCAATTTAATATTAAATTAAATTTTGAGGATAGATGATATTTAAATTTTAAATAAACATCCTAACTAAATTTAATATTTAAGAATTCTTAAATTGAAAGTGAATATATATAATTTTGAAGGTATATTTACCTAAGTAAATCCTTTTTAGAAAAATACAAATTATCTGATTCAATTCCCATTTAAACGAATGTTTCTAATTTTAAAATATTTAATTAAAGTAAAGAATAGAAATTTAATACATTTTAATAAAATAAAATTGAAGAGTTAATTAAATTATTTCCTATTAAAAAATATTTAATTTTTTTTATCTAATCAAATAAATAAATAAATAAAATAAATCTTTATCATTTATTAAAAATCTTTTAAAACTTAAAATAATAAATCTATGTTTAAAAAATTAGCAATTTTTTATAAAAAGTTATTTATTTAAAACCTCTCTTCAACATTATAAGAGTAATTAAAATAAATTAGTAACTTGATAATTTAGAAATAGAAATAATAGCTATAATATTATTAATTTCTTGTTAAATTAAATTTAAAATTTACCTAATTTACTTCTTAGGTGAATCAGAAATAGATATTTAAATATTTACCAAAAACAAACAAACAAACAACTCTTTTATTATATTGCTGATTAATTTTAATCAATTGCAAAGATACTAATTAGTTAAATATTAAAATACTACTAAATAAATAAATATAATATCACAAATGATTGATGTCATATTCTGCTCCGAATTCGATTTACTCAAAGGATGCGTTGTCAAGGCTCATTACCCTGAGAATTTCGAATACGATGAAATTACTCTAGCAGCATATATGCTGCCTGATGGTGTTTAAAAATTTGATAATGATATCAGTGTTTTTAAATATAAATTAAAATAAGTTGTTGACCAAAAAACACATAAATTAGTATCTGAAATTAACTTAAATAGTTCTAAAGAATTGGTTGATTTGTATAAATTTAACAACTAAAAAGATGATTGGGAAATATATCAAACTAATTGCTCACTTACTGCTACTAATTTAGGAGATTTTATAATATTTTCTACTCCTGAAATAGAATTTGGAGCTGAGAAATAAATATTCAGATTTCAAACACATAAAGATATTTAATATCGTAAACTGAAGGACGATTTTTACTCATTTTATACTTAAATTGAAGGGGAATCGTATGGGATTCTATTTAAAATGGGAGCTCAGAGTTAATAAAGGAAAAGTTTATATTCTTTTATGGAAAAATTTGAAGAGTAGCGTTTATATGAGAGTCAATTAAGACTATCTGAATTATCTCTTAAAAGTGTTGATAATTAGTAATAAATATAGTTAAATGATGATATGCAGTCTCTAAAGTAATAACAAGAAGTAATTAATACAAAAGTAGAAAATGAGTACACTTTTTATACAGTGATAAAGAATAAAAGGGATTAGCAATTTAAAAGAGGGAACTTAACAAGAGCAATAACAATAGCTTCATAGAACAATGATATATTATATTATTTTGAAAAGGCACTTAAGTACTATGTGGATTTATACATTGAATTTCCTATTGAAGATGACACAACTCCCGTTTTAAAACTGCTTGAAGATGCATTTAATGCAATCAATAAGTTAAATATTCCTTAAAAATACCTTTAAATGCAAGAAGATTAGCTAGTTTATTGGGAGGATCTCTTAAATAGAGGATATGATCCTTCTTCTGTAAATCAAATAGATTTTGCTTTAAATGAGTGGTTTGTTTATACAGTCTAGCCAAACGATTCAATTTTTAAAGATTTTACAAATGCTAGTCTTATCGATTTGATAAAGAGATTCTAAGACCAAGTTATGAAAATTTGGGCTGCTATCTTAAAGGAGTAAAGAATATTGTTTGTAGGATATGATAAAAGTATAAGAGAATGTGTAAATTTTGCATCAAGTATTTAATTGCTGGCATTACCTCTCAACTTATCAAAGAAAATACATCTTTACTGTCATCTCTAAGACCTCTCTTTTGTAGAAAAAAAATCATATATAGCAACTGTTTCTAATCCTGTAAATAAAATTTCATTAAAAATAATTAATAAAATGTTTAATTTATTAATTTTAGTTTTTAAAAATTTGCAATAAATAACAATTTTTTTCTAAAACATTTTTTTTAGCTATTTGAAAACAGAGAAAGCTGGTGGGATGTTTGCTGCAACATATAAGATGGCTCTGTCAAAGAAAGTGAAAAGCTTAGCACCTTAGAAGCTATGGTAGAGAATAAAATATAATAATTAGATAAAGAATTTTATAAAGAAGTGGAAAAGAAGATTTAAGATGGCACTATTGATGAGTACGGAGTAAGACAGTTATTTTTTAATTACACGAAGTATACTTTAGATTTTATGATGAATACAAGCAACCTAATTGATCAAGGTAAAGAAGACAAATTGTTATAATAGTCGTTCCAAAAAAGAGCATAAAGATTCGCAAAAACCAGCTATTATTAAAACATTATACAAGACGAAGAAAATTAAAGAAATAAGTTTAAATAATTTTTTGGTGAAACAAGTTACATTTAACTTTTTGAGAGTCTTTTAATATTAAAGGATACTAGAATTTTAAATGATTTAGAATTGATTACTCTTTATACAGCTATAACTACTTATGCAAAGACAGAATCCTAGTTGCTATTAGTTTTGAGATATATTTTCCATAAAAAAAATAGTCTAGATTCTATCGGTATAGGACTCTTTTCAAAATCAGAGTAAGTTGTTAAAAAAAACTTATAAATGCTTTAGCATATCGAAACCTTTCCTATTGGTAAACAGGTACTGAAATCCTTTTCTTTTATGATGCTCTATGCCTACGAAAATATGAAAACTAGATATTAATTTACTAAATTTAAATGAAATTTATTTAATATTAATTTATAGATTATTTTTCCATTAATTTTATGTCATTTATACTTGCTTTTTATATAGTTAATTTATATTATAATTTTTCTTCGTTCACAAATATAAAATTTATGGATATAAATAAATAGAATAAATAATTTTGGAATAAAAATATTTTTAATTTATTGAATTAATTTATGAAAAATTTATATTTTATTGAATTAAATAATAATATAAAATAAATATAATAAAACTACTTATTTATTTATAAAGATTTTTATTATTTCACATCAAAATTTAATTGAAAAATGTTATTTTAAAAACATTTTAAATCATAAATATACATCTTATAACGAGTTAAAATATAAATAAATAATTTCTTTGATATTTTGAATTTAAAAATCATAATAAAAGTAGTATTTTTTCTAAGCAACTTAAAAACCAGTTATTTTGAAAATCTAATTAAAATATCTAACTCATTAATTTTTTATCTTAAAATTCAATTATTGTTTTATCTTGTTTTTTATGGTAGGTAGAAAATCCATCATTTGTTTGTTATTTATATGTAAAAGGTAAGTTATTTTTTAGATTGAATATTTAATCCTTTTTTTATTTATAAAAAAGCTAATTAATTCTTCATTAAAAAATGTTTTATGTTTTAAATATAAAAAGAAGTGTAATTTTTGGTGAATTTAAAGTAGTAAATTAATCAATCGATTAGCTTTTATAATTAATTATAGTGATGAAATTATCTATCCTTTTATTTATTTATTTTTTGTTTTTACTTGCTTGTAATTTTTAATATTGTTAATTTATGGATTTTTGATGAGTTGAAGGATGGATTATGAAATGAGTTTAAATTTTCAAAAAATATTAAATTAATGAAAGACAAGATATATATTAAAATCAAATAATTATCTAAAGTGAAATTGATTTTTCTTTAAAAAAATAAATAAATAAATTATTAATTGATTAGATATAGAAGCCGTTTAAGCTTGCGCTTTAGTTAAAATAAATAATCGCATTAAAAATTTAGGTAGTTAGAAAAAGAAAGAGTCTTAAGCGATCATATTAGTTAGGTTGAATAGTAAACTATTTAGTAAGTAAGTAAATGATTGATTCCAAGAAAGGATTAAGCGAGAGCTAGCAATTTAAACCCCCTACATACAATTAGAATGTGAGATACATATTAGCAAAACAAAAAATAGATGTAATTAATTAATTATCTTTCTACTTACTCAACATGAATTTAATGCTTAAAAATCGAGATTCCTCAAATTGACTAACAATTTAAAATTCATTTATTAGATCATATTTAAAAAATTATTTTGTATTTGATTAATAGGATTTGTTTTTGAAATTCTTGAGTTAGCCAACAACAAATGATGTTATTTAAAATTTGCTTAGAGATATTAAAAGTGGAACAGTTAACGAAAATAACTTGCCAAATCCAATTTTTACATCTCCAAAAATCACATTATAAAATTCAATGACTTCTTCAACAATACTTCTTAATTCACCTATTTCTAAATCACCTTAAAAGCATCAACCTGTTAATTCTCCTCGCTCTCCTTCTGAAAAAGGTAATTGATTCATTGATTGATACATTAAAGATAAAGAATTTAGAAATTTATAATGAGCCTAGATTCTAATTTAAATGAAAATATTAGAAAATAGACATAAGAAGAATTAGCTAGAAGCCTCACCAACTAACAATAAGGGAAATAAAGCAAATAATATGTCAGCGTCAACCCTACTAGCTAATAGTTAATTAGTAAATTAAATTTAAAGCGTAGCAGCTAATAGAAAATATAAAGAATTTATGCTACCTTTTAAATTAAAGATATTGATTAAGTTACAATCATTTTGGTATTATAAAAGATGTAAAGCATGGTCGTTAATAAAGCAAATTATGATGAAATACCTTAATTCTATTTCGGAGAACCAACTAGAATGCTCGACCCTTCTGCATAAGAAGAATAAAATGTAATAAACTAATTAATTACTTTCCTTACTCTCTCTCTCTCTCTCTCTCTCACTTACTTATATTAGATTATTTATAAATTCTAACTACCTTAATTTCAGCAAAATATTTTAAATTTAAATAAAAGAAAATAATAAGTGAAGTGTTTGGTAGAAAGACAGAAATAGAAATGAAAGATTTTAATGACTTAACAACTAAACTTGCCGATTTGCCTAACTTCTTTAATTAGCTGCTCTTCAATAAAATCGATAAATAGAAAAGTGGTAAAATAAGCAAGCAGGTATTTATAAATTATTGGAAGAATGAGCTCTAATTAAAAGACCAAAAAGAAAGGTGCTTCCATGTTTTAAAAAAATAATCAAATGAATTTATAGAAAGAGATGACTTTTTACCAATGATGAAAGGTAATCTAAATATTTAAATTTTTCTCTTTGTAAAATTGTTTTTGTATTGAAAATTAATTAATAGTCTTACTAGAAACTCACCCTGGTTTGGAATTCTTAAAGGCTACTCCTGAATTTTAAGACAGATATGGTAAAATATAAAAATAATTTAAATTTTACAATTTCATTCTGATTTTTATAAAATAATTAATAGCTGATACAGTTGTTATTAGAATATTCTTCATTGTAAATAGAAGAGATAATGGTCGCATTTCCTATCAAGAATTTAAAAAGAGTAACCTTTTCCAAGTATTTTAGCAAGTTGATAAAGAAGAAGACATAAACAAGGTATTCAGTCTATAAAATTTATTTTTCTTTCAATAATTAAATAAAAAAATAATTTCAAATCAATCATAAATATTTAAAATTAATATAAGAAATTATATGAAAATTTATCATGTTAAATTTACACAAATTCTTTATTGATTTATAAAGAGAAAATTCAAAAAAAAAAGTGCTATCTCTATTTTATTATTTTATTATTATTTTTTTAGGTTTTTTTTAAATTGAAAAATTTTATTTGCTAACTAAATTAGATAAGGGACTTCTTCTCATACGAGCACTTCTATGTTTTATATTGTAAATTTTGGGAGTTAGATACAGACCACGATTTTTATATCACAAAAGAAGAGTTTAGTAAGTACTCTGGACATGCTCTTTCAAGAAAAACTGTAGATAGAATATTTGAGTAAGCTCCAAGGAAGTTTAAGTGTACTGACCCAACAAAAGCTGGATTTATGGGATATGAAGATTTTATTTGTAATAAATAAATAGTATTTATAGACTTTAAAGTAAATTTTGTTAAAAATATTTTAGGGTTTGTTTTAGCTGAAGAAGATAAAACCACTTTGACTAGTTTAGAATATTGGTTTAAGGTAGTAGATTTAGATGATAATGGAATAATTACGTAAATTTATTATTTAACTAAGAACTTTCAGTTAGTTTTTTTTGAAAATTAAATAGAGGCTTTGAAATGAATTGGTTTTTCGAAGAATAAAGATAAAGATTGGAGTATTTGAATCACGAAAATGTCTTATTTGAAGATATTGTATGCTAGATGTAATTTTTATTATTAATTTTCACATCATTTATTTTTTTAATTATTTCTTGACTATTTATTTTCGCTTCTAAGCATATTTTAAATAAATAAATAAATTAATTAATTAATTAACTGTATTATAAATAAAGGGTAGATTTGCTTAAACCTGAAGATGACATTAAATTTTATTTCAAACATTTTAAGGCTAAATAAAATGTTTGTGGAATATTTTTTAATTTCATGACTAACTTAAATAAATTAGTGCAATATGAGCAAAGAGATCCTTTCTAATTAAAACACGAATTAAATGAACACCCAGATTACACAGAATGGGATAGATTTGCATAAAATGAATATTAACGCTTAGCTATGGAAGAAGAGAATCAAGAAAATGTAAAATTTAATTTAGACAAATCAAATAAAATTAAAAAATTTTTAAAAAGGGAGAAGTATTTAACGATGGCATCGATCCATGGGATTAGGATGGAGGTGAAAATCAGCCATTTTCACCAATGTGATTTGTTAATTTTTATTTCAAAATTTTAAAAAAGAAATAACTCTATTTTTAATGTTTGGTTAAGCTAATTAAAATCAAGAAAAAATGCAGTAAAATCATAATAATAAAATATAGCTTTTAAAGAAATACGTACAGAATTAAAATAATCGTAGCATAATATTCTTCATTTACATCCTACAACAAACATAACAAAATATGAGTTTGATTAAAAAAACCTGCAATTAAATATAGAATCTATAAACAATTAATTATTAAATTAAGAAGTTAGTTAATTTGTTAGTTAGTTAGTTATTTAATAGCTAGCTAATTAATTAATTTCATTTATTATTTATTTAATTTCTACTTATCAATTAAGAAATTAATATAAAGTAATTTATTTTATGTAATTAAGTAAGTACTTTGTAAAATTTAATTATTAATATCTCATCTTAAAGCCTATTTATTTATTGATCTATCGATAGATCTTTTTTAAACTATCTTTCTTTTATATTTAATCATCAAATAATAATTTAAAGCTATTTTATCATTTGCTTGAAATGTATTGCTTCACAAAGGTTAATGCAGCATCTCTAAAAGATTAATTTTAAATTATTTACTATTTAATAAAATCCATAGCTTAGTTATTATGACTTGCTTATTCGCTTTTCATTACTGCTGTAAATCCTCTAAATATCAACCTATTTAATAAAATTTTCAATTTTAATAAATTATTTCATTTTGAAAATTTATCTTAAAAAATTTAGTTAAAATAGAAAAAAATAAATATTGTTTAAAAGGTATATTTTTTATTTATATATTTATTTCAAAAAATAAATTCAAATTTATTTATTTTACTCTGATTCTTGTAAGATTTGTTGTTAAGGCTTTTCTGGAATACTTTGTTTGAATGGTTCAGAATTATGAGTGGTTGCTTAGTTTAAATTTACACTTTGATTATTTTAATTATCAAGTTTAGCTACAGATTGTGGTTTGGTATTTTCATTATTAATAGTATTTTTTTTAGTTTTTTAGCTATTATTGGTTGTTGAAGTTGGATTGATATCTTTTAAAATTTTAGAAGATTATGATTATTGTTATTAGCTAACTTTTATTTTATTCAATGATTTTATATTTGATTGAGATTACTATGAGCTCTCTGTTTCCTTAATGATAGATAGTGTACCTTACTTAGCTTTTTTTTGTTTTGTTTTTGGGGAACCTTTCTCTTTTTTAGATTTTAATTTTGATTTTGAATCAGTAGATTTTAACTTTGTTTAAGATTTAACAGATTAAATATCTTTCATACTTTCTTTACTTTGCTGCACCTTCACAGGTTAATAGTCAAGCTCTGAAAGTTAATTTTTGCTTGTATTTAATTACTCATGAATTTTATCTGCTTCCTGTAAACCTTTTATAATAGAATACTCTCTCTCATTAAAATTGGTTTAATTTAGTGAAGCTTTATTTTAATTTCTATCTTCAACTTCCTCCAGCAAACTCAACATTTGTTAATACTCAAGTTTACTGTTTTGTATGACATTTTCAAAAAGCTATGTTTTTTCTTCCCTCTTTTTTTCTGCTAATACTCCTCTCTATATTAATTGATTTAATTATTGAGATATCTACATGCTCTTCAGATGAAGATCATAATTATTTTATTCTTAAGCATACAAATCATTTGAAGATTTATTCACTAAATCAACATTCTTCGGCAGGTTACCTTCGAAATTTTGAGCAAATAAGTTAACAGATGGTACTTTGAATCTACCATTCTTTATGTAATCCTATTTTTCTTTTGAGTTTGGTCTTTCAAAAGATTATTATAATGAATTATCTTAGCTGTTATAAAAATCTTTTCTGGCTTCCAACTATTTTTAAATGCAATTATTAACATATTCGCTAGGAGTTTATCCATTTAGAGGTCTTTTCTTTGAGCTATTTGAAAGAAACTAGTCAAAATTATTGGAAGCTAAAAGCGGATTAGAACTTGTCAGCTTTATTGAGTTTGATCTATTTTCTTTCTAAAGATTTTCATATTCCTGTTAATATTATTACTGGTAATATGTGGGTCTTCCGTTATTATTGTCTAACAAACTAGAGTATTTATATTTGGCATGCACCTAACTATTATTATTTGTGGATATTTCTGGCTTTTCATTCAGTTAATTCAACCTTTACTGATAATCATATAAAACTTTCTTCTCACCATCTTTAAGCAATTCCATTTTATTCAATTAATTAATTAAATTTTTAAACAAATAAATACTGATTCTACGAGCATCAATAAAATTTATATATATTTTATTAGTCTATGCTTCTTTTTTTTGAAAATTTTTGAAAAAGAATCATTTGCAATCAATAATTGAATACTGAATTGAATCTTAAGAGTTGAGAAATCTAAATAGCAAAATAAAATATTAACACAAAAATATTGAATTGATTTATTTAAAAAAACTATTATAATATCAATTATAAAATAGTGAATTTTTATAAACTATCTCTTTCACAAAATTATTTGTTGCTAATAATATGATAATAAAATTTTGAAATATTTGGGAAGTCAAAATTTTCATAACTTAGTTAAATTAAAAATAAAATGCTTTTAGAATTAATAAAGAAACAGTAGGATTTATGATAAATTTGTGTCTCAGAAAGAATAATATGAGTCAAAATTAATTATTTTCTAATACGCTTGACAATCTTAAATATGAAATAATACATGACTAATACTCACTGCAATCTAAAATCACATATAAAATAAATGAAATATTAATACAATTTATTCTTTTATCAAGAATTAATTTTGTTAATGAACTATTGAAAACAAACAAACATTTATTATATCCCCTTTAAATCTTAGTCTATTATAATTTATATAAACATTTCATAGAAAGAAGTGTAAAAATTAACTAAAGTAAAAAGCACCATAATCTAAAATAAAAAGAGAAACAACAAATTATAAATAAATAAATAAATAAATACTCTTAATCTGATTAAATTATTCTATTTTTATATTGATAAATGTCAAATTAATCGCTTTAAAATTAAAGTAGCTTAGATACAAGTTTTTAAAAAGGAGCTTTAAAGAGATGTTAATGGACTTAAAATATGCATATGCAGAAATTTATTATAGATGAATAAATTAGCTCATCGTAATCTATTAAAGCGAATGATAACATAAGATAAAATAATTGCTTAGATGTTAGCATTCAGAATCCACACTTACCTATTAATGCCAGTTTCATAATAACTGATAGCTATGATTAAAAAAAACAAGATAATTTTACTTAAGAGTATTCATAGTATAACACAATAGATGTTTCATAATAATTTGATCCTATTAATTAGGAGATGTAGTAGAATTAAGTTAATCAATAAGAATGTGCTCTTGAGCAGAAAAGTATATTGACTTAAACTGAAAAAAAAGAAGAAACCACTGTAGAAAATGATGACTATAATTCTGATTATTAAAAGTAAATGCTATTTTCTAACTACTATGTACAAGACTCCCTAAATTTTGGAAAGTGTTTATTTGAGAGGCTAGGTATAAATGGGAAATATACTTTGTCACAAAGCTTAGCTCTTTTTTTTAATATTCACCGCTTTGTAAAGAAAGTGAAAAATACAGAAAAAAATAAATTTAGAAATCTAACTCTAGCTCAACATGAATACATTAATGATATTTCATCGAATTATAATTACTTCTTACACAGAAATAAGTTTAGGACAGTATTCATTTTTTTCATTTAAAAAAATATTTTAACTCTACTTATTTCTATTAAATTCATTAATTTTAAAACAGACTCCTAACCTTTACGAGCAATGGAAACATAAGTTTGCGTGTAAGTTAGTTTATAAAAAAAATGTATTTATTTCATTAAAATTAATTTATTTTATCTAAGAATTAAACTTAAGAAAGAAACTTTCAGACTTCACATTTGGTAGAATTTTGATAAATTTTGCAAAAAAGTTAGATTTTATAATTTTGCCTGTATTTATTTATTTAATTAATTAATTTTTTGCTACTTTTTAATTTTTTTTTTAAATAGAACTCTACCTTTTATACAATTTTTAGTATCACTATGCTTATCATCATACTAAGAATTATTATTTTTGTTCCATTATTCCTCTCATAGCAGCAAAATACTCAAATAGAATTTGTTAAAGGATCAGGCTATTTATGGAGTAATATACTATCTTGCTTAGGTTTTTGTTTCGAAATAATATTTAAGTTAAATACAGGTAGGTATATATTCAATTAGTTATTCATTTCTAAATATATAGCAAATTTTTCTAATTCAAACTACTCTATTAAAATATTAAGCTATTTACATCAGAGGAGAGCTTATTTATCAAAGGAAGAAAATATTTAAACGTTTATTGAAATCTAAGAAATTATTGTAAATTATTATGATTTATTTATATTTTTTATTGGATTATAAAATTTTAAAATATAGTTTAGATATTTTATTAACTGTTATAATCATATTTACCAGTGCTTACTCTATGGATTACATTTCTTTTTTGTTATTATTTAAAGTTAAAGATTTGTAGCAAATTCTCTTGTAATTAGAGCTAAAATATTAATTAAAAGGAAATCTTTAAGCTTTAATAGAAATGATTAAACTCATTTTTTTCATTTTATTCATGGCTCATATGGTAGCGTGTGGAGCAATGTTTATATAAAAAATTGAGCTATCTTCTGAATACAACAAAGTCTGGTTTACATAAAATTTAAATTAATCATGGATAGAAATGTATGTAAATGCTTTTTATTGGTCTATTGTAACCATGGTCACCCTAGGTTATGGTGATATTATTCCTGTTACTCTCTGTAAAAATTTTTTTAGCTAAAAATAACACTTTTTTGCCTAGCAAAAAAAATAATTCATTTAAATTTTGAATAAAATTGTATTTTTTATAAAATTGACAATTTAAAATTGATTGAATAAAATATATTTAGATAAATTAAAATTATAAAATTATATTTTATTAATAGATGAAAAAATATAATATAAGAGGAAAAGTGAGGTCTGGCGATTGATTTTTTTAGACTAGCTTTTTAAAACAAATTTATAACATTATAGTTACTAATCATGGATAATCAAGCTGATGATAATCAAAACTTTACATTATTTTTTATTATATTTTAAAAATAATGGAAATAAAAATTTGAAAATAATTCACTTACTTATTTATTTATATTTGATTATTGTTAAAAAATTTTATAAAATGATTAAAAGGAAAAATTTAAAATGATTTAAGATGAGTTAAACTTTAATTTTTATCAAAAATCTGGATTCATGTGTTAAAGCTGTTTTTCTTTTAAACACCGATTTAACCAATGCCCATATATTTTATACTAATCTCCTAAAGAAAAGATAATCAGCCTACATTTGAAAAGCTCGAGCATGAAAAACAGAGTAGATTTTAAAAGAAAAAAACCTAAATCTGTTAATCCAAGATCAATTTTAGTGCTTATTAAATAAGATGCAGAAGTTTTATAGCATTCATAGCTATTTTCTTAGGGTAAGTAAAATAAATAATTTAATGGTTAAATTAATTAAATTAAATTTTAATTAGATGAAATAATACATTCTAAATTTGATCTTTAGCCAGTGCATGCAGCTTTGAAACCTTTGGCGAGTAGCAAAAGTTGTAATAGTTGTACATTAATAAGCAGCTAAAGTAAAAAATAATATTTATAATTTATAGAAGTAAAATTATTTTAACTTTAAAGAAGTAAGATAGAGGAAGGATAGTAAAAAGTTATCTATTTTTTTAAATGAAGATATACAGTAAAATCCTAAAAAAAATAAAGGTAAGCTAACATGTATTATAAATTAAGCAGAAAATATGTATGAAAGTTTTCCAAGGGTGCAAAAAAATAATAATTTTTCAATTCAAACGCAAGCAAGAGGCTAAGAACTGGAGTCTTTTTCTTCAAAAGCAATAATTATAGAAAATGATTCTTAAAATAAATAGCTTGTTTAACAAATTATTTAAGAAGAATAAGATGATACATCAATTAAAAGCTAGTAAAATGATGAAAATTTAGAAATTTAAAATAATAAAAAGGAAGATTAATTAATGTTAAAAAAGCATAAAATACTCTATTAATTTAATGAAGAAAAACCTAATTATCAAGCTTAAGAAGATTAGAAGACAAGTTAAAATTTAATAGAAATCAATAAATAAAATTCTAACAGTTTTCTTTCCTAATTAATAATTGATAACTCTTAAAAAGCTTTATTTGATTAAGAAACAATTAATGAATATAACTAAGAAGCAAGCATTTAATATTTTAATTTAACTAATTTTGAAAAAGGAAAAGACTATTTGATTTACTTTCCCCATAATAATATAACAAAAGTGCTAACTTAAATTGAGTAGTTAAGAAGAAAGAAACTATAAAAATTCTTAAAAATAAAATCTAAAAAATCTACACCTAAAAAAGTTTGCAAAATAGAGCTGACTTAGAGAAAATCTGTATTCAAATAACTTAAAGCAGATATACTTTCTTTTTAAAGTGATAAGAACTAAAATTAGTAAATTAGATAAATAAATACCAGTAATTGATAAATTTGAATTATGATTGTTATATTTTATATTTAAAATTTAAATTCTTTAATTAATTTCAATAAATAATCTTGATTGAAAACTATTGTTCGATATTAAAACTATATTTATAAATAAAACAAATTACCATAGTTTCTTTTACATTAACATCAGAAAAAAAAATTTTGTGAAAAATTAGAGAGTTAATTAAAATATAGACACAAAAACTATCGAATAAAACGGGTTTCCAATATATCTCTGATCTTACAATAAATATTATTTCCTACTCACTAAAAATATTATTAGAGGATAGCAATTATTGTTTTTCAAACTAAATTTATCTAAATTTTCTGATAATATTTATATTTAAAATTTATTTATTTTATTGATATTTATTTGAAATATTTATTTAAACTTTTTTTCTCAATTAAGAAGCATCTATCTGTCAATTAGTAATTATCTTATTCTAATAAAAAATTAAATATTAATTATTTTTGATACACTGGTAGAATTATTTTATAGCAATAAGCTAATATATAAATTTAAATGATAAATATTTTTAAAGAAAGTATTTAAAGGATTTAAAAAAGTGGCTTAAATAACTTTTTTTTAAAGAGTTTTTATCAAATATTTATTGTTATTTCATTTATTAATTTTGATTGGCTCTAATTTTTGCTTTAAAAGTATTCTAATGCAAATATTTTAAAATAAAATTAATCTATTATTTATATTTAATTAATAAATTTAAAAAATAACATGGTAGCTATGACAATAATTATTGTCTTGAAAAGAATAATTATTAGTCTACCTACTTGAACTTGTTTAATTATTATTATTGTAAATTATATAATAAATTTCTAAAAGTTAACCAACGCTATAAATAAATAAATAACCAACTAAAGGGTTAGTAAATTTAACAAGGAGAAACTCTAAATAATTCAATAATCAAATAAATGTCAAATAAATAGCTTTAACATTAATATAGTTTTGAGTAAAATTATTAATAAGGTGCATAAAAGAGAAGCATATGGACTTTAAATGTTAGATAATAAAAAATAAATATGGATGATTATATTTATTCTTCTTAATCTATTTAAAGTAAATTTTTATCTGCGTCCTGTAAACCTTTTATAATAGATTACTCTCTCTCATTAAAATTTGTTTTATTTATGGAAGCTTTATTTTAATTTCTATCTTAAACTTCCTCCAGCAAACTCAAAATTTGTTAATACTCAAGCTTACTGTTTTGTATGACATTTTCAAAAAGTTATGTTTTTTCTTCCCTCTTTTTTTCTGTTAATACTCCTCTCTATATTAATTAATTTAATTATTGAGATATCTATATGCTATTGAGATGAGGATCATAATTATTTTATTCTTAAGCATACATATCATTTGAAGATTTATTCACAAAATCAACATTCTTCGGCAGGTTGCCTTCGAAATTTTATGCAAATAAGTTAACAGAAGGTACTTTGAATCTACCATTCTTTATGTAATCCTATTTTTCTTTTGAGTTTGGTCTTTCAAAAGATTATTATAATGAATTATCTTAGGTCTTCTAAAAATCTTTTTTGGCTTCCAACTATTTTTAAATGCAATTATTAACATATTCGCTTAGAGTTTATCGATTAAGAGGTCCTATCTTTGAGCCATGCACCTAACTATTATTATTTGTGGATATTTCTGGCTTTTCATTCAGTTAATTCAACCTTTACTGATAATCGTGTAAAACTTTCTTTTCACCATCTTTAAGCAATTCCATTTTATTCAATTAATTAATTATATTTTTAAACAAATAAATATTGATTCTACTAGCATCAATAAAATTTATATATTTTTTATTAGTCTTTGTTTTTTTTTTTTGAAAAAAGAATCATTTGTAATCAATAATAATTGAATACTGATTTGAATCTTATGAATTGAAAAATCTAAATAGCAAAATAAAATAAATAAATAAATAAATAAAAATTGAATTGATTTTTTTAAAAATTATTTTTATATGAATTACAAAATAGTGAATTTTTTAAACTATCACTCTCACAAAATTAAATTTTGCTTTTTATTTTATTATAAAATTTTGAAATATTTTGGAAAATTTATTTTTCAGAATTTAGTTAAATTAATAATAAAAATCCTTTAAAAATAATAAAAAAGCAGCAGGGTTTATGATAATTTTGTGATTTAGAAAGAATAAGATGAGTTATAAATTAATTATTTTTTAATATACTCGATAATCTTAAATATAAATAAAATACATGACTAACTCTCACTGCAATCTAAAATCAGATATAAAATGCATTAATTAAATATACGGTTTAGTCTTTTACTTATATGCAATTGTTATTAAAGAACTGTTGATATCAAAAATATATACCTTTTAACTCTTAGTCTATTATAACTTATTTAAACATTACAGAGTAATAACAAGAAGAATTAACTAAATTAAAAAGCACCAAAATCTAAAATAAAAAGAAAAACAACAAATAGATAAATTAATACTCTAAATCTGACAAAAAAATTTATATTTATATAGATAAATGTCAAATTAAACTCTTTAGAATTAAAGTAGCTTAGATACAAGTTTTTAAAAAGGAGCTAAAAAGAGATGTTAATGGACTTTAAATATGCATATGCAGAAGCAGAGTATAGATGATTAAATTAACTCATCGTAATCTATTAAAGCCAATAATAATATAAGATAAAATAATTGCTTAGATGGTAGTATTTTGAATCCACATTTACCTGTCAACGCTAGTTTCATAATAACTGATAGCTATGATTCGAATAAACAAGATAATTTTACTTAAGAGTATTTATAGTATAACTCAGTAGATATTTCATAATAATTTAATCCTATTAAATAGCAGATGTAGAAATAAGCTAATTAATAAGAATGTACTTTAGAGCAGAAAATTATATTGACTTAAATTGAAAAAAAAGAAGAAATCATAGTAGAAAATGATGACTGTAATTCTGATTATTAAAAATAAATGCCATTTTCTAACTATTATGCAGGAGATTCCTTAAATTTTGGAAAGTGCTTATTTGAGAGGCTTGGTATAAATGGGAAATATACTTTACCATAAAGCTTGGCTCTTTTTTTTAATATTCACCGCTTTGTAAAAAAAGTGAAAAATACTGAAAAAAATAAATTTAGAAATCTAACTCTAGCTCAACACGAATACATTAATGATATTTCATCGAATTACAATTACTTCTTACACAGAAATAAATTTAGGACAGTATTTATTTTTTTTCATTAAAAAAAATCTTTTAGCTCTACTTATTTCTATTAAATTAATTCACTTTAAAACAGACTCCTAACCTTTACGAACAATGGAAACATAAATTTGCACGTAAGTTAATTCATAAAAAAAAGTGATTTACTTAAAATTAATTTATTTTATCCAAGAATTTAACTTAAGAAAGAAACTTTCAGACTTCACATTTGGTAGAATTTTGATAAATTTTGCAAAGAAGTTAGATTTAATAATTTTACCTGTATTTATTTATTTAATTAATTAATTAATTACTTAATTAATTTCTTTTCACTTTTTAATTAATTAATTTTGTTTTAAAAATAGAACTCTACTTTTGATACAATTTTTAGTATCACTATGCTTATCATTATACTAAGAATTATTATTTTTGTTCCTATATTTCTCTCATAGCAGCAAAATACTCAAAAAGAGTTTGTTAAAGGATATGGCTATTTATGGACTAATATACTCTCTTGCTTATGTTTTTGTTTCGAAATTATTTTTAAGTTAAATACAGGTAGGTAGATATATATTGAATAAGTTATTCATTTTTAAAATATACAAGTAGTTATTCTAATTCAAATTACTTCTTAAAATATTAAGCTATTTACGTCAGAGGAGAGCTCATTTATCAAAGGAAGAAAATATTTATGCGTTTAATGAAATCAAAGAAACTATTGTAAATTATTATGATTTATTTATATTTTTATTTTATATTTTTTATTGATTTTATAAAATTTGAAATATAGTTTAGATATTTTATTAACTGCTATTATCATATTTACCAGTGCTTACTCAGTAGATTACATTTCTTTTTTGTTATTATTTAAGGTTAAAGATTTGTAGCAAATTCTCTTATAATTAGAGCTAAAATATTAATTAAAAGGAAATCTTCAAGCTTTAATAGAAATGATTAAACTCATTTTTTTCATTTTATTCATGGCTCATATAGTAGCGTGTGGAGCAATGTTTATATAAAAAATAGAGCTAACTTCTCAGGAAAACAAAGCCTGGTTTGCATAAAATTTAAATGAATCATGGATAGAAATGTACATAAATGCTTTTTATTGGTCTATTGTAACCATGGTTACCCTAGGCTACGGTGATATTATTCCTATTACTCTCAGTAAAAATCTTTTTACCTCATAATAATAATACTTAAAAAATTATATTTTTTACCTAGCAGAAAAAATAATTCATTTAAATTTTAAATAAAGTTATATTTTTTATTAGTTTGACAATTAAAAAATTCATTTTAAAAAAATTGAATAAAATATTTTTAGTAAAAAATAAAATTTAATATTTAAAAAATGATATTTTGTTAATATTTAATATTTAAAAAATGATATTTTATTAATAGATGAAAAAATATATGCTATAGGAGTAGCTTTAGTTGGCTGTTTTATATTATCATACTCTATGAATTAAGTTGGTGAGATATTGAATGGATTAGCCAAATCTAATACTATGTTCAAAGAAAAATTGCAACAATTGAATAACTACTTTAGTAAGAATTGCTTAGAAAGAGACTTGCAACTCAAAGTCATAAAATACTACGAGTATCTTTAGTAAGAAGATTAGGAATGTATTAATGAAGGTTATAAACTAATCTAACAACTTCCAGATTAATTGAGAAAAGAAATTTAGTCTAAATTATATCAAAATTTATTTTTAAATAAGAAATTTTTCTCTCTTAATTTTAGTAAAGAATTTCTTCACAGTTTATCTCTTAAAATCCAAGAAGATGTACTTCACCCAAAGCAAATTTTATATCAAAAAGATGAACATCCTTAAAGATTGTATTTTGTATTGAATGGAAAAAGTATTTCAACATACAAACATGATTCATTCATATAATTAAACATTTTTTAATTAATTTAAAAAAAAAAAGTTGAAATATTTCTAAACACACCTAACAAAAGCAAATCTATCTAAATCAGGAAAATAAAAGTATACCTTTAAATTATTTTTTCTATTTTTTATTCAGAAATTTTAATAAGAAAAAAGGAGAAATGATAGGTGAAATAGAGTTTTTTAGTGATAAATAGTATGAGCAAAGCGCAAAGTCAATGTCTGTTACTAATGTTGCTTATATTGAAAAAGCAGACTTTTTAATAGAACTTTACAAATACCCAACTGACTATGTAATTTAACATTTTTTTTATAACTTAGAAATTAATAGTGAATGTTTGAATAAATCAAAGAATAATTAAATGCTTTCTTAAAAGCTTATCTTATATACTGTAACATTTTGATTATCATCAATAAAAAATAACGAAAAACTTATGAAAGTTAATTTTTTACCAAAATTTATCATAAATAAAAATGAATTAAAAAAAATGGCTTAGAACTAACAATTTCAAATATATTTTTATTTAATTTTCAACTCAGTAAAACCTAAACCACTAGACTTTAATTAGGAGTTTGGTTATAATAAAATTGAAATCAATCTATTTTAAAAATGATTACTCACTCAATTATTTATTTATTTATTCATTTACTTATTTATTTTTTTATTTATTTATTTATTTATTTATTTATTTTTTATTTATTTATATTTGATTATTATTAAAAAATATTATAAAATTGTTAAAAGGAGAAATTTAAAATGATTTAAGATCAGTTAAACTTTAATTTTTATAAAAAATCTGGATTCATGTGCTAAAGCTGCTTTTCTTTTAAACACAGATTTAACCAATGCCCATATATTTTATACTAATCTCCCAAAGAAAAAATAATTAGCCTACATTTGAAAAGCTCGAGCATAAAAAACAGAGTAAATTTTTAAAGAAAAAAACCGAAATCTGTTAATCCAAGATCCATTTTAATGCTCATTAAATAAGATGCAGAAGTTTTATAGCATTCATAACTATTTTCTTAGAGTAAGTAAAATATATAATTTAATAGTTAAATTAATTAAATAAAAATATAATTAGATGAAATAATTCATTCTAAATTAGATCTTTAGTCAGGGCATACGACTTTGAAACCTTTGGCCAGTAGCAAAAGTTGTAATAGTTGCACTATTATAAGCAACTAAAGTAAAAAAATAATATTTATAATCTATTTAAGTAAAATTAACTTTATTTTAAAGAAGTAAAATAGAGGAGGAATAGTAAAAGGTTATCTATTTTTTTAAATGAAGATATACCATAAAATCCTAAAAAAATAAAAGGTAGGCTATCATATATTATAAATCAAACAGAAAATATGTATGAAAATCTTCCAAGAATGCATAGAAATAGTAATTTTTCAGTTCAAGCTCAAACAAGAGGCTAAGAACAGGAGTCTTTTTCTTCAAAAGCAATAATTACAGAAAATGATTCTCAAAATAAATAGCTCTTTTAACAAATTTAAACTTAAAAAAGATTTTAAGAAATAATTTAGGAAGAATAAGATGATGCATCAATTTAAAGCAAGTAAATAGATGAAAATTCAGAAATTCAAAATAATAAATAGGAAGATTAAATGACCTTAAAAAGTCCTAAATTATCCTATTAATTTAATGAAGAAAAACCTAATTATCAAGCTTAAGAAGAATTTAAGGCAAGCTAAAACTTAATAGAAACCAATAAATAAAATTCTAACGCCATGATATCCTAATTCATAGATAACTCTTAAAAAACTTTATTTGATTAATTAACTATTAATGAATATAATTAGGAAGCAAGTTTTTAATATTTTAATTTAAGTAATTTTGAAAAAGGTAAAGATTATTTGATATACTTTCCACATAATAATATAACAAAAGTGCTAACTTAAATAGAGTAGCTAAGAAGAAAGAAAATATAAAAATTCTTAAAAATTAAATCTAAAAATTCTTAATCTAAGAAAATCTTCAAAATAGAAATGAGCTAGAGAAGGTCTGTATTCAAATAACTTAAAGAAGATGTACTTTCTTTTTCAAAAGATAAGAATTAAAATTTGTAAACTAGATAAAAAAATATCATTAATTAATAAATTTGAATTTAAAAATTAATTCAGACTAGACTGACTGCATATATTTATTTTATATTTAACATTTCAATTCTAAAATTAATTACAAAAGTCATATTGAAAATTTATTTTTATTTAGCAAAGCTATTTTTTAAAGCAAAAAAATTATCATAATTTCTCATTTATTAACGCCATAAAAAAATATTTTTCATAAATAAGGGCTAATTATTTTAATTAATTTTAAAATCATTAATACCCAAAACACTAGATTTTAATTTGGAGTTAGGCTTTCCTATATATTATATTTCCTACTCGCTAAAAATATTATCATTATATGGCAATTATTGTTTTTCTAACTAAATTTTCTGATAGTATTGATATCTAAAATCTATTTTATTGATATTTTTTTGAATTTTTTTAACATTTTTTTCTAAATTTAGAAGCTTCTATCTGTTAATTATGTAAATTAGTAATTATCTTATTCTAATAAAAAATAAATATTAATTATTTTTGATACACTTTTAGTAAAAAAGTAGCTTAAATATCTTTTTTTAAAATATTTATTGTTATTGCATTTATTTATTTTGATTGACTCTAATTTTTGCTTTAAAAGTATATTAATGCAAATATTTTAAAATAAAATTAATCTACTATTTATGTTTAATTAATAAATTTTTAAAATAATATGGCAGCTATGACAATAATTATTGTCTTGACATGATTAATTATAAGTCTACCTGGATGAACTTTTTTAATTGTTATTATAGTAAATTATTTATAAAATTTCTAAAAGTTAGCCAACCCTATAAATAAATAGCCAACTAAAAGCTTAGTAAATTTTAAGAGAGGAAACTCTAAACAATTCAATAATCAAATAAATGTCAAATAAATAGCTTTAACATTAGAATAGCTTTGAGTAAAACTATTAATAAGGTGCATAAAAGAGAAGCCTATGGACTTTAAATGTTAGATAATAAAAAATAAATATGGATGATTATATCTATTCTTCTTAATCTATTTAAAGTAATATGAACATAAAGTCAAATAATAATCATTTAGAAAGCAATAGCTTTTCAAAGGATACCTCATAAGTTGATTTAAGTTAAATAGTGACTGATAGTTACAACTCAAAAAGATAATAGAATTTTGTTTAAGGGTAATCATAGGATAACAAAATTTATGTTTCATAATAGTTAGGATCTACAATCTAAGACAAGTAGAATTAAAAAAGCCAATCAGAAAGTCTTTATGAGCAGAAAACGATTATAATTTAAAATGAAAAAAAAGAATAAGTAATTCATGAATAAGACGATTGTACTTCTATTTATTCAAAAAAATTAACAAGTAAACAAAACATCGAAGACAGTGTTAATAAGGGATAATGCTTATTTGAGAGGTTAGGTATAAAAGGCAAATTAACACTATCATAAAGTTTGGCTCTTTTCTTCAATATTCACCGCTTTGTTAAGAAGGTAAAAAGCACTGAAAATAATAATTTCAGAAACCTAACTCTCTCTTAGCATAAGTACATCAATGATATATCATCTAATTATAGTTATTTCTTACACAACAATAAGTTTAGAATGGTAAGCTATTTTAACTTTCTTTTTATGCATTAATTCTACAAGAAATTAAGAAAGAAAGCAAACAAGCAAAAAGAAATTAAAGAATAATTGTTTAATTTTTACCAAATTAATTGAAATTTATTTAAACAATTTATAATAAATTAATAAAAAATAAATAGACTCCTACATTTTTTGAGCAATGGAAGTACAAAATATCTTGTAATTAATTATTCAATTTCATCATAAGAAATTATTTTAATTTAAAAATTAATATAAAACCCAAGAGCTTGATTTAACAAAGAGACTTTCTTCTAGCTGTTTGGGTAGACTTTTAATCAAATTTGCTAAAAAGTTAGACTTTGTAATTTTGCCAGTATTTATTTATTTAATTTACTTTTAATTGAATAATCAATCATATTTATTTATTAATTTATTTTATTAACTACTAACAGAATTCTACTTTTTATACTGTCTTTAGTGTTATTATGTTTGTAGTAATACTCAGAATTATTATTTTTATTCCCATATTTCTCTCTTAACAAGAAATAACTGAAAAAGATTATGAAGGATCGAGTTATATTTGGTTTAATATTCTTTCATGCTTATGTTTTTGCCTCGAAATCTTATTTAAGCTCAACACTGGTAATTAATTAATCAATCAATCAATCAATCAGTCTTTCTATTTATCTATTATTTAATTTTAATCAGAAGCTTTTTAATACTAAACTATTTTAAATAAGCAATTTATATCAGGGGAGAACTTATTTGCAGAAGAAGGAAAATATTTAAGCATTTGATGAAATCTAAACAGTTAATGTAAATTATAATAACCTTATGAAGTTCTTTCTAATTTAATTTTTTTCTAATTTTTATAAATAAACATAGATTAGATATTTTTTTAACTACTATCATCATATTTATTAGTGCTTATTAAATGAATTACATTTCATTTTTATTGCTCTTAAAAGTGAAAGATTTGCAGTAAACTCTCATGCAATTAGAATTAAAATATTAATTAAAAGGTAACTTATAAGCTTTGATAGAAATGATTAAACTTATCTTTGTAATTTTGTTTATGGCTCATATTGTTGCTTGTGGAGCTATGTTTATACAAAAAATAGAGATATCTCTTGGAAACAATAATGCTTGGTTTGCATCACATTTATCAGAATCATGGCTTGATAAATATATCAACGCTTTTTATTGGTCTATTGTTACTATGGTTACTCTAGGTTATGGTGATATAGTTCCAATTACACTCAGTAAATTTATTTATTTATATAATCTAAATCCTCCTATATTATCTATTTATCACCCACTTAAATATTCACCTCTTAAAATGAAATATTTTAATATTACATTCAGAAAATTAATTTCTATAGTTCATGTTTACGAGAAACTACTTTATACAAAAAAACATTTTTTTAAAATTAGCATAAATCAATTTTTTGTTTAAATTTATATTTGTTATTCAAATAAAATAATTAACATATTTATTTATTTTGCATAGATGAAAAATTGTACGCAATTGGAGTGGCTTTAGTAGGTTGCTTTATACTTTCTTATTCTATGAACTAAGTTGGTGAAATATTGAATGGATTGGCCAAATCAAGCACACTTTTTAAAGAGAAATTGCAACAATTAAATAACTACTTTAGTAAGAATTACATAGAAAGAGACTTGTAACTTAAAGTCATAAAATACTACGAGTATCTTTAATATGAAGATTAGGAATGCATAAATGAGGGTTATAAGCTTATTCATTAACTACCAGATTAATTGAAAAAAGAAATTTAGTCTAAATTATATCAAAATTTATTTTTAAATAAGAAATTCTTTTCTCTTAATTTTAGCAAAGAATTTCTTCACAGTTTGTCTCTTAAAATCCAAGAAGATGTACTCCACCCTAGATAAGTTTTATACCAAAAAAATGAATATCCTTAAAGACTGTACTTTATATTGAACGGAAAAAGTAATTCAAGATTAAAAATAAACTAATTTGAAATTTTACAATATAAATAAATAATGATTTTTTTTTTCTTAAATTAATAAATCAAAAGTTGAAATATTTTTTGATGCCACAGACAAAAAAAAATCTTTTTAAGTCAGAAAAATAAAAGTAAATCTTTTAAAAATATTTTATTTTCTACTTTGAAAATTTAATTAGAATAAAGGAGAAATGATTGGCGAAGTCGAATTTTTTAGTAATTACTAATACGAGCTAAGTGCAAAATCAATGTCTGTAGCTAATTTGGCTTTTATTGAAAAAGAAGATTTTCTACAAGAACTTTATAAATACCCAACTGATTATGTAAATAAATACTTTAAAATATTTAGCTTATTTCATTTAAAAAATGTAAAAAAAGTATTTTTAAATAATTTTTTTCTTTTTTGAGAATATTAAAATTATTAATTTATCTTAAAAGAAAAATGCTAAAATTAATTATTTATTTTTTTTGAAAATATTGTTTTAATATTTTGAATGAAAGGAAAAATTTAAAATGATTTAAGATCAACTTTGTTTTAAATTGTACTAAAAAACTGGGTTCATGTGTTAAAGTTGCTTTTCTTTTAAGCATAGATTGAACTAGTGTCCATATATCTTATACTAATCTCCTAAAGAAAGAATAATCAGTCTACATTTGAAAAGTTAAGGTGTAAATCACCGATAATCATTTTAAAGAACTAAACTTAAATCTGCAAATACAAGATCAATTTTAATGGTTATTAAATAAGACGCTGAAATACTGGTGCAGTCTTTACTATTTTCATAAAGTAAAATTAAATTTATTTATTTTTAAAAGCTTTAATTAATTAAATAAAATTTGAAAAAAGATGAAATTATACTTTCTAAAGGAGATGTTTAACAATAAACTTAAAAACCTTTCACTAGCAGCTTAAATTGTAATAGCAGCAATTATATTGGCACAAGTAATTTTAATAAAGTATTTTTAAATTATTAACATACAAACAAACATTTAAATTCGAATAGAAGGAAAAAAGAGGAAGGAGTCTTAAAACCTAACTATTTATTTAAATGAAGATCCTCATTAAATTACTAGAAGAAAAATGAAAGCTAAGCTAACTTGTATAATGAATTAAGTAGATTCTGCAAATGAAGGCTTAAATAAGATACCTAAAAATAATAATTTTCAAAGTTAAGCACTTCTAAAATACCAAGAGTCTGAACTAACATCCTCTAAAGGGATATTACCGGAAAACGATAATAACTAATTTTTTTCATAATATTAGTAATAAAAAGAATAAGCGGACATATAAATTGAAGAGAAAGATGAGACTTCAATAAATAGTAAATTAATAGAATAAAATCTAGGATCCTAAAACTGTAAATTGGAAGAATAATAAATATACAAAAAGCGTAAAGTTTCCTATTAATATAATGATGATAAACCTATTTATTAAACTTAAGATGATTAAAAAACAAGCTTAAAAATAATAGAAACAAATAAATAGACTTCTAACAACATTCTATCTTAAATCATTATAGAAAACTCTTAAAGAACTTTACTATTTGAATAAGAAACTTTGAATGAGTAGTTAACAAAGCAGATAAGCATATAGCATTTTGATTTAATTCATTTTGACTAAGGAAAAGATTATTTGATATACTTTCCGCACAACAATTTAACAAAAGTGCTTGCTTAAATAGATTAGATAAGAAAATAAAAAATGCAAAATATCTTAAAAGCCAAAGTTAAAAAATAAAATACAAAAAAAATAGGCAAGATAGAGCATAGAAAGAGAAAATCTGTTTTCAAATAGATTAAAATAGAGTCATTTTCTCTTTAAAGAGATAAAAAGTAAATATGAAAAAATCTGATAAAATCAACCATAATCAAAATATAATAAATGAAGAGATAATTTTTATTTTTCATTCATTAATACAAAGAGAGGACTAAATTTTACATTTAATATGGTATTCCCTCATTTTCTTGGTTCTCTTATCTGGGAAAATTTTGGTAACTAAATTAGAGAAAAAATTTATCAAATAAATAACCAAAATTGTAGCTTCTTCTCATATCACAGGTCGGAACTAATACAGTATTTAAACTCTAATAAAAATCATATTAATAAAAAAAAGTATTTCAAATAAATCAAAACTTTCACCTTTTAATGTATCGAGAATTAATAATTTAAGTAATAATTTCATGATTTTAATTAAATCCTCTTTTAAATATTTATAAAATGTAAGCAATATCTTTGATTTTAAAAATAGGTATGATGTTTATCTATTAAATAAAATAGGAATTATCTTTTATCTAAAAAAAATATTATGAGCCTTATTTATCAATATTTTTTAAATAATTTTCATTAACTTGTTAATTAATAATTCTAATATTTAAAACTTAATTGAGTACATATTAAGATATCAAATATATATTAGTTATGTAATTTTTATATACTAAATTATCACTTTTATTATATGTCCTAAAGGAAAATTATAATTTGTTTACTATCAATCTATAAATTAGTAAATTTCACAATAATTGGTTTTTCAATTATTAAAATTATATTAAATTAGCTAAAAATTGATTCATAAAAATTACAAATAATAACAAATTTACAACCAAAAAAGAACAAATTTGAAATATTTTAACTTTCTTCAATATTTTTATTATTTAAATCATTTTAATATTTAATTTTAGAATGAATGAAAGAAAGAGGACATTTTATAGATTTATATATATATATATTTATTACTAATGTAAATTATTTTAGAATTAATTTAATTTATTTATCTATTAATCTTTAATATGTAATGCATATTTAATTATTTTTTAATTAGTACAGTAAACAATCATCAATCATTTCAATTTTTGTTTCTGAGTTTCTAACATATCAACGCACTTTTAGAAGAGCTTTTCGAATAACTAGCAATTTTTAATAAATAGATAAATATTTTTATGGATTTGTTAATTTTTTACTTCTTTAACATTATCTCCAGTGTTTGCTGAAGTTTAAAAGTATTCCCATCCTCTTTTTCTTACAAAAGCTGTGATTTCACTTTGTTCTACATCCTATTTGATTGTGAGAATATATATATATATAAATATTTGGCAACAATAAATTTATGCGTTTACTTTAGAACGAACATCAGATTTGTTTCCAACTACGAAAATGACAGAGCGAGCAAAATCAAGTCCATTTTCTTTCATAACTCTTTCCCATTTTATTAAGTTAGTAAATGATTCTCTATTTTCTAAATCAAAAACTAATATAACTCCTTATGCATCTTTAAAGAAAGGGTTTCTAATTTCCTCATAATCATCATCTCCACTGAGATCAAAGAAGTTTACCTTTAATAATAAAGTTGTTTAGATAAATAAAATTAGCAATTAATGAAATATTTTAAGAAAAAGCTTTTATTTTTATTGCTTTTACAAAATTAATATACCATTTTTTATATTAATTCTTAATTTGCATTTATTGATTAAATGAAAGATAAAACAAAAAAATGATAATTACTGCAGTTTTTTTCCCCATGACTGCCATTTTTTTCACACCATAATCAACTCCTATAGTTGTTATATATTTATTGACAAATCTCTCTTCACAATATCTCTTTATCAAGCATGATTTTCCAACTTAAGTGTCTCCTACAGACAAAATCTAAACATAATATAAAATACTAATTAATGGATGTAATTATAGCAAAAATTAAAAAAATCTAGTAAGAGTATAACAAAATTTTGCTCAAAACTTAAAAATAAAATAAATTTATATGAAATAAATATACTTTTAACAGGATTTATGATTCTGAATCTGCCATTTCACAAGTAAATTTTTAAAAAATAAATAATCAATATTGAGATATACAAATTTTTGTTTGAATTTTTGGTTTTTGATGAATATATTTAAATTTTTATCAAAGACTTTCTAACGATAAATAAAAGACACAAAGAGGATAAAGTCATAAAGATATATCATATCAACATAATATGAATGATTAATATTATTTTTTATCTTTATTATTGAAATGAAATGTTATTGATAAAATAAATGCATAATATAAGGAGAAAGTAAATATTTATCTCGTTAAGTCGATTATGTTATACTTTCTGTCTGTCTATTTGATGAATAAATATAATGCAACGACCTATTAATAATATTATTCAATTTAATTAAGAAATTTTGCTTTCCCAGCTTAACTTTTCAAAAGTTAATAATATTATTAAACAGGAAGAGAAAGCAAAACAAATAAATTTGATTCAAGCACAATTTACAAATTATGAGTTGAATTTTACATTTAACTTATCAAATAAAATTTAAAAATAATGAACACATTCTATCACAAAATAAAGGAGTATAAATAAACAGGATATGCTCAATGAAAACTTTATTGTCAATATTATGATAGCTGAAAATATAAATATAGGATTTAATTTATAAGAAATTGAGCTTTTAAAATGTGTAAGATAAGTTGCTAACTGTAATTTATTTTTATAATATTATTAAATTGGTTCATTAACTTAAATGATGCATATGACGTAATTATTTCAATACAAAAGACTATGACATTTAGCTTTAATAATATTATTAAAATCTAATTCTGGCTCATTTTGAATTTCAAAGCTTGAGAGAAACCTTTAATAATATTATTAAGTGTAATCTAAAATAGTTGGATTCAAATTAAGAGAAGGAAAAAATTTTAATTTATCAATTAATCAAATTAATTTATTTCCCCACTTCTTCAATCAATCAATCAATCAATCATAAATAAATAAATAAATCAGATATCTTTTTAATAATATTATTAAAGTTATTCACAAATTTTATTTGAGCTATTTTAAAAGATTGAAATTAATTTAAGAGGGAAATTTTGATGTACGTGTTTGTTTTTTCTCTATAAATTCTTTGTATTTTAAGAGTATATTTTTATCAATCAATCAATGTATTACTAACTATTTAAAGTGAAGATTTACATGTGATACACAATAAACATTTCAAATATATTTTCACTTTTTGCTTAAATCGAATGTTTAGATACAAATATTTTATTTTTGCTGATTATTTATTTATTTTAAATTGCTTTTAGTCTAAAATAAAATAAATTTAGTTAGTTTTTTAGCTATTTACATTAATAACCTAGAAAAATTATATATATTTCCTCATAAAAACTCTCTTTCTTTTTATATCAGTTACAATTCAATTCACATCTCATAAAAATGTTGCTAAAAATAAAAATTTTTAAACTTGTTTGTAATAAATTTGTTTTTTATTGCTAAAGGATCATTTTAATAAAGAGGACAAAATAAAGTATTTTTTGAAAAAGTAAGTTTTATGCAAAGGGTTATCTGGTGAATTGCTTTTAAAAATAAGGGATGATAAATAAGATTTTTTATTAATAAGATGAAAATAGGTTGGCTATTAAATAAAAAATTACGTACGTACGCACTTGCTAACTAACTCATTCACTCAATAGAAAGAATAATAGTTAAATTTATTTGAAATTTTGAAAAAAGGCTTTTATTAAATAAAATTGCGTGGCAACTACATAAGATTGAATAATTTATTTAAAGTAAATAAAAAGTGACGGAATATTAATAATATTCTTAAACTGTACCAATTTAAAAAGAGGCAGATTCTTTCCTCTTTTAATAATATTATTAAATCAAAAAAACAACTCAAATCAAAAATTTATTTTTCTATCTGTAAGAAAAATCTAAAAATAACAAATAAGCAAAAAATTAATAAAAAAAAACACACAAAATCAAAATTATTAATCTAAAAAAAATGGCTAGCGTTCAAAAATACACCAAGAGTCCTATGGATATATTGAAAGAAACATCACGTACATTCTATATTCCTATTGTCAAGCTTGTTCAAGGAGTCTAAGAGGCTGTTGCTTCTGCTTACTTGTGCCTCCGTGCTATCGATGAAATCGAAGACCACCCCAATATCCCTAATGAAGTTAAGGCTCGTATGCTCCGTGAAGTTTCCTTAGTTTGCACTACTTATTCCGCAGAATCTACAGCTGAATCTCTTACTCCTACTTATGATAATGAAAAGGAATACCGTGATCGTCTTCCTGAAGTCTCTGCTCGTATTGGAGAATGGATAATGTACTCACCTGCTTCCATCCGTGGTCGTATTGTTGATGCTACCTCTGGCATGGCTGACAGAATGGCTACCTGGGCTGAACGCAACTGGAAATGCGAAACTGAAAGAGATTTAGATGCATACACCTTTGCAGTAGCAGGAGCAGTTGGTTTATTGCTTAGCGACATCTGGGCTTGGTGGGATGGCACTAAAACTGATAGAGATCTCGCTATAGGATTTGGTAGAGGTTTACAAAGCGTTAACATCTTGAGAAATAAGGACGAAGACGCTGAACGTGGAGTAACTTTCTATCCCAAGGGCTGGACTGTTGATGACATGCAAGCTTATGCTTAAAGAAATCTTTAATTTGCTACTAAATACATAAAAGACTTAAAGCCTGGCTCTCCAGCTTTGATATTCTGTAGAATTCCTTACAATTTAGCTGTAGCTACTTGCAATACCTTAAAGAGTGGCAAGGAAAAACTTTCTCGTGAAGAAGTCGTAAAAATTTGCGAAAAAACCGAATTAATTCCTACTAACAGCAATGATGGTGCTTCCAAGTAAATTTCTTTGAACGAATTAGATAATGAAAGCAACAGCACTACTTCCGAAGATAAATCTCCTAAAAACAATTCAAGCATCGAAATAAATTAAAAAGAATTACCCTAAACCTTAGAACAAGCTGCTTAGTGAAATAAAAAACATATTTAAACAATAAAAGATTTTTGAGCGTAAAATAAATTGAATTAGTGTATATGATTTAAAAATTAATTCCAACTAATTCAAATTAAAATAAATAAATAAATAACCAATTAATTTTATAAAAAAACAAATTTATTTTCCTATTAAATTAAAATATATAATTCAAAAAAAAATACTATCTATCTTAATAAATATATTGATTCATTGTTTTATAAATAATCCAAACCAAATTAAAAATACATGTATTTTCTTTTATATTGATTACAATTTTTATTGTATCCAATTATAAACTCTTTTATTCTTCTAGAAATTCAATTTAATTGTCTAAAGAAATGTTTAAAACAATCATTTATTTATTCTTGTAATAAAAATATAATAATTTTCCATTATTATTATTAACTAACTAGTTTAATAAATTATTTAAGACAATAAATTATATCTTTCTAATCCTCTAAAATTTTACAAAAAAATACTAAAGAATATATAAAGTAAAATTAAAGATAATTTCTTAATGTGAGCAAACAAGCATACTCTATTTTTAGGTGAAGTTTTTATGATTTTAAAATATGATAAATTCATTAATTGCATTTAGTTAATTTTAGATTTTCTTTGAAAAATGAATTTTTTATTCTTCATGTTCATATTCATTTTAATAATATATTCATTCAAAAATAAATGGAAAATATATCAATATAGTTTTTAATTGCTTACCTTTTTAATCTATTTAATTGAAAGAATTAGTTTAAAAGAAATTAAATTATTAAGGATTATAAATAATTCAATTTAGAAATTATAACCAATTTATCCAAAATATTTTAATTTCTTTATGAATACTATCCCTCCCCCAAAATTTTATCTTAAAAAATTAATAGTATTTATTTAAATAAAGTTTTTAAGTGTATCTATTTAATATATTATATCAAAGCATTACATTTATAAATCTATTCAATATTACGATTTAAACTTTATATAATTTAAATATTTTGATTAAAGATTTTTTCTTAAAATTATGCAAAAAAAATCTGATGATTAAGGTGAATTGAATAATTGATTAATAATATTTGATTTATTTGCAATAAGTTTATTTTTGTAGAAATTATGTTTGAGGGAGCAAAATTTCCTAGTTGCTCTAAGCATAGTAACAAAAGAATATTGAAAATTTGTTTAGATTTAGATTGCTAAGACGTTCTACTCTGCCAATAATGTGAATAACAAAAAAAACATATCTCAAGCATCGATATATCTTAATTTAGCAGTTTGGAAAGTGAACAAATTTAGTCTAACATTGAGAGACTACAAAATATGAGAAAAAAAATTATTTTATTGAACGAAAAAGTAACAAATTAAAAGAACAATGCAAATTAAATTGTAGAGGAATGCTTTGCTGAGGTATAAAAATCTTTTTTAAGCTATCTTGATAATTGCTAGCAAAATGTTCTAAACGGAGTTTCTCTTTTCAGTGAAAAATTTCGTAAGATATTTTCAAAGCTACTACAAGAAATAAGTGATGATACATACAATATAAAAAAACATATTAATAGATTAAATGATTCTCTAAATAATTATTCTAATAATTAAACATTTGACAACTACACTATCACTTAAGGCTTAAAAAGTGTTTAGTATAGCATCATTCATAAAATTCCACATTTAGAAAAAATTTGTGAGGATCTTTAAGAAAAGTAACAATTAAATCTTATAAATACTGATTCTATTCGCAATAACTTTGAAAACATACAAATAGATTTGCAATAAATATTTAATAAGCTTTCTTTAAATGCTTTTCCTGCCAAAATGGATAATTTGTCTTTGGATTACGAATTACAACCACCAAAAGTGAACTTTAACTCTATTTACGAAGACACAATTACTTAAATTTAATTAGAATAGTCAATATTTGCTCATTTAAATCCAATTTCTTCAGTAATTTCAGTGTCTTAACATCAACAAGAAGCATTAAAACTGCCAAATAGTTCAATTTAAAATCCTAGCTCTATGGAAAATATTGAGCAAGTTTAGTTAATTTCTACAGGCTGGGATGGCACAATAAAAGCTTGGAATTTATAAAAAAGTTAACCTGTTATTGAGATTAACACTTATAATGGAGGAATTTCAGCAGCAGCATTTAAAGAGTATTAAAATTTATTGGTATGTTCTCACTTCAACTACTCATTAGAAATATATCAACTAGATATTAATATAGAGAGAGACGATTGTTAATTGTCAAATAATGAAGAAGATATTTCTAAGTCAGCTCTGCTTTTAGAGGATAAAAAAGATTTTGAAAAAGAAATGTCTAAATCAGCTAATCTAACTTAAACTTTAGATAACAGTGCAGTCTCATCAAATAGAAATAAAGCGAATAAAAAATATCTAAAATTAGGGAAAATAGATCCCCATGAAAAGAATATTCAGTCTATCATCTTAAAGGGTAATAAAATTCTTTGTGGATGCTCGACTTCTAATATTATAAATGTTCCTATTGAATAATTTAATTATGAAAGCATTGATAAATTAATTGGTCATACATCTTCTGTTCAAGTACTTTGTGACTTTAAGTCACCAAATGATTAATATTTCTTAAGTGGTTCTACTGATAGCCTTATTTTCTTGTGGGATTTAAGAAAGCACAAGCCTACAAATATGGTTTAAAACTCAAATGAAATTATTAATAGTATATCTTAACTGAGTGAATACACTTTCCTTACAGGATCTCATGATTCCTATATCAAAATTTGGGATGTTAGGATGTTTAAAAATTTAAAAACGATTTTCGGACATAGAGATGCAGTTTCTAAGACTGCATCTTTTTACTCCAAACTATGTAGCAATAGTAATTAAATCTCCAACATATCATAGCTTTCAAATATATTTGTTTCCTCAGGCAATGACAATATTGTAAACATTTGGAATGTTTTCGATTAGTAATCTCTAAGATTTTCTATGAAAGGACACACTGATGTAGTTTGGGCAATGGATATTGATGTCGTTAACAAAAAGATTTATACAGGATCGAGAAATGAAGAAATAAAAATATGGTCTTTTGCATGAAGATTTATTTAATTTTAATTTTATTTTTAAATTTGTAAAAACATAAATTAAATAGCTAGCTAAAATATTTATTTGTACATATATATTTATTCACTAATTAATTAATAAATTAATTTAAAAAATTACTTATTTCTAGTTTAATTTATTTCAATTTAACTGTTTATTTGTATTAGCTTGTTAATAATTGCTTTATCATTTGCAGATATTATTAATTAGTTAATAAATTAATTAATCAGATTTAGCGCAAATATTAATTTGAAATTGAATAACAAAAATTAAAATAATATCTACTTTCTCTCAATCAAAATTTAAAAAAGTGTAGAAGTAATTTAAAATGGACTCACAAGCTTAGGAAATTATTGACAAAGATAAGTTTCTATAATATTTAAATAGTTTGCCAAATAAAGATTAAATAACTCTAAAAGAAGCATTAGAGCAATATGTTCAGGAAAAAGTAATCAGAAATTTATTTATTTTTGAAGATTATTATATTAATTAATATATTTAATCAATTATAACTCATAAAAGAGACGCGAAATAGACTAAGCTTATGAATACAATATGTAAAAAATAGATCACTTTTAGATATAAATGTAATAAAAATATCTCAGCAACTAACATTAGAACTGATGATCAATAAAAAATTAAATTAAAATAAAAAATCCTTTTATAAATAAAATTGTTTGTTTTTATAAAATGTTTGCAAGTTTTTTTTTTTTCTTCTAATTTTTAATTAAAATTATTAGCAAAAGGATATTGATTCATATATAAAATATTCTTTTGTATTTTATTAAAATATTATTTTAAATACAATTTTTTAGATAATAATGAAATAATTAATTTAAAAATAATATCAAAAAAATGGTAGATATATCTGAATTATACTGACGTGTTAAAAAATAGAGTGAGTTAAACAGAATAAATAATTGAAATTTTGGAGTACAATATTAATTTTATGAAAAGAATCCTAAGTAGTAATAATTAAACAATCAATCAAACACGCATAAGTGAATTAAAAGAAGAAATCTATATATTATTATTTTATAATATCATAAGTTAATACTCTTAAAATTAATTAAATGATATTCATATAATTTAATACATACAATCACAAATAGATACATAGCGAAAACAAATAAACAAATAAACAAACAAACAAACAAACAATATTTCGCTTATTATTTACTTGTGAATGAATTTATTATGAATTGATTAATTTTTAAAAGGATATAAAGATTTGATTTTTTAAAATAAAAATATTAAAAGAATTAAAAATTAGATAAATATTTATAGAATATATTAAAAAGGTATGTCTTTTGAAAACGTTCACGATATTAGCGTAGTTAATTTCTTTTTAGTTGTAGTTTGTGCTATTGCCACATCATCTATTGCAGAATGTACAATATTTCTTATTCATTAAGCAAAAAGCTGCAAATTTTAGTTTAAATTTCCATAGAAAATAGATTGAAATGATCATTTTCAATCAAAAATAAATAAATTTAAACTATTTAATGATTGCAAAACAAGCTTAAAAATTTACAAAATTGCTCACTTTAAGCTTATCTTTTAATAAATAAATTTAATTTCATTTTTATAATATTAGTTGCTACTTGGTTAATTGTTTACAGAAGAGATGAATATAAGACTCTCAAGTAAAATATAGAAAACTCCCAAAATAAGTTGAACAAAGCTTAAGAAGTCTACCTAACTTTCTCTCAATAAGCTGCTCACGATAAAAAATTAGCAACAATTGATACTGCATTAAAGCGTTTCAACTAAGAAATGAGCTCTTTCAAGATGAAGTCAACATTCCTTATTGCAATTTTCATGATTGGTGCTTTATATACCATTGGATCATTATTTTCTGGTAAATCGTTTAATATTACGATTCCAAAATTCAAATTTATTTATTTGTTATAGGATTGATTGTCGCCAAGCTCCCTTTCGCTCCTATTTCCTTCATTACTGGATTAACCCATAGAGGTATATTACTAATTTTAAATGCTAAAATTAAAAATGTTTATTATTAGGTCTTTCTGGTGAAGATTTCTCTGATTGCGCTTATATTTTCATCTACGTTCAAGTTGCTTACATTTGGAGAACTAACATCTAAAAATTATTCGGTAAAATATCTAAAAATATTCTTTTTATGAATATTAAATAAATAAATAATTAATTATTTTATATTTAAAATTGATTTTTTATTTTATTATTTAGGATTTGAAGCTCCAAAGTCTCCTATGGCTTCTCCTTGGGGTCAACCACCTTAATGGGGAAAGTGAGAAAACCAAATAAAAAATTAACTGCTCTATTATGTGGGAAATATTTGAAGCAAATTTGTCTCATTTAAAGGCAATTATTTAATTGAAAAGAAGAAAAAATAATTTTAAATTGATATTGATGAAATTGTATAGTTTTAATTAGAATATTTCAATGTTTTGTTTATATATCTAACATAAAAAATTAATTTCAATTAAATAAAGCATTTCATAAAATCTTTAAAAATAATTTAATTTTTACTGAATAATTTGAATATTTATTTTTATCAAATTAAATTTCAAAATTAATTTTCACAATAAATTAAATAAAATAAAAATATTTTCAATTTATATTTTTAGCAATCATTAACATAAATTTGCTTTTTAAACTAATTTTGGTTTATTTATTGTTTCATATTATTAGTAAAAAAAAGTAAGTAAGCTAGCAATTTTATTAAATTTTAAATGAGTTTTTAACTTAAATTTATATAAAAATTAATTTTGTAATTATTCATTAATAATATTAATTAATTGTAAATATTGCAATAATTAAATATTAAATCAAATAAAATGATTTAAAAGCTAGAAAAAGTAAATCATCATTCATAAATTTTGTAGTTTCTACTCAAATATTTTAATTATTTTAACAAAAGCTAAAAAGTTAGGAGTTATCAAACCTAAATTCAATTACCATTAATTTACAGTATTGATAACAAATTTACAGCAAAAAAAAAAATTAATAAAATTTTTTTGTAGAAATTGCAATATAAAGTGTTAAGATTTAGAATAGCTCTTCTGCATCATCAAAGAAGGCTAATATTTATAGCTACTAAATATAAATCTGTCGTAATTTTTTATTTTTTTAAAATTATTAAATTTATTAAGTTATTAATCAAATATTCTTTTAATTTTAATTTTATAATTAATTGATTATTTATTTTTATTTAGATAATTTGTTAAAGAAAATAAAAAAATATTATAAAAAATCAAATAAATAAAAATTAATTTAATTTTCTTTAGAGAACAATAGCTAGATAAAAAATGTTTGGAAAAATTAGGAGAAGGCATAAAACTATGCAAAAGTATAGTTCAACTCTAAATTGATTTATAGTAAGTAAACTATTTATATTAGTAATATTCTTTAAAGTTCTTTAAAGGTATTGTAAAATAGATGATTCTAGTTTATCTTAACTTATGAAGCGAATATCTTCTTCCAAAATCTTATAAAACCTAGCTTTAAAATTAAGGTAAATTAATTAATTAATTAGTTTTTAAATTTCTAAACATATTTTAAATAGATAAAATGATATACGGAAATCAGGATTTCAGAAATTTAGCAAGCATATTTAAAAATGCATTAATTTGAATAATTTTACACTTTAGCTTCAGTAAAATTTATTCTTTAAAGAATATTAATAAATTAAACTTCTTTAGAAATAACTAAATATATGATGGACTCTCAATACTTGGTCAAGGATTTAAAAATTGTTAAAATTTAACAACTCTTAGCTTATCATTTAAGTAAGTTGTAGAAATATAAATAGATAATTCAAATAAATATCTTTCTTTAAATTCAAAGTTTTTATAAATAAATTTATCAAAGAATTAAAATTTTTGAAAATAAAATGTTTAGAAAATTAAAATATATATTTAACATGGATTAATTTTATTTCTAAAATATTTTCATCAAGATGGAATTAAACAAGCTTAGAAGATGCTATTCTTTTTTTCAGTCTCATAGGATAATCATAAATAAACAAATTATCTTTAGATTTTAAGTAAGTTAAAATAATAAAAATATTATTAAAAAAATACTTATTTATAAAAGCTAAAACAAAATAGGAGATAGCAACATAATGCCTTTATGCAAAGGCATAGCTTAGTGTGTTAATTTAATATAGTTTCAACTTAGTTTATAGTAAAATGACTCATAAAAAATCTTTCAATTAACTTAATATATTAAATTTTTAGAAAAAATGAATTGAGTTCTCAAAGTATGAACTAAATTATGCTATCAATCTCTAGTCTGATAAATTTAAATAAACTCTCTTTAAATTTAAAGTAATTTATAATTAAAATAATCCACTAAAGAGCTTATTTAATTATATCAAAGTTAAAACGAAATTGGTAAAGATAGCTATTTAATTGATTTGCTCTCAATCGAAAATTGCAAAAATCTCACTAAATTAAGTCTTTTTTTAGTGTAATTTATCTGAAATCTAATTTAAATACAAAAAATTTTTTAAAAGAAATAATTAAATGAAAGACATTGGTGCTTAAAAGATAGGTTTAGCTTTAAGGAATTGCATTAACATTAAAAACTTGTTCTTGAGATTAAAGTATTTAAAGTTAATTCAAACTATTTATTTTTAAGCTATTAAAATTTAATTTTGAAGTGAAAACCAAATTGAAGATGAAGGAATATCTAATATAGGATATGGTATTGCTAAAATGGCTTAATTAAATGAATTACAAATATATTTAAAGTCAACAATCAAATATTTGACTTTTATTTTTATTTATTTTACTTTTGCTTAATAATATTAGAGATAATTCAATAAGTGATGCAGGAGTTACTAAGTTTACTCTAAGCTTATCATTTTGTAAAATTATAGAGTTCCTTGTCCTTGATATATAGTATCAATTAATTATTTCATTTACTGTTTTATTCAGGGAAAATCTTTAAATTATTTTTTGAAATTTACAAAAACTTCAATTATCAAAATAACTATGAAATATATTTTTGAAAATTATAAGTTACGTTCCTCATAAAATTTTTTGATCTTTTTAATGAGCATTATTTAGAATATGATATTAATGTTCAAATTAAATATTTTATTCATAACCTGATTTTTTTTATTATGTCTTAATAATTTATTATAAGGATTAATTTTATTTATGTATAGATCTAACAATATTAGTGAAAATGGAGCTTTGGGTATAGGTATGGCTTTGTCTTAACTTAAAAGTATTTCTCGACTTGAGTTGAACACATAGTATAAAATAGAATTTTAAAAATAGTCAAATAAATATAATTTAAAAAAAGCTTTAATTGCTTAAGCACAATTGGTTGCTAAAAGTTAGCAATTGGGATTTCTTAATGCAAATTTATTACATATTTAAATATGAATTTGGCGTAAATATAAATTAAATAAAAAAAATTAATTGATAAATTTAAAAACTATATCGATCGATTGATTGAACAGATCAAATAGAATTTCAGATGAAGGCATAAAAAGTTTCGGGATATAAATCCTAAAATGTGAAAATATTAATACTCTAAATCTAGATTTTAAGCAATAAAATTTTTTGTTTGTTTTATAATTTAATTAAATACTTTTTATTTAAGCTATAACTCAATTACAGTGATAGGAGCTAAATTCTTTGAGTAGTAGTTGCCTAAGTTAAAATGTCTTACAAACTTTACCATAGATATTTCGTATAATTTTTTTTTTTTAAATTAAGAAAATTTTAATATTTTAAAACTACATACATACATACTTACTTATATTTATTTAAGGTATAATGATTTTCAGAAATAAGATTATAATTAGCTTGGTATATTTATTAAAAGATGTCAAAAGATTGTGATTTTATCAATCTTCTTTTCGTAATAAGTTATTTTATTTTCAGTTATTTATTTATTTATTAATTTATTTTGAATTAAAAAAGAAGTACTTCTCCAAACGAAAGATCTGTGGGATAAAAATTCAGGTGGAGATGCTTGAAAGCATAAAGAACAGTTTTGTTTAATAGCAAAAATTGAATTAAAAAAAATAAAATATTAGTTAAAATTTCGATAACCAGATTTATTTCTTAGTTTGTAAATGTACATGAGAAAATAAAAGTATATGAACACGTTTATTAAAATTATAGATTTTTTTAATATATTTTTATTTATTTATTTTGTTTAAGTTAAGGACTAAGTTAGTTATGGTAAAAAACTCCCTAAAATATCTTTTTAAATTAAAAAAAGTATATTTATTTGTTTGAAAGCTATAATTTAAGCCGATTTATTTGCCATAGACTCAGCTTAGCTATATAACTAATATGTTATATTAGTTATTAGGATATTAGATATCTATTTATTTTTTATCTATCTATCTATTTATTTATTTACAGTTTTATCTGATTAAGCTTAATATTTTCAAAAACTAAAATTAATTCAAATAAATTTATGTATGATTGTATGTATGTAGGTATATATATGTGTATTTATTTATGTTTGTATCCATGAACTTCCTTCAAATTAAAATATTTTAGGTTTTTTTCATTCATTCACTTAGAAAGTAATAAAATATGAATGCGTGCGAGCGAAAGAGTATTTTATAATTTAAGCATAAATTGAGCAAAGTTATTATCATTTATTTATTCATTGGTTTTTATAGTAGATAGGTTGTTTTTAATTTTATGGTTATTTATTTATTTAAGTATTACAAATGTTCTAATCAAACCTTCAATATTTGTAAGTTATTTTAGAAGCAAATAGCAAGCCACTCATTTTGAAGCAGAGACCAAGAAAGATTTGCTATTTCTCCATCTGCTTTGTATTCTAATAGTGGATCTATAAAAATAATAAGCTGATTAATAAACATTTATTATTATGCAATAAATACCTGTTATTTCTGGACGTAGTTCACTTAAATCCCAAATTAATGATTGGCAATCGTCACCAACTGTACAAATGTGTGAGCTTTACATTAAATTTAATAAATTTTTTTATTTTTTGTTTTAAAATAAATAAATAAATTATAAACTAAAATTAATTCATTTTTTAAGTTTCATTTTTATAAAATTTGCCTATTTCAATTATGAATTGTAATTTGCTTTAGTTTTATCCTAAATTAGAAATTTTATCTAAATTACCTAGATTAAGGAGCCCATGCAAGAGCATTTACACAATCCTTATGATTATTGAACTTACAAACAGGAGTTAATGGTTGTCTTTTTAAATAAATTTTTAAAAGCTTTAAAAAATACTAATTTTTAAAAATTAAAATACCTTGTGTCTAACAATGTAACATGACTTTAATCCATTTCAATAACAGCTACATAATGTTAATCGTTTCTAAAATTAATTTAATTTAATATATAATTCATCAATTAGATCATTAGCTTAAATTCAATTTAATTAAAATAAATTCATTTATTTATGTATTTACCTATTCCAAGCTAATTTTAAAAGAGGTATATTATTTTCTGTTTCATAGAGAACAGTTGAATGTTCTAAGTTTCTATTTTTTAAATAAAACAATATAAGTTCGATTAATATAAACAAAAGTTGCAACTACCTTAAATCGAACTAACGAGCACTTCCATCAGCTCCAACTGAAGCAAACAAATTTTTATCAGGAGAAAAACTGATATCATATACTTCTTTATCGTGTGCAATTAACTAGGTGAAAACAGTTTCCTTTTCTATATCCCAAATTGTACAAGTAGTATCAATTGATGCTGTACCAATTAAATTTTGGTTTTTAATATTCCAATCGAAAGAGGTCAAAGGAGCCGAAAATTCATTTGACTAAGTTTTATAATTTGAACATATGATAATGTGTCTGAATTTAAGTTGAGAAATGAATGAGTAAGTATTTTACATTTATTAAGTCGCATTTTGAAACAACAGTTTCATTGTTTTTAACTTCCCAAATTTTTAAATATTCTCCAGATGTAGCAAGAATATCAGAATATTCTCCATTCTATTAAAATATTGAAAATGATAATTTAGTTAAATTTTAACAAGTGAGTTATTTATTTATTTTGTAGAAGTGAATTCTGTAAATAATTGAGTTTAGTAGAAATGATCAAACTATAGTTTTAAATCTAGATAAAGCTAAGTAAAAGAGTAGAATTAATTAATTATCTTCTATTCATAATATTTATTCTCAAATTTATTTATTTATTTATCTATCTTTTTTATCAATCTATCTATCTATCTTTCAATAGAATTTTATCTTTCTTTTATTTTTGCTCGCTAAACTTTTACTTGCTATTATGCGAAAAACCATTTTTTCGTTGATTAATAAACGCTTTTAGGTATCTATTTATAAAGCATAAATTATGGTAAAGCAAATAATTACAATATCAGGAATCCATATAAGTTTTGTGGGAGGATAGGTATGTTCAAAGCTGCATTTTTTTTCAAACATTTACTTCTCTTCATTCAACTAAATGATTTCAATCTATAAATTTAATTAATATTTAAAATAAAATAAGTGTTCATAAGATTTATTGAACTAATAGCTTGATTATTCTTTCATATCTACCTTTAGAATTTAAATAACTGCTTTACTTTATATTAAGCAGGCAATTCTCATTCATTTAAGATCAGAATAATTTTAAAACAATCTCGCTAAAATTCAAAAGAGTAACATAAATTGTTGATTTTAAATTTACCTAGTTGTCAACATCTTCTAGGAAACTACCAATACCAATACGGTAATTGTACCCAGGTCTATTTGAAAATCCTAAGGCATAAATTATCCATGGAGCCTGGTAAGAAAAAACTTAATTTTATGCTCCATCGTCCATATTCTAATCAACTAATTCTAATAACAATAACAATTATTATTATTTGATAAATAAGGCTATCTTAATGCTATTTTAAAATTGCTGACTTAATGGAACAGATTAATAGATATGAGCACATTTACTCTAAATTGCATATTCTATTAATCTATCCCTTAAATTTGCTTAGTTTAGAATCAACTTTTATATTACGCTATTGCTATTAGTAGTACTGCAATTCAGGGTTCATTTACTTTTCTATCTATAAATAATATATCTTTTATTTGTATTTAAATTTTATGATTTTTTATCTTTATTTTTTGTTTATTTATTTATGTATTTTTTTTTTTTCGCTTATACTATTTACCAAGAAAGAAAGTATAGAGGTTTTTTTTTGCGGTTTAACAAAATAAAAATAATTTTTACAGCGCACTTTGCTTTCTTATTAAAAATAAATAGTAAATATATATATTTATGTCTGTCTACATTGTACTAAATCAAAAATTTCATCGGAGATTAATAAAATTAATAAGACTTATTGCTTTTAGACATCCGTTTAATCTTGTATTATTTCTAAGATTAATCTTTTAAATACTATTAAATTTATATTTTTGAGTACATTTACTAGCTTACTCAAAAAATATTATTTAAAATAATTTCAAATATTTACTTTCATTAAATATTTTTTCTCGCAGAATTATAAACTCACTCATCATTGAAAAGTCGTTTATTATTACTAATCATTCAATATGCATTTTTTTATATTCAATTTGGATAATTCATTTTTTTAATTATTCTTTATTAATATTAAAAACATATTTAAATAATATTTAATAAGATTTTAAAAAATAAAAGCCTTCAAATTTAATTTAAATTTCTAAATTTAAAGTTTATTTTTTATTAGATTTTGATGCTTTATTTATGAATAAAGATACTTAAAATTAAGAGTTTTATAGTTTTTTTTTTTTTTGATAATACTTTTAAAGAATAAGAAGTAGTTTGACAAAATTATATAAATATGTAACGATGATAAATTTTTCAAATTAAATGTGAGTGATTATTTCTATTTCCTATATTTTTATGCATTTTCCATATTTTATAATGAGATGTCCCTTTCCACATTAAGTAAAACTCGAATACATCTCTATGTGTTTTAGTTCCTATCTAATAAGTAAATATATTTTTATATATTATAATTAGTCTTTCTATTAAATTTAATTTTACTAATGCAGAGATAAATCCAAATTATTTCCCAAATTTACACATAGCGCACTCAAAGATAGCTATTTCTTTAGGGCTCCAGAGTTCTTTTTTTAAATATCATATTTAAAATCAAAAAAAAAATAAGGATAAAATATTTATAGATTCAAAGTGGGTTATTAGAAAAAGAAAGAAATGGTATCTTCATAGAAAAAGTAAAGATTTAATTTATTATTTTAGATACATTCAAGTTAAATTTTAATGATGAGGCATTTGCTATTTAATAATCATTGAATTACAATTAGCTTGGATTAGAAATATGTTAAATATATTCTTGGTAATTATGAATATGCAGATTAAGGAATGAATCGCGGTAAAAGTTAAGATGATATACATAATAGCTTCTTATTAAAATATTTATCTAAGAAAATCTATAAATTTATTATTAAGTGCTATTTGATTTTGAAAATTTTTGATGCAAATAGAAAACGATGAAAAAATTGATAGCAAAATAAATAAATATATATATATATAGATTGATTGATTGAAAGCTTGTTTGATTGATTGTTTGTTTGTTTATTTAACAAATATAAGTAGAATAGGTTAGGTAGTTATAAAAGGAGTAAGGCTTTGTCAAATAGGAACCATAAAATAATAAAAAAGCAAAATTACCAAAAGGATAGTCAGTTTTTAGCGGATTTATTAGCTAGTCAAGGATGGATAATTGTATCTCTTCTTTAGAAAAATTATATTGTTGTTATTCGTTCTTCTTCTCTTCTTGGTTTGCAGAAGGGCGCCCTCTTCTCCCATGATGATTTGAATTATTTTGATTTCCAGAAGCTGGCTTTTTGCTGCTTGATTCATCGTTCGTGCTGCTAGAGAAGTTTTCCTTTTAATTTGTGGATGCTTTGGAAGTGTTTTTGCGTCCTCGCTTCTTTTTTTCACCATTTGAAGAGAGATTAAGAGAGTTTTGCACTACTGTGTCTCTGTTTTCGCCTGGAATCATTAGAATTTCGCGGATATTAAAATTCTTTTTATAATACAATTAAGCCACCATGCTGAGATAATTTTCGAAGCCAATCATCCAAGTATGCATATTTTTACTCATGCGAGCAGTAACATTTGTTTTTTTAGTGAAAATAGCAGGAGTTAGCTCATGTCCTTCCTTTGATCTGTTAATTTAAATAAAAATTTTATTAAGCATCATCTTAAAACTTTTAAAATGTGTTTTTGATGACTAAATTTTGTATAAAAAAACTCTCATGCAGAGTGAAAAAGCATTTGAATTATTATAAAATGGTATTCATTTCAATAAATAATAGGATTAAAAGCTATGATATATGTTGAGCAATAGAAAATACAGTTTTAAATATCCAAAGAAAGTAAATTACGCCTAAAAAAGCTCTTCATTGATGACTAAGCCTTGAGCATTTTGTTTATATTCGAGGATTTATTCTAAGGCTTTTTCGCTTTCATCGTTTAACTGACTATTATAAAAAGGGATATTTTTGAGCATGAAAGAGTATTTAGTTAATAGTGACAATGAATTTAAATAGATCTTAACACAAAATATGCTTATTTTATTTAGCAGATAAAAAATTAATTTGCAGTAAAAACATACCATTTCTCACCATAAGTTGCTATATTTCTTAGGTGCTCAAGAATACTTTCTGGATTTATATCTCTAATTCTATTCTATGCTTTACTCCTCAAATCATTTTATATATCATTTATTTTCCTCTTTTTAATCAAATTTGGCTCTAAGCCCTCCCTGTTTTCCAAATCATCTAATTCAGCTTTATTGCTGCTCTAAATTATATTTGAAGTTGTTGGTATTATTGTTTTAAGTTATTTGCTTGTATTCTCAAAGTCAACTTCCTAAAGTTCTTTATCAACGCTAGTCATTAAGAATAAACAAAAAGGCAAGTAAATAGTTTTTAATACAGTTTGAAATTCTAAGCAATACAGCAAGTTATAATTTTATTTTTATAATAGCTTTTTCCTTATATAAACTTCTCGAATTTATATATTTTATTTATTTATTTATTCTGTTTTGAAGAGATGTATTTATTAGTTGGTTAGTTAGTTAGTTTGTTTGTTAGTCTATAAATCAAATAAGTGTACTTGCTTGCTTGTTTGTTTAATGATCAATCTTATTAAACAAAGAAAAAAATATATTCAATTTATTAATTTTTAAAAAATTAATAAATAATTCACTCATTGTCTAAAATAAATAAATAAATTAATTAACAAATAAAAACAACCTTTATCTTTCCCTTCCTATATTTACCCACCCAACCATGTAATTTTAAACAAAGATTTTCCTCAAATGCCTTTACTTATCTATAAACTCCATTTTTATTTATAGCTATTTCTCTCTACATTTAATTAATCTTTTAAGATAATTTTTAGAATTTCATCATTTTACTAAAAAATATTTTTTTCCATTTAATATTAATAGCTTGAATAAGGTTAAATTTGTAATAAAAAACATTTATTTATTTATTTTAAGATTTAGTTTATGTTAATTTATTAGTAGTATTTAAGCGAATTAATTTTTATTTATAATACATAAAAAACCTCATTCGATAGCAAGAAATAATCGGATAAAACATTTCCTTAAATGTTAAATCAGATTCTGCTATTGGAATAATCTAAATTAATTTTTTATGATGAAAAATATAATAATTAATATGAAAGAATAAATATTAAAAAAGATATTTTATTTGATTACTTCCAAAAAAATTTATTTAATCTAGCTCATTGCTAAATTTTAATCACTGTAATATGAACAAAGAGAATAAACAAACTGATTAATTTTATGTCTTGTTATTAATTTAAAGATTTAAAAAGATATATTTATTTTTCTATTTTTGTTATCTTAAAGATATTTTTATTTTTTTATTTTTAGAACCTCCATTAAATCTATTACTTCATCTATTTATACATATAAATTTCAATCAAAAAATCTATTTATCTATATCTAAATCAATCTGTATATTTATTAATTTATTTGCTGTAAAGATTAGTGTCTATAATTTATTAATCAATACTTACTTGCTAATTAATTGCACAAAAATAATTCATACTCACTTTAGATATTCTAAAACAAAAGATATCATTAAAATGAATGCAAATTAAGCTAGGTCTTATAGGCAAAAAAGAAGAGATATAGGAAATTTTGAAGAGTACGGTGAAGACAATGATGGTAATTTATTATTTTATAATTTAATTAATATTAAATCCTACAAATTATATTTTTTAGGATATTTGTAAATTATAATAAATTCTTTATATTTCAAACAGAGGAGTTCGTCAAAAATGCTGGAGAGACAATCAAAAGAGCTGAAGAAGATTAAAAGGTCAAAAAGATTCAAAACTAGTAATTAGCTTTTTCTTTATTTTAAGTATTAAATGGAATTTGTTTTTTAATATTATTTAAATTTAAAATATGTAGAATAAACTATTTCGGATACATGATAGAACCACTAAATATGAAGAATGAAAGAGAAGAGAAAGAAATAGATGAAGAGGGTAATTATCGCTTTAGTTGGAAAAGAGAAAAAGAAAACAGGTAATTAATTTGAAATTCTTTATAAAAAAACAATACTTAAAGCCTTTTATATACTTATTAGTTATAAATTTCTAAAAACAGTGATGCCTGGCTGAGCCAGCTAGATGAAGATTAGTATGGATTCAAAATGTATTTCAATTCAAAGCAAGAAAAGGGAGTTTATAGCGACGATGATGAGAATGACAAAGGTAGTGACGAGGAAATAGAAGAAAAATAAAAGAAATTTAAAAGAAATAATGAAGACATAAAGGGAAAATTCGAAGATAGCGATATTTTAAGCTTATCAAAGGAATTAGTATAAATATTAGAAGAAGGATAAAAAGAAATCACAGACATAATGATAGTTATTACTCCTAAAATCAGGATAGACCAAATAAATGAAAAGTTGAAGAAAAACGAAAAGCCTGTCTTTCCTTTTAAGAAAAACATAAGATAAAAAGAAAAGGAAGAACAAGAAAACAAGATAAAGGAATGGGAAAGCAATAAGATTAGCTAAGAAGAAGAAATTCGTATTAAAAATATGAGCAATGACTTAATTGAAATTATCAAAGAATTAGAAATCAAACTTCATACTGCAAGTAATTTTTTTAATGCAATTAATAAATTCATATTAACCCTATTTTATTTATTTAATAGCTTTATGGGAAAAAGATTTAGACTTTTTCAAAGAAATGATGCAAAAAGAAGAAGCAAAATTAGCTAAATAAAATCAAAATAAGGGTGGTGATGAAGAAGAAGAAGAAAATGTTGCTGAAGAAGACGATTTAAAATTAATACCAAAGCAATTATTAGATAAATTAAATGCCGGTACTCTTACAGAGGATGAAGAAGACGAAGTTAGGAGATTGATCATGATGGCAAGAATGAGGAGAAACAGAAAAGATAGCAGTAGTAGCAGCGAAGAAGAACTTAGAACTGGTAACCTCTAGTTTGATGACTCAGACCCAGAAGAAGAAGATGAAGAATCTAAAAAAGCATAGTAAAATGAAGTCAAAGTTCCAATATCTTAGCAAAACAATCCATAGAAATAACCTCAGTAATAATAATTCAAAGCACCAAATCCTGTTGTGAGAAGAAATTCTTAGCCAGAAATAAATAATGTTTTATAAAATTAACCCAAGCCCATTCCCACTGTAGCTTTACCACCATAATAAATAGTTGCTGAGCTTTAGAAAATTACTTAAAGAGTAATTAATTAACCAATTGAAGAAGAAGAAATTCCTGATTCAAAACCCGTATCAAAACCAGCACCTAAAACTTAAAATCGCTACAAAGATGAAGATGATGAATTTGATATTTTTAATTGAATAAAACTAATTTATTTTTTAATTTTTGTATTTTTTGTTTTGTAAAAGTTAAATTAAAAAAAAAAGTAAGATTAATTCAAAGATATTTTTTATAAATTATTCTAACTAACTAACTAATATTTACATTTTGTAGAAGCTTAAAAAAATGTAAATAATTTAGAAAACCTTTCAAGTAAATAAGTAAGTAAGTAATAAGCTCTAATATTGATTTTTAGTATGAAGTTTTAATTTATAAAATTTTTAAAATGAATAAGTTTTTAGGGAAAGAAGTTAATAATTTCAATAATAAATAGAATATGTATTCTTGATAATTTATTTAAAAAATCTATTTTATTATTATTATAATTGAAAGAAAATTATTT